AGCTGTTACAGAAGGGGGAATATAAACTATAGAAGGAAGACACAAAGTAGTCCTATACACACAACTGAAGTTCATATGTACAGAAATATGTACACGTGTGTGTGTGTGTGTGTGTGTGTGTGTGTGTGTGTGTGTGTGTGTGTTGGGGGAGTGATTCTGGTGAAACGTACAGTGAACAAAGAAGCCGATGAGCAGGACGTCCAGCCGTCTGACAGCTGCTGGTAGGAGTGACCTCCTTCCTGTAAAAGTCTGTTGAACGAGCCGCTCAGTGCTCACACAGGCTCATCAGGGGTGGGAGCTGCTCAGTGACTGGAGGCTACGTCCACACTGGCCCGGATAGATTTGAAAACGCTCCGCGTCCACACTAGCGTTTTCAGTCGTTTTCACAGAGTTGTGCGTCCACATTGAAACGGTCGAAAACGCTCACGTTCCAGTCCTGCGCATGCGTGAAACGCAAGAAGATTCGACCTGCCTCATTTCTGTCTGCTGTTTATTTGCTTTCCGGCTCTTTGAAACGTTGCAGCAAAATGTGGAGGAAAAGCACCGAGTTTTTAAATGGACTCACAATGAGGTGGAGTTGTTGCTGCGAGTAACACAGACTTAATGTGGTGTATGCTGTACAGTGCAGCGAGGAATGCCCAGACCTCTACATTGGAGAGACCAAACAGCCACTTCACAAGTGCATGGCACAACACAGAAGAGCCACCTCCACAGGACAAGACTCAGCAGTCCATCTGCATCTTAAGGATAAAGGACACTCTTTGAGGATGCCAATGTTCACATTTTGGACAGAGAGGACAGATGGTTTGAAAGAGGAGTGAAAGAAGCATCTATGTCCACTGTGAGCGACCATCTTTGAACAGAGGCGGGGTTTACGACACCAACTCTCTGCCATCTATAATCCAGTTTTGAGATCCTCCCCAGACGCCTTAACGCCCACTCACATCCTGGACCATCTGACCTCAGGACATCACATGATAAGGTGGGGCCAGGTTTCACAATGAACACACCTGAAACTCTGGCTGATTGTGACCCACACCCAGTTTCACACCTTGGCTCAGGCGATTAGAGGATCATCAGGGGTCCTTTTGTCCCTCTGTGGGGGGTCACTCCCACTAGGTTTATATCTGGGACTCTCCACCATTTGACCTTAGAACTGAAGAAGCTTCTCGGACGAGAGGTGAAACGTCTTCAAGCAACTTAAAGAAGTCCAGACGCTTTTCTTTGCAAGCTCCTTTGACTACGATGACCTGGATGACTGAGAACCTTCACAGACAAGTTAGAAGGAAGTTAGCTCGCTAGTTTCCACCTAAACATGATATAGCATGTTCTGACTGAGAGATTTCTGAAACTAATTCAAACGTACAGCTCTGCTACCACTTCCAACATAAATGAAGACAGAAAACTAAACAGCAGTGGCGTTTGCAGGGTTACTGAAGTTGGACTACCTGGTAGAGGTGGGAATCACCATACATCCCACGATACGATATTATTGCAATTTTTTAAATATTTTGCAATATTCAGATTCTGTCCATAAAGGTAAACGTTATCAATATTCATTTTATCTAATATCAAAGTCTCACACTCAGTCTTTCTCTCATTTCAGTTTTATTGTTGACAAACTGAACGGTTTGTATTACAGTCTAGTCCAACTTAACTGAATGCAACCATCTGGTACAATTATAGCTATTTATGAAAACTATGCAGCCCATTCAGCAACTGAAGAATTTGAAAGTAAATTAAAACAAAATATAATTTTACATTAAATAAAAAAGTTTTAAACGTAATTAAAATAAAACATGTCTTAAATTAAAATAAGTAAACTGTCATGTTTATTGCTGCCAAAAACAGTTAAACACATTTGGACAGTGTCAGGATTCTTGCTCAGAAAAAGGATCAACATGCTCTGAAGTCAGAGCACAAAAACCTTTTTGTAACAAAATATCGATTTCTGCTGTCCCTGCATCGATACAAAATATCACGATACTACACAGTATCGATTTTTCCCCCACCCCTACCTGGTATATAATGTTGTGCTACGTGATTGCTAGCAACACAGCTATGTTAGCATAACATTAGCACAGTGAAGCTGGAGGATGAACGCCAACTTTTTTCCCACTGGATAAAAGTTAACGTGAGGGATTCTGGTGGTCAGGGACAAATGCAATCGCATAGCAGGATGCTGTACACGGACCAAACTTCAGTCAGGAGAACAACTGAGATTATTCATCCACAATACGAGGTTAGTCATTAATATACTGCAACAACATGAGAACAGAACAGCTGCGAGAGAATTCAACATTAATGAATCAATGTTACTGAAGTGGAGGAAGCGCAGTTTTTGGCTTTCCCCATATTTCAACAGTGCTTCATCTCTTTGCTGTGACTGTCGGCATATTTTGCAGACGATAATGGTTGTAGCCGCTGCGATGCTTTCGACCAAAACAGGCGCAGCTTGATGACATCATCAACATGCGCTATCGCTAGAGCGGTATAGTCAAAATCTCTATCGTTGGCCAAATTTATATCGTTTCTATCGTATATCGTTTATATCGCCCACCCCTACTGCACGTGGCTGGAAAGACAATAAAGCCACTGGACCTGTGAGAACCAAACAAACTGCCCACATCACGCTGTGCTGTTAGCCAAGGCTTCTACAAACTCTGACATTTTAAACTTAAGTATCTGAAATTAAAACATCTTTTTCAAACATGTCTTCACTTTGAGCTGAGTGTGAAAGCAGGTTACAGCTAATCTCAGAGCAACACGGCGGTTTGGGGTCTTTTCATCTCTGTATCAGATTCTCCTTCAAAGCGAGCCACGTATCAGACGCAGCAGCTTAAAAACGAAACACAAACACGGTTTAATTATCAGGTACGAGAGGGGAAATCAATATCACTGCTGGTTCTTACACAGCCACTGTCATATCACCTGCACCGATTAGTCATATCTGCTCTTTTCCTTCATTGCATTTTCATCACCTGATTTCAAAACAAGTGGAATGAGCTCAGAGCGCACGCAGCTTCAAACCGAGTCGTCATTTACGTCCTACAGTTTGGCGCTCTGGGAAGGCAGCCCGTCTGATTCTGCGCATTCAGCCATGTTTCCAATCACAGCAGCAAACTGAGCCCGTCGTTGAGTGGCATCTGACAAGACTTCCATCAACTGTGAGTGACTGTCGCCGTCTTCTCCGGGTCTATTTTGAGACGCTACACGTGGGACATATTTGGTACTATCGCACTGTGAGGTGACGCACGCTGCTGCCATGCAGAAGAGGGAAGGTCTGACTACTTATTCCACAAACAATAAACCTGATGATCGACCAAACATGCTATTTTTAGTCTGGAGCTTTTAATCATTTTGTTTCTCAAGAACATGTCAACACACTTCTGTCCGCTTACAACTTTTCTTATGAAGGAAATCCATAAAAATATCCAATCAAGGATTCGATCCTGGCTAACGCTGAGGTCCAAAATAATCAAGTGACCAGTGACTACTTTTTTGTTTAAAAAAAAGAAGACGAGGATCACAGAAGTAAAATTTAAAGCATAATGATTCAAAATTATGCAAATTACACAGGAAGTCGCCCCTCCCCCCTCTGCTCCTCAAGCACAAGGGTCACGTGCGGAGTGAAGCGGAAAAAAGTGCGAGAGAAAGAGGCTCGCGCATTCACTTCAAAGAGCCGGCTCTAAGAGGCGGTTCGTTCGCGACCGACACATCACTACGTGGCGGTCTGCAGCTGGACGCTCGTTAGCACGGGCAGAGAGCTCTCACTGTTCGGGCTGGAGCTGAACAAAAAACTCCCTGATAGCGACTGTGTTGAGTCTGTTCCTTCCCATCCCATGCAAGGACACCTGGGTTGGCTGGTAGACTGTTTACTTAGCCTGGCAGGGCGAAGGACACTGTCTCAGCTGAACTATGGACACGCACACACACACACTTACACTGATAAGCACACACTCATCCCCCCTCCCTTTCCAACGTCTTCGATGCTTGTTTCCTGCGAGGGAACACGGCGGGCTGTGTGCCGCGCTGAAATGGTAGCGCTGTGCAGGGCGGCTGCTGTGTTTGCTTCGGATTACTCCTCACCCCCCACCCACCCCTGTGGCTTGTCATGTCTTCACAAAGTTGTGCTGTGGACATTTATGTGCTTTTTGTGCAGAGGAGTTTTTTGTTTCCTGTTCTCATGCTGTCCTACTATGGAAGCACAGCATGAGTAGGGGTCTCTTTTTTCCTCTTGTACTTTCCCACTGTAGTGTACATTTCAATGTTTTTTTCTCTAATGCTACCAATCTCCAACCTGTATCCCCATGTAATGTCTGTGCTATATGTGTAAGGTCGGGGCGGGGGGTCCCATTTCACTGCAGGGCAACCTGCATGTGACGAATAAAGCTTTGATTGATTGATTGACTGATTAAAAGCTGCGTCTTTGAAACGTGTTGTTTGAGCAGGAAGGCACAACTTTTAATTTGAAGTTTGTGTCTCACTTTTTTGAGTTTCACCATCATTTGATGTTTCGTTAGTGAGTGTTTGCAGAGCGATCGGCACCTTCCATCCAAACCGTGGCGATCTGCTGGTGACCAAAGCGGTCGAGAGGACACTTTTGGTGCAGCACCTTCTTATTCAGCCTGACAGCACCCAGCACAGCTGCTGACCTCCAGCAACCACCAACCAGCTGCTCGCTGAATGCACATTTTTCCTTAGCGACCAGAATTTTCCAGGGAGGCCACCAACGAGGCCTCAAAAGTAATGCGATTACTGTAAGGACTCACAACATTTCCTGTATATGCAGAAGACAGGGATTCACAGCACTGTACAAGCAAAAGGCTGCCATCATTTAACCTCCAAAACCAAGTCCACTCGCCCCGGTGGAAGCGGTTCCCTCTTATTGACAAAGTAATACCGATAACCTACCAACCCTCACTCGTTCCTCGTATCCGTTCTCACCTTCAGCTCAGATTAGCGGTAAAACTGCGCTAAAGAGAAAGAAAAAAGCTCACAATGAACTGCTCCACATCCCTCTCCATGCCCACGTTCGGCAGGTCTGGCATCATGTGGGCGACCACTTTGAAGCCGGCATCCTTTGCCAGGTGGAAAGACTCGCACACAGCTCGCACCGTGTGGCCTCTGCACAAACACACAAGCAGAGAGTAGCTGTTAAAGCCTGCAGGCTGCAACCCCATCAATAATAATAATAATAATGTATACTTTATTGATCCCCGTGGGGAAATTACTCTCTCTGCATTCGACCCATTCACTCAGTGAAGCAGTGGGCAGCCACTAAGCAGGCGCCCGGGGAGCAGTGTGTAGGGACGGTACCTCGCTCAGGGGTACCTCAGGGTAGCCGTTCAGTGGATTCGAACCCCTGACCTTCCGATCATGGGGCCGCCACTCCACCTACTGAGCCATCCCCGCCCTGCTGTCACATGACTTCTACCCACGGACCTGTTGGTGTCGCGGGCCACGTCTTCATAGACGCTCTGGACTCCTATCTCCAGCCGGGTGCATCCGTAGCCCAGCATGTCGCTGAGGTGCCGCTTCAGGCAGTAGTCGGGCCGCGTCTCGATAGTGATCCCCACGCATTTGGTATTACTGCGCTCCGAGTACCTGCAGGAGAAAAACATTCCCAGTTACTTGTGCTGATGTCGTTTCTGCTCATTGGGTGTTTTTAAAATATCGCTTTCATGTCTGTGTGATAATGTCTTTTTAATTTCACTATTTAGTCTCACAGAGTCTAAATGTTTGAGTTGCTCCATATGAAGGAAACATATTACTGGGACCATTTAGCAACATCAATTTACAGGCTGCGAGTTTGCTCGGCTCATTATCCCGACAGTTAACACTAACCTCACATTAAAGACACACTGATTAATCCAATAAAGAAAATGCATGACAGGGGGAAATGCTAAATGAGACATTAACAAGTGTTTTGTTTGCAAGTCACTGACACTTTACTGGGTATGATCTGGATCTACTTATTAAGAGATGTGTTTGTCCTGCTGGATTCAAGCGTTTTCTTTGAAGCTGTCTCTAACACCATTTCAAATGGATTCAACAAATACATCTGCCAACTTCTGACATAATTACAATACATTTTGAGGCTCTCTGGGTTATAAGAGGCAGGAGACGCGGGAGCAGTGCATGAGTCAGAGCAGCCATTGGCCGGGTAACATCTCAAATGAAGCTTGTGGTTCGTCCAGATAAAAATCTGCTTTATTACAAACAATCCCAGCTTATAAACTTGGATTCAGATCTCTCTGCAACTCTGCCAAAGTCCGTGAGTCTAATCTTTCTGCAAAGACAAACACTTTCAGTGAAATCTAAACTGTCCTGCTGAGACTTCTTCCATTTCAAATCTGACTGAACCTGATAGCATCTTGTTCATATTAAGTGAAGTCTGTCAACAGTCTTGGCATCAAACAAAAACACACACTTGATAAAGAAAAGCAGAAACTTTAGAAAGTCCCGACTGGCTCGTCCCTTTAAACAATTTGTCTCTGAATCACATATTCAATCAGACCCTTTGTTCGAATTCTTTATAATCTCTATTTCTTTATGATTTTCAGTGCTCGAGTCGCCCCTCATTTCTTTCTGAGGTGCAGTGATTTATTGAAATCATGAAAGTACAGGACATGAGGCAGAAACAGTTTGCACAAGTTTAATGATCTTCAAAGTGAATATTTGGTACGACCACCTTTAGTCCGCTCTGCACTCTGCATCTTTTCCATGTCAGTAATATTTGGAACAACGTGCAGTATGATCATAAAAGCTAACCCATTAAATATTAACAGTAGGCCACACTGCTCACTAAGTGTCCCTGCATGCCACGTGACACAGGCTGACTAATAAAGCAATAAACAACAAGGACGCCTGAGATGGAGAACAGAGCAACATGTGACGCAGCGCGGTCACTCGTCTTCTACAAATCTCGAGACAGAAACAACATCGAGTCCAGTGATGCTTCCAGACTTATCTGAGTGACTGATCGAAATCACACACACACACACACACACACACAGACACACACACACACACACACACACACACACACACACACACACACACACACACACACACACACACACACACACGCACACACACACACACACACCTCTTCTCGTGACACTGGCCAGGTGTCATTCTCTCCGCTCCAGCTGCTCTGATGACGATTAGCTGCCTTCACACCGGCTCATATTCCTTCAGACTGTATCTGCTGGCAATAAACGTCCATCTTTTACAGTCTGCTGGCTGATTTACACCAATTACAAGAGTTTATGCTCCAGAGAGAATGATCAGATTGTGTGAGATGAATCAATAAAAAGTCTATTATCTCGGGCGATTATCTCGAGGTATCTCACTGCTGCGATCTGATCAGGAGCAGAGTGAGAAGCAGAGACATCAAATGCACACGACTTTTTTCAAACACACACACACACACACACACACACACACACACACACACACACACACACACACACACACACACACACAGAGATAAGGGCAGCAAAACCGAGTGTTTCCTGCAGACGCAGCCACTGCAATTACCGTAATCCTAGCATCTTAACAAAGCATGCTGTTAGAAGTGCAGGGAGGATTCAGGCACACTTTCACACACTTCCCGCAAACACACTCGTGTACACACACGGGACATACATCAGAAGAGACACGCAATCGCACAAACTAGCCTCTCGGGCCTAATCGGACTTTAGGAAAGCAAATAGCTCCTGCACACAAACAGGCTGATGCGGCTGGCCGCAGACAAACCCATTATTTGGTCCAATCGTCTCTATAAACCTGACTCTGAATCTTCTCCAATCATCTTGGTGTTTCTACTCATCCACACTGAGCAGCTGCGGGACAATTTCATTCAAAACTGGCCACAAGTGGCCGAGTGAGAAATCGATGGGAGTAAAAGCAGAGGACTCGTCAGAGTGACCTCGATTATTCCTTTCACCCGAATCCTGAATGAACTCATTCAACAGTTTAATGTGTGGATTCCTCATCAACGTCTTTTTACTTCTTTCAGGAAGTCTGGTGGTGACTGAACTAAAGCAGAGTGGAATCAGGCACGCTACTTTATTACTGCATGGCACAAGCAGGGGATGCTGGGAGTCCCAGTATTACACTCATGCTGCACTGGCTTCATTTTTATTTTTCAGCTGATTATATAAACATGTAATGAAGGTTAACACGTTTGGTGACACACAAACAGCGATTCCCAAAGAATCACCAGCATGGTGTGCAGCACAGCCTCTGAGGAAACAGACCTGATGATGTACAGCAGCAGTCACAGGTTTGGACACACCTTCTCATTTAATGGTTTTACTACTTCCTACCAAGGTTATTGTCGTTAACGAAAACTAGAAGTGAAAAACATTTTCATTAACGGAAATAAAAAATAAAAATAAAAACAAAAAAAGGAAAACTAACTAAAACAGTAATGAGTGTTCACAAAACTAACTAAAATTAACTGAATTTATAGCAAAAATGTGTTTAGTTTTCATTGATGTGTGCGTGTCAAGGGTGAAAATGAAGTTTAGTTTCCAGGTTTTTGCTTGCTGTGTCTCATTGTGCCAGCAGGTGGCAGCACGTTAGTCGAGTCGTCTGTGTTGCTGCTCCGTCCACGCGCAGAATCATGTCAGGAGAAAGCGCCAGAGTACAATTTGGGATTACTTTGAATATGACTGTGTTTTGGATAAAGCAAGTGTCTTGTAGTGGAAAGAGACAAATTATGAGGGACATTTCTAAAGGGAAAAAAATCCCACAAACCTTAAAGTGCGCTTGAAAAGCTCACACAAGAAGGCTAACCTAGCTTAGCTTGAGAAGGGAGCACACTCAACCCTCATCCCCAGAAACAGAAGCTAACCCAGGCAAGGCAGCGTGATGCATCCCGAGACAACAGGACGGGGATATCTACACAACTGTGAGTCAATTGCCTTCAAAGAGTTTATCAATTCACTTGAACCAAAATTACGAACACCCGGTGCTGCAAGGGTTATAGTCTCATTGGGGCCAAGATATACATTTTATAGTTGCCTGGTATCAATGGTTGTTCATCTGCCTTTATTTATTTAAAGAACCCATAGGTGGGAATGTGAGTTGTCTGTCTCTGCGTGTTCGCCCTGCGACAGACAGGCGACCTGTGCAGGGTCTGGTAGCTGCAATAGCAACATACCCAATGATGAGCAGAAGAGCATGACTGATGTGATGAAACTGGGATTTTGTTGCACTTAATTATTGCAAACAACTAAAACTATAACTGAAACGAATCAAAACTAAACTGAAACTAAGGATTTTCACCAAACAATTGGTAAAAACTAATTAAAACTGGTATAAAATTGAAAATCTGAAGTCAAAACTAAATAAAAATAAAAACTAATGAAAATTGTAAAACTATTAAAAGCCTGCTTCCTACATTGTACAAACTGAAGACATCAAATATATGAAACCAGATCTTTGGAGGCAAATAAAAAAGGTTAAATAACTCTAAATATGTTTTATCTTTCATATTCCTCTAAGCTGCCGCCCTTTGCTTGTTTTGGCAGGGCTGCAAACCTGAGATGGTTTCACAGGTGTGCCTGTCAGGGATCATTTGTGGAGTTTCTTGCTAAAACCTTGAATGTGTGCAGTCACAAAAACCATTAAGTGCTACGACCAAACTGGCTCACATGTTTATGGAAAGGAAGCCCAAGAGTCCCTCTGCCGCTGAGGATAAATTCATCCGAGTCACCAGCCTCAGAAAGCGCAGGTTAGCAGCAGCTCAGATCAGATAGATGCCACACAGAGCTCCGGCAGCAGACACATCTCTACATGTTCAGAGGAGACTGTGTGAATCAGGCCTTTATGGTCAAACAGCTGCTACGAAACCACGACTAAGGAAAAGCATTTCATGAAGCTCATCGAAGAGCAGTAATCACAGCAAAGGGGGCTGCTTTAAAGAATCTAAAATATAAAACATGTTTTGGGTTATTTCACACTTTTTTGTTTCAATCGAGAGAATCTACAAAGTAAATAATCATGAAAATAAAGAAAAACCATTAAATGAAAATCTGTGTCCACACTTTGGTCAGAAGAGAGAGCTGCGTCTGGGCAATCAGCTGATCCACCTACTGTTGCCTCAACATAAATGGTCTCAGCGGAAGAGACCGTCTCTTCTCTCCCGCCATCTCTCAGGGTTACAGTACAGTAGCCCTGAGAGAGACACAGGAAACGGGGAGAAAAGGCCGAGGTGCGCCACATGACACAAGGCACTAAAAAAACTGGCTTATCGAGTAATAATCCAAATGTAAAAGTTACGTTTCAGATCACCACCAAAATATACAGAAGAGGTCAAACAAAACAACGGGTGACAGAAAATCTGTTAGAAGATTGCAGGTAAGACTCAGGTAATAGTTTGATGTTAACATGCAAATGGACAGTCAGAGTAAAATGAGATGATCAGAAGGCGAGAAGAGCTCAGTGAGTTCAGGGAAATACTGAAAATGGTGAAGTAGCTCCCTCTTGTGGTTACAACCTTTACACATTTTCTGAAAATCCGATGGTAAAAACACTGCAGCTGAGACCAGAGGCTGCAGGGGCGAGTGGCCGTCAGGGAAACGTGCAAACAGGCCCTGCTGCCTACAGGAAAAACCTCTGTCTAATAATCACTGCAGGAATCGACACATCCCAAAGACGTCAGCCGCTTCACAATCTCTGCATCACTCGCTGCGAGCTTTTTGAAACCAGCATGAAATCCAACCTTTAACTCCGACATTATGTCATTGGAGATGTTCTCACGTGCCTTTTCACACAAAAGCAGGCATTTACTAGCATGGAAGGGTCCAAACATGCTACCGTTGTTATTCTCAGTAGTTCTAGCATACGTGACCGTTTTAACATCCTTGTTATCAAGAGAGATCCTACTATGTGTTCTGCTCTTATTGTGAGACACAGACCCCTGCCAGGCTCAACGCTGGAGTTCATTAAATACCTGACAGCCTCAGCCACGTTGTTAGAGGTGTGTCCTGACAGGGCGTCGTGAAGGTTTCTGATGAAGTAGTCTCTGTAGTCCTCAGGCAGAGCCATGAAGGTCCCGCCCATCACGATGAACTCCACTTTGTCGACGCTGTGGCCCAGCTGCTTCAGCTGCAAATCACACCCGAGGGTTGGGTACCATTAAAGCAATGGACTTATCTGCATCTTCAGCTAAGTGCAGCAATGCACCATTATTCAGCAGAACGATCATTTTGTTCCCTCAAAAAATTAACTGTAATTAAACTTTAAACAGCTAGTGCACATAAACCGGACCCCCCACAGGCAAAGCTCCATGGAAAAAACAAAAACTGTGTCCAGTTTAAAAAAAGATCCACATGAACTGTTCCAATGACTGACTTTGCTCTGCTGCGAAGCACTAATGGGCCCATAAATTTAAGTAATGGCATAATTAGGGTCAGTGAAAGCCTCGACACTCATTACAGCACCTAAATATATTATCACCGGCTGATTTGTGGAAATGGCTCATCTAGAGACCACATAAAGAGACACACTTCAATCGAAACACCTGATTAAGGTGCTTCCTACTTCTGTAATTTCAGGAAAAGCCAAAATAACACGAATAATCAAAACAATGTCAATTTTTAAAAAGTACACCGTAGAAAATCACCGACCTGCTCCACTCGATGTCTGGTCTGCAGGTAGGGGTCGTAACGAGCTCGGATGGCTCTCATGGAAGTCGGCTGTCAGAAAGAAGGGGAGAAGCAGGAAGGACGTTTAACGTTTGCTTACATACAAAAGACAGACATGTGTTCCACAGGGTTCTGTGCTAAGAACCTTACAAACCCGTTTTATGGGTTAAATTAAAAAACATGGCTCAAAGTATCAATGCACAAAATATACAAACTTGATGTATGTGGATGGCATCACTGTGGCCTCCAGTAACACTGTGAGGAACCTGGGAGTCATTTCTGAACAGAGCGTGTCCATTGAGCTGAATGTTAAACCGTTTCGGAGGAATGCTCTTGTTCACCTGCACAATATCTCTGCAAACATCCTGCCTCATGCTGAAGGACCACTTCATGTAACTGTTACTTCTAGGCTGAATTACTGTAGTTATTATAACGGATTTATACCTCTGGGTTCTTCACTGTAGGGAAGTCACAAACAAAGACAATTCTCAAACACGACATCATAACGTGATGTGAACTTCCCTAGAAATGTAGCTACACGTGTGTGTCGAGGCACATGCGTATAAATGCTGGTCTCTACACAAACACAGCGAGAGCACTGCCACGATTCGATTTTGTCCGTAGCTTTTCTAAACCGGCTCCAGGATAAATCCAGAATTCATTTTTAAGTCTTTGTCCTCACAAAGTCCTGGATGATCAGGCAGTAAAGACCTCGCAATAACATTTTATTCTGACGAGCACGTTGCTCTCTGACTGCTTATTTGTGGATTTGAGAGTTTCTGAAAGTAGAATGGGACGCAGAGGCTGCTGTGGAAACAGCTCCCAGTTTGGGTTGTGGAGACAACTTATTTACTTTATCAGGCTTCAAACCTTCCGAGCAGGCATACACAGTAGATGAAAATCAAGGTGCTTCACCTCGTAGCCAGTGTAAGACTGTGTGGAGTACTCAAAGTCAGAGTCCGGTCCCCCGGGACAGTAGCTGCCAGAGTGAAAACAAAAAACTGATTATTAATAAACTCCTGTCAGCACTTCAAGCTCAAACATGTCAAAGCTTTTACATCTACCTGGCTTTAGGGTTTGTTCTGTGTACCACAGTATGACCACTAAATATACTTACACAGCACTGATACTGCTCATGCTGAAGCAGCTCAAAGATGAAATATGTCCTCACAGATTTTCTCTCATCAAAAAGCAAAACTTACACACAGATGTTGCCTGTAAAGCTGATGTGAGGACATCGATGAGGTTTACACATCACAGCTACGACTGCAATCTGCAGTAAAAACACAAGTTATTAAATCTGCTCCCATTTTGGGGGTTAGGTATTGTGAGAGATATAATTTCCATATAGTCTGAACGTTCATGCATTTCCAATCTTCACTGTCCATCTAAAGCTGAGCTGAAGGATTAAACCCCATCAGTGTTGTATGCTGTACTCATCCTATACCAGACATAAACACACACACATCTGCTAACATGTGACTCCAAACTATTACTCAACAAGCCACTTAGTGCATTTTATTTCAGCCTTACTGAACCTTAACCTGAAATATCAGACTGCAGGACAGAGACATGGACGGCAGAATAAACACAACGTACCCCGCTGGCAGTGCGGATAGGTTTGGCCTTTAGTTTGGGCACCAGCGCTCGACGGTACTGCGGTGGAACAGCTGCGATGATATCCACCAGTCGGGGCTGAGCTTCAAGTCCATATTTAGCTGAGGCCTGAGTCTTAACTCTGTTTGAAAACACAAAATGCAACTCGCTTAAAACTCACCTAGAACTGAAAATTGTACAAAAAACTAATTAAAATTGTTCTTTAATGCAAACTTATTTTGGTTTTATGGCACAAAAAGCTTTTTAAAAAAGTTGGAATAGGCGCATGTTTCCCACTGAGGAGATCAACGGCTCTGGTGTTGACAGGAAGAGGTTTCTCGTTGTTCCTCGATGTGTTTCAGCTGCTCCTTTGTCATATTAATTATTCAATAATGTGCTAATGTCTTTTGCACATTGTGGTCTAGCGTTGTCTTGCTTGACATCTGGATGACAGCATTGATTCCTTCAAAACCTCCATAAATCGTTGGAGGTTTTGGAGCCCCTCAATGCATTGAGGGGCTCTTCACAGATGTACAAGTCACCCATGCCAAGTGCACTAAGGCACACACACCAGATGTTTGGTTGTGAAGTTTGCATGAATAACAACAACATCATTGGCCCAGACTACAGGACTGCAGCACTTAGATGACCACAGGCCCAGAGAAAGACCCACGTCTTAAACATAAGGGGGGGGGGGAGATCTACCATCTATACTAGATTCTTAATTATTGTAATATGCAGCCTATGTAATTTACACAGTAATCACATGACTGTTTCCTGCAGCTGATACCAATTTCTAATCTTTTGTGACATGGAGGGTAGACAGTTAGTGGGACCAGTTCATTGCTGTTTTGGTTACAGACTATTGTTGCACACGCTGTATGTCTACTGTATCGTTGATTACTTACTTGTTAAGATTGATGTCTTTTCCCTTCTCGTGGGCTTCAACCAGCTGCTTGATGACATCGGCAATGGTCATCATCATCAGCTCGGCTCGGCTCAGGTCACCTGACCAAGAGCAGCATAGTGAGATTACTGTCATTACAGTGAGAAGATTTATTCGCAGGTTATTTAAACAGCTTTATAATGTGCAGGAGTCCAAATTGTCGAATGCAGCTTTACGGAGTGAATCACAGTCCAATATGCGGTGTAACGGATCTCTATGAAAACGAGAAAAGTTGCTGAACTCTTCTCTGCCGAGTTATGCAGCTTCTGTCATCATCTTATGGGACCTGCCGTTAGCATTAGCTTTAAGCTACAATCACCCTCAGCACTTTAGAAAGCAGTTTGCGATGTTTTAAACGCTTTGCCACACACTCACTCTTTTTCTTTGGCTTCCCCATTTCCTTCGTTAGTCACCTAGTCCAATTATTTACGAAAGGAGGTCTGTTAAAAGTGCTTCATCTGTCTTTAAAGCCCGACAGCACTCTGGGGTAACAGTAAACAACTCCACGTTGCGACCGAACACGGCACCTGTCGTGCGGGGATAGCGGCTGTCGCAAAATAACGTAAACACACTTTCGCAGTGTTTAACCTGTCATTTATTGACGCGTAAATCTGTTCATGAGTAAAACAACGCCAGGTTTGGCTTATTTAACAGCGAGTAGGGCTGTTTCGCTAAAACATCCCAACATGTGCCGAATAAGCGCAGCTGGAAGGAGACGCGCAGACTCTACGACAGGTGCGACCACAGAGCGGCGCTCCATTCCGTCTCATAGCGACGGTCCGCGTGTGCGCGGAGCAGCTGACGGACTTGGAAGCTCTCTGACTTAAGTCTCGCAGCAAATCCCTTTAGCCGCGAGCTGACATGGCTTGACTGATTCCTGCGGGAAGTCTTCAGGAAATGCAACAGGTGGAGGAGCTGTGGTTGTGAACCCTGGACCATCGTAAGTGTTTCTTAGACCTTAACGGGGCTTTCCACGGTGCTGTGTACTAGTGCCGGTTACTTTTGTCGGCGGTAAATGTGGAAGTATTTAATCCTGTGTGCTGCTGTCATGCAGCCCTCATTAGCGTGTCCGGCTAGCTGCTGTGTGTCACTACTTGAAGGTGCCTGAGAGGAGAGGAGGGAGTCGGACGGGCAAACCACTGCACACACGGTTAGTTTGCTACTCTGAACTATGGCGGGTTTATTTCTTTTCTTTGCCTTGTTATCTTCTCACGGCAGACTTCACCAGTCACTGACTGGAGTTAAAGTGATTTCGAAAATGAACGCAGTTTAATCGCTGTGTTCAGGTGTCACTCGGATAAATAAGTGTTATCTCACAATGTGTGATATTACGTACACGCAAAGTCATTTCACGGGTGTTTTGGGGTTTGTTTGTTTTTTAATTCATGTGACGCAGGTCAGGTGCCACCATGGATGACAACAGTGTCAGTGACTCCAATGTAAAGGTGGCTGTTCGTGTGCGGCCAATGAACAGGAGAGGTGAGTACAAACGGCTGCACTCGCTGGTTTCAGTGAAGCCTTTTAAAGGCAACCGTCCACCTTCAAAGGGAAGTATCGGCCCTGCACTTCACCCATATCTGAGTCTGTGTTTGCTCTCGTTCAACTTCTGGTAAACAGTAAGGCTCGGTGCAGGGTTCGGTTTCTCCTCAAGCTCTGAAGTATACACGCACTTCTTATGTCTTTAAATTTAAGCTTCAAATATGGCAGAGACGTGTTTTGTGCACTGTCACTGGCCTGTTACTTCTGACAACAGCTGAGCTGGACTGGAGTGTCAGCTAACTGCAGCAGCAACCTTTGAACTTTTAAGTGTAGCTATCACTTTCTGATTAAGACCCTCAAATGAAAGCTGATAAAGTATTTTAAAAGATAAAATACAACCTTGTGACTCATATGCCCTAACACCTACTCTGACAGGAAGTTGCTGCTCTGTCTCCGCCTTAAAATCCTTCCAGTGCAGGTAGGAATGAGGAAGAGAAGGTGTGAGCTTGGTTTTCCTTAGTGTCTGCACAGGGAGTTGTAAACTGGTCGTAGTGTTTGTGCAGGCCTGGATGAATCAGCCTCAATAAAACCTCTTTCCTGCCTCCCTTTGTTGGCCTGTTTGAAGCTTAAGGACACACAGGCATGCATGCATGCATGCCACCTGTTACTCTGCAGAGTGACTCAGTCACTTTTAGGGAAAGTTATGACACCCAGTATATGAGCTGCTGCTTTTAAACGGTGCATTATGAAGACTGCAGATTGTTTTTGAACATTTCACTTTTTTTTTTAGTCCAAAAATCACATGTTGTTTTTCTCCACTATCCAGAAAAAGACCTGAAAACCAAATGTGTGGTGGAGATTGATGGGAACCAGACAGTCCTGCATCCAGCCGTCACTAGTATGAACACAGCAGACCCCCGGTAAGCTGTTACATGGAAGAAAGTAGTCGTGAGTTTGAAGCCAACCTGTTTAAATTTCAGACACTTTGTGGTTTAGTTTTTCTCCTTTGTTCCACTTTCACCACAACATCTACTCCTGCTTTGATCCTGTCCACAGTGGAGCCTCCCTGGTTAGCCAATCAGTTTCTTTGTCAGGAAACATTGTTGAGCAGACGTGTCGGCTTGAGTCACGTTGCTGCGGATCATCAATCTGATGACATCACACTTGACAAAGTAAACTTTAGTTAAGCAGCACGCCACAGCTTGTTTAGCTGTGTTTCAGACGTGCACCGGTGTTGGTGGCTGGAGCATGACCTGGAGCTTGACCATAGGTGTGCTTCAGAACGTGTTAAATTGAACTTTGCAGCATGGATCTAATAAACTCTGGTTTTTCTGTAGACTGATGATAGCTACTAAATCTTTGGCTATGATTCAGAGCTGCAATTCCTTTGCTACTTCCTACCGTGCGATGTCGCTGTCATGATAGCCGCTGAAGAACATTCAGAGATTTAGGCTTGCGTCTGGTCCTTTGTTGGATAAGTATTTACCAAGACAGACATTGTCTCAGTGAATCAGCACCATACACACAGCTTCCAGGTCAGAAATGTGAGGCCAGTGCAAAAGTGGTGAGCAGGGGGTCTACAAGCTCTGTAAACCGTTTCCTGTTTCCGTGAGTATTGACACAGCATCGTGGACGTGGTTCCATGACGTGAGATGGTTGAAAGGCTGCCGTACCAGGTTTTCAGCTTCTCGGTCACATTGACTCTTCACCTGTGATACTTGGTCTTTCATGCTGCATTTCTATTGGTTGGTTTGTAGAAGCAGAAGTTGTAATGTGTCAGTGTGATGACCAAAATCACATTCAGATGCACTCACCGATACAGCCACCTACATGTCTTACACTGACCTCTGTGCGTGACCTCTGTGGGGTCACAAAGCCACTGCGGTAGCTGCAACTTTTTTGCGCCACAAGCAACGATATCCTGATATCATGCTATCAGGGTAAGACCATGACATCATCAGGCCCTCTGCCTTACACAGCAACACTCTTCTCCTCATCGCTGCAACATTTTAATGACTATCTCTCCTTTTTATGAGCAGCTATTTGCATTGGACAAGTGCAGACAGTTCAGTGAGATTCCTGGCTGTGAGTGTGCTGTAATATGTGTACAATAGCAGGACTGACTGTATCACAGATTCACTCATTTAGTTACCGTCAGGTGAGTTTGGAGAGAATCTAACCAGCTTTTCAGGTTGGCGCCCAGTCGTTTGGAAAAGGGCTCAAATCTAGAACTCCACCCACCCTCCGTGGAAATCTCCCTCTGGCTCTTCTGCATCGTTACTCTTTACAAAGGGCGTGTGTCCCGGCTCAGCCCTGCTCAGGTAGTTTGACGCACATTTGAAGGAGCAGGAAGAAGCAAAGGGAAATGGTGTCGGAGTTTTCTGTAACTCCAGTCGCGTTTATGATGTCACACTGGTGCAGCGCGTTGCTGTGCACACACAAAGCTGTATTTGTTTTGATGGCCGATCCTCCTCCTCGTGTTGCAGTGAGCCAGATACTGAGTGGTGCAGGGAGATGTTCCCTGGAGGTCCTGGCCCTCGTTCAGGTTCCCTGTTCAGCATGTAACTGTGCCTTAGGGCAAACATGGACTAAATGAATCACTGCCTTTGTAAGGAGGTTCGAGTCTCATATTTCACTGTGATTCTTTGCATTTTTTCATGCGTGTGTATCTGTGTTTCTTCTGTCCTGACACGCTTCAGCGGCGCTGCGTTTCCCCATTTGGGGCTCGGTATGAACACGTTTTACAGGCTCAGTGCGGCACAGATGGTCCCAGACCAGCACAGAGGTCAGACGGGAACGGTGGAGGTGGTAAACTCATCTGTAACTCATGATAGTTCGATTTTACATTAACAAACTAACAAGAATCAACAGTGTTGTTACTATAGAAGAGAATTTTATTCTTCCTAATGGAAGGCATGACCTAATTTATCCAGTCGGTAAATTTGGTCTTTACGAAGCTTTAGCATTTCACATAAACTTCTCACGTGTCGCCGACTTCTCCAAAACCTTCCTGCCGACTGGAGTTAAACTGCTTTTTTGGCCTCTGTGGCACAAGCTGGTCTCCAGTCCTACCACTGCTGTCTCAATGGGACGTTACAAACGCTGCAGTCATTGCAGTGTGACACTATAATACGTTGGATTGTGACGCACAACCTGACGTTCAGCCTGGTGCTTAATCGCACTGTCAAATGTACAAATGCACACGATTGTTGGATTTGTATAAAATATCTGTATAACTCAGATGTTTGCACTCACAGGGTGTTCATGCAAAGGTTGATCATGATTGGTCAGCTCCTGTAGGAGGGAACACATGCTACCATCATTACACAGCAGGATCATAATATGAATTCATAATAAAGAGGGTGTAGACGTTAGGCGATAATAGCGGCAGACCGACGTCATCGGCTGATCTGATCATATTAGCCACTTGCAGGTGTTTTGCTATCAGCGTCTCTAACAGACGGTTCTGTGTGCCGATTGTTTTGTGTGCATTTCGTGTTCAGCCAAAGTGGAAAGCAGAAGGCATCTGTGTCTGTAGTACTGCAGTTCCCCTGTCTGCTGTGAAGAGGACGGCCTCTTCTGTAAAGTTTGTGCTTAGTCAGCTCACTGCCTGATGGTTCAGCTGCTTCAGGGGGTGTTAATATGTCCCAGCACCCTGGGAGGCTGCAGCCCAGCAGGGCCTGTCAGATTAATGAAGCCCTGTTCCTGCTTTACCCTCCTAGGACCTGCGTCCACATATGTGGACGTCACATTTTGGGTTATTTAGACCAAAATACTAAGTCTTGCTCTTCAAAGGCCTGATATCCACTTACGAGGACATTATGCTGCTACTGTTCTATCGAAATTTTAAATTGATATCCTCATATGGCTCTGATTTTTCTTAGAAACACAAATTAGGTAAAAAAAAAACAAAAACCTGGTGATTTCTTTGTTTTTACGTTCATCAGGTGCCAATCAGCCCAAATATCAAAGAGAAATGAAAAATGCTGCTGTGGAAGAGTTCAGGACTTTAACAGTTATTTTCATGAATTTCCTCGGATGCTCTAAGAGAACATTTAATATATAAGAAAATGCCCTGGGATGGATTTTAAAATATCAAACTTCATGATAACATTTAATTTTATGTCTTCACTATGACGTCTCCATTTTTTTGATTTGTAAATCACTGGTTGTATAAAGCCAGACTTTGTTGATCACAGACTTGCTGACCTACCGTCGTCCTGCTTTAGTGATTCCAGTTATCTCAGGAATGTCCTCACCGTCCCAGGAGAGCGGGACTAAAGGCTGCTCTTTCATGGACCAGCCCAGTCTCACACAGGGAGGCCTTGTTTCGTGTGTGTGTGTGTGTGTGTGTGAGTGAGAGTGCGAAACCTTTACTTTTAGTGACTCAGTGTGGCTGAAAATGCTGCCATATTATTGCATGTCAGACTTGTGTGTTGTCAGTGTTTGCGTTGTTTTGCTTGTACAGGGTTAGTTTGATTGTGCTGTTATATGATTGGCTTTTGCTTCCTCCTGTGTGGGGGCACTTGTGCTCCCTGGAATATGACGCTCACGCTTTGGTTTTGAGTGCAGTGAGCAGTTTGGTGGTTGTTGTATTTGAGCTCGCGTGTCTGGCAGATGGGGGCAGCGTCACGTCTGAGCCGGAGTCCTGATGTAGCTTGAGCTTTGCCTTAAAGCCCACCGCATCCTGTTCGTTCAGCTGACCGTCCACACACCCGCCTCTGCCCCAGAGTGCTCAGCAGCTCCCCAGCGTGGAGCTCATTGAGCTCAGCCTTGAAGATACCATCTGCACCGAACTTCCTCTTCTTGGAGATCTGCACAGCCGTCTTCCATCCGGCTGCAGACAGGAAAGCCTCAAGTTTCCTTCAGTCCTGCTGCTTTTCTGCTTCCTCAGAAAAACAGCACAAGTGGAAAAGCCAGTATGGAAGCTCTTCAACTGACATCAGCCTGAATGTTTCACAGCCTGGAGCACAAACCCATTCAAAGATGTTGTCAGCCTGTTTCTAGTAAGACAATAACAGGAAGCAGATAGAAACCGATTTTGTGTTTTTAGCACTTGGTTGCAGGAAAAACAAGCTTTTAAAGTAGACTCTTGTGTTTCTCTGTAACACACATCCGTGCATACACACTCAGTGGATGTTTATTAAACGCGACCAAAGGTTCGAACGAGGTCAGTTCATGTGTGCGTGTGCACGTGTACGTGTGTGTTTGTGGTCAAAGATTTTACTGAGAAATATGACAAATAAGTTTAAATATCAGTAACAATATTATTTCTTCTTTTCTGTCTCCAGGAATCAGCCCAAGGTAAATATGATGAGTTATTAATCACACATTTATGGTGTGCACATTACAGACGTGTGTCGCATGTTTTCTGCAGGTCTTTGCGTACGACTACTGTTTCTGGTCTATGGACGACTCTCAGAAAGACAAGTTTGCAGGTTGGTACATTTTCACAGAGGTTCATGTCAGTCTGTTCAAACGTGTCTCCTGACAGTGTTTCCTGATGCGCTGAGCTATTTATGGAGCTGAGAAAGCGGCCGTGGGGGGGCTGGGATGAAGGGGTTACACACTGCGTCACACTGGTTGTGGCTCAGTCTGAAAACAGCGAAATTATTCTTCCTGTCGTCTCGTTCGTGTTAAAAGTTTGTAGCTCATCAGCTTCGTTTGTGTCTGATTCCAGCAGTTAGTCTGAGTTTTGTGTGCAGGTCAGGACGTGGTGTTCCAGTGCCTCGGGGAGAGTCTGCTGGACAATGCCTTCATGGGCTACAACGCCTGCATCTTTGCTTACGGGCAGACGGGTAACATTTCAGAACAACAACTTTCAAATGAGTAACGATAAGAGGAACTGCACATCCTACCGCAGCATCACATGTTTCCATTTGTCCTCCTACGTCAGGTTTGAATGAAGCGAGTCAGGATTTGACTGTTTGTGACTTTTAGTTCTCAGTAGTTTGGGTCACAGTCACTGCAAAACGTTGTTTCTGTGCTCCACAGCGCAGTAAGCTGTTTCACACTGTTTCTGTCTGAATGCTGAGTGTTTCCTGACCCACGTGGGTACTGATCTGTTGTCGCGCTGCACATATTGGCTCTGGAGGAAAGAGCTGGCACAGTCCATCTTACTATCACGGCACGCTCTGCCTGTTTAAGCAGAAGCAGCACTTGGTGTCTTCGACTTCATACGTGATGAAGTAATGATGCCGTGGCTGATATTGTCAGGACGCCATCTTCTTTGCCATTTTTCCATCTGCTGAACCGAAACAAGTAGATTAACTTTTGATTGATGGGCAGATGCAGGTTCGGGCAGGTCAGCCCCTCCCTGCCCACAGCTCCCATAAGCCTCGTCTGTCAAACAGCTGCAGGGTGCAACATAAGCCTGGCCCAGCAGTCCCCTCTTCGTGATTACAAATGAATAACATGGGATGCTGTTTGAGACCCTCACACTCTCGTCAGACATGAAGCGCTCTCACCTGACTCTAGTTTGGCAGCTTCTTTTATTCCAGCTGAATTTTCCTAAATGAATTAAGTTTGTTATGATCCTGGATACAAGCATTAGCTGCAGCGCTCTGTGTTAAATGATCAGTGATTCGTTCTGTCTCTCACTGGCGTCTGGATCGTTTATCTTCAGGTTCTGGGAAGTCGTACACCATGATGGGCTCGTCAGAGCAGCCCGGTCTTATCCCTCGACTCTGCAGCTCGCTGTTCAGCAGGACTGAGAAGGAGGCCCGTGAAGGGGAGAGCTTCACTGTGGAGGTGTCCTACATGGAGATTTACAACGAGAAGGTCCGAGACCTGCTCGACCCGAAGGGGTGAGATGCTGAGAGCCTCGCTCGTCATTCTGCTGGGATGTTGGAATAACATGAAACATTCAGGGTCCCTGAACAAGTCCAGGCAGCTGAAGGACTCAAAGCTGTGACCGTCTCCTTATTTCTGCAGAAGCCGACAAGCGCTGAGAGTCAGAGAGCACAAAGTTTTGGGGCCTTACGTGGACGGTCTCTCCCGTCTGGCTGTGACCAGCTACGAGGTAAACCAGCTGTTTCTTTCTTTATCGCATCGGGTTTCCGAGGACCAGGAAGTAATAACGGTGGCTGCAGACGGCGCGTGTGTTTGTTGGTGTTCAACAGGACATCGAGTCTCTGATGTCAGAGGGAAATAAGTCTCGCACGGTGGCGGCCACAAACATGAATGAGGAGAGCAGCAGGTCGCACGCCGTGTTCAACATCATCCTCACGCACACGCTCATGGACCTGCGGTCTGGGGTAAGGACACGCTCGCATGTGCACGCCGTCTCTCTGTGCAGCTGATTAGTTTTCAGTTATTGGCTCGAGTGTTAATGAAATGTGTCCGAACTCAAGGGGACTCGTTTCGTCTTATTCAAAGTCCCAACATGCAACACTGAGAAGCAGCTGATCCTCACATTGATGTTAGTCGACCAGCCAGACCTGCATCGCACTGTGCAAAAGTCTTGAGCCAGCCTTCGTGTTTTCATATTTGACTTTCTTTGACAGCGGTCAGGTACCAGGACCGGACTCGAAGAGTGACGCAAACATCTGGAGGAATTTATTTCTTTATTTATTGTGTTGTTAAGCAACACTGACCTACTATGAAGTATAAACACTCAAACCTGTCGGTGTCTGTTGGCACTTTGCTGTTAGCATTCTGTCACAAAAACACATCATGTGTTCAGTTTTTCAGTTACATCTATAAAAAAAGGTATAAAATAATAATTGGCGTCAACATTTGCGATACCCAGATGTGTTTTATTCGTCTTTTGTCTGTGAATCGCTGCTTCTGTTGAGTCGTTCTCATTCAAAAGCTATGAGAGATTCTAGCTCGATGAGCTCCTGTGCGGCGCCGTGTGTTTGCTGCAGACGAGCGGGGAGAAGGTGAGCAAGCTGAGTCTGGTGGATCTGGCTGGAAGCGAGCGGGCAGCGAAGACTGGAGCTGCAGGGGAGCGGCTCAAAGAAGGCAGCAACATCAACAAGTGAGTGCGCATAAAATAAAGCTGTGATACTGACAGTCGAGACGGTTTTACTGCCTGCTGCTGTTTGTCTTCAGTCTAGAGCCGAGTGTCCGCCTCGAGGTTTTAGATGATGAGCCAACACAGCTGATTTAAACGGCTAAATGACCTCCTCAGCATGTTGTGTAGTTCTCCACAGGCCTGGTAATGACCTAATCAGGTGTGCTGACCCAGGGTGTACACCGGCCTCGAGGCCTGGAGCTCCCCACCTCGGCTGTAGAGCCTCCAGACACCCGTGTTTGTTTGAAGTTATTGGAAACTTCTTGTTTCTCTGCATCTCTGAGCATCTCTAGTGCTGAAAGAGTTCTGATGTGTGTAGCCTGCTATTGGGTCACCAGTGTGAACGCCCCTGAACAGGAAGCATATTTTAGTTTCTGCAATTAAAGATGTTTTGCAGAAGCGCATCGGCGTCCGGCTAACAAACCGACAGGAGCGGTCTTTGAGTCGGTGCTTCACTCAGTCGTTTGAAGCTGAGATTGTTCAGGTGTGGACTTCTAATCTTAGCATCACAAGCCCTTTCTCTGTCCCTCCCTGCAGATCTCTCAGCACTCTGGGTTTAGTCATCTCTGCCTTGGCTGACCACGGAGCAGGGAAGAACAAGAGCAAGTTTGTCCCCTACAGAGACTCTGTGCTCACCTGGCTGCTCAAGGTACAAGAAAGGAACTTTGTTTTCAAGTATGCAGCCTCAGATCGCACTGCAAACTCACATCGGAGGATTTCTTTTGCCTCAAATGAATTAATTTTGTGACGTTTCAAGGCTCTGCTGTTTGTTTCATTAGTTCTGCTCAGTTTGAAAAAGGCTCCATTTGCCAGCTTTGGGTGTTTAATTTGGCTCCAGATAGCATTGTAATGGTGTGAAATGTTGTTTCCCCAACATCCTAGATTTCAGCTGCGTGCTCATGAGTCATTGTGCTTAATTATATTACTGTAATGCTCAGAGTTTAAGGTGATGTTCGTACCTGCAGGACAGCCTCGGAGGGAACAGTCGCACCGCCATGGTGGCCACTATCAGCCCAGCAGCAGACAACTACGACGAGACGCTGTCCACTCTTCGTTACGCCGACCGGGCCAAGAACATCGTCAACCACGCCGTGGTGAACGAAGACCCCAACGCAAGGATCATCCGCGAGCTACGAGAGGAAGTGGAGAAGCTGAAGGAGCAGCTCACCGAGGCGGAGGTTTGGCCTCGTTCAGCCTGTGACTGATCAGTGAGAATTATGGGTAATAATCCACACACGTCCAGAGTCTAATGAAGCTGCTGTCACTCTCAGTCTATGAAGGCCCCCGAGCTCAAGGAGCGACTGGAGGAGTCGGAGAAACTGATCCAAGATATGACGGTCACCTGGGAGGACAAACTTAGGAAAACGGAGGCCATTGCACAGGTAGCAACACACAAACACACAAGACCGCATACAAAACACGTCACCGTGGCTTTCTGATAGCGTTTAAATCCTCAGTGTTTGGAGTTATCAGCTAACGCTCGAAGGCTTTGACAGGAAGGTGTAAACACTGTTAAACTACAAACTAATTAAATTATGGGATTTCACCAACGCTGAGACGGACAGTACTGCACACACGGCCGTGCTGTTGGTCACATCATTCTATAAACTGGGCCAAAAGACACCAACAGCACAGCTAAGAGGGTTAGCAACTTCAGTCAGCTGTTTGTCACCTCACTGGGAGAGGGTTGCATCCAACCTCTACGTGTTACTAGTATTCAAATGGATAAGGTAAAAAATGCATTCAGCCACTGTGCAGCGGTTTGAAATGAACTGAAAGCATCCATAAGTGGTGGTAGTGATGGTGACGCTGTCATTGTACCAGCCCGTAGACCTGCAGCCTCAAGTGGCTGTTAGAGGAACTGCAGCTCAACGCTTCAGCTTAGCTTCAGTTTTCAGGACACGCTGAATACGTTATTTTTCCATCTCTATCCAGAGGAATATATTTTTAAAAACTCTTTGAACTCAGAATCAATTCATTTATTGAGCTGACGCATGTCATCAGTCTTTTGTTTTGTTCATGATGGAGATTGTTTAGTATCCCAGCCACTTTTCTTCCATCAAGCAGCTCCAGATCAGAACAATCGCTCGGTTAGTTCCTGTGTTGAACGTGACGTGTGTTCTCTGCAGGAGCGTCAGAGGCAGTTGGAGAGTCTGGGCATTTCTCTGCAGTCGTCTGGTATCCGAGTGGTCGACGATAAGTGCTATCTGGTCAACCTCAACGCTGACCCTGCCCTCAACGAGCTGCTGGTCTACTACCTAAAAGTACCGAGAACTCACCATCCATCCTAAATACATCGAGTTGCTGCCATTTGATTGGTTGATTAGATGCTTGCATTAACAAACAGCAGATGTGCTCAGGTGCAGCTGTTTTGCTTGTGTTAGTATTCAGATTGTTAAGTGACCGTTGTCCTGTATCCAGGATCACACGCGCGTGGGTTCAGCTGACTCACAGGACATCCAGCTGTGTGGGATGGCCATCCAAGCAGAACACTGTGTCATTGACGTCACAGAGAGCCACGGCGTGGTGCTCACTCCTCACCGCAATGCTAAGTATGTAGCTAGCCCGTGACAAACGATACTGCAGAAGACCGGCTCATTGCGATGCTCACAAAGCTGCGTTCAGTTTGAATTGGATTGCAGGTCAATCTCACAGCTGCAGACAACACTTTCCTGCAAAGTGCCTCAAATGTTAGCAGCAATGACGAGCACTGTGGAGCTGCCACCAAGCACTTTGGTGACAGCAGCTGTGTTCTGTTTAATAGCTTCATATTTTTCCAGTGTTATTGTTTCCGTCCATGTTGGTTATTGATCACATGCAGCAAACTCCGGTGATATGGACTGCCTACATTTGGCAACCCTGCGTTGATTTTAGTTCAATCTGCATTTGTGTGACTGCTGATGTCAGACTGAGTGAATCCATCTAAGGAAAAGATGCCCTGGGTTTGCTCCATGTGCTTTGTAGTAGAGCACCAGGATGCACCAGCCCGACTAAAATAAAATGTTTTTATGAGTTGAATCAGAGCCGTGTGCTCTAATAATGATGCAACAACCTAAAACTATACTTAATATTTTTGGGAGAGTTCATTTGTTTCTGTAGATGCACATCAAATGTTTGCTTTGTGCTTTCTCTGCAGAACGTACGTGAACGGCACCGAGGTCGTGAATCCCGTGCAGCTTCACCATGGCGACAGGATCCTGTGGGGGAACAACCACTTTTTCAGGTGTGCGTTTGAACCTGGATCTGCGGCGTCGTATTTCTCACGCCGACATTTGTTACATGTGGTAACAAAGTGTTTCTCTTTCACTCTGCGACGCTTCCTCTTTGTCCGACTCGCTCTTTCCTCTGTGCGAATCAACACGCGAGCACAGGATCAACCTGCCCAGGCAAAGGGTGCAAAAGGGGGGCGAGGAAGAGGAGGATGCCGCGATGACAAAGCGTTCGAGCAGCGACTGTCTGGAGGTCGGCGAGCCGGACGCGTGCAGCGACGTGTCGAGCGAGAGGAGCTTCGGCTACGAGTTCGCCCAGGCCGAGGTCATGATGAAAGGCATGTGGAACAACGGTGAGTCAGAGTAACGGGGGGGCGAACGCTTTTTCAAAATGTTGCCTTCAAATCGTAACATTGTTGTCAATGGTCAGCCATTTGTTAGATGAGCTAATAAAAGATGTTTGTTTTTTCATTTTTTGAAAAATTCTTTTTTATTTTTTGACCTAAAAGGAGAAAAAATCTTGAAGCGTTTTGTTGATACCCTCACTTCAAGCTTGGCAGGTGTGCTGCTGGGAAATGGAGTGAATGCAGAGTTTGAATGTAAAAATATAAATAATGTGAAGAACAGCCAAAGTCAGACACAGTAATGTGCCCTCACTGTCTTACTGGAAGCCAAAGCAGTTCTGACAGGCTTTGATCTGTTAGTGGGGTCGATTTGGTTTGAGGTTTATCAGCGTTTGTGTGTCTGCAATGCTTCCAGCCACTGACTCTCACACTCACACCTACAGTGTCTCTAATAGAAAGCCAGAATAATCAGTGTCTTCTCAATTATCCTCCCCGTGTCCTCCTGCAGACCCGTTGCAGTCAGTGTTGCAGACCCTGGAGAAGCAGCACCAGGAGGAGAAGCGCTGTGCTCTGGAGCGCCAGAGGCAGATGTATGAACAGGAGCTGCAGCAGCTCCGCCAGCGAGTCACCCCCGAGAAACCATCGGGCGTCCCAGGCAGGGCTACTGCAGCCGTGTTGTCAGCCGGCTCGAACAAACGTGTGCGTCGCTGGAGCGAGGACAGGTGGCGCTGTTCTCTCTGTCGGATAGGTCCCCAAAGAAGAAATCCAGGAGCCTCTGCACAGCGTGGCTGACTGTCATCGTGTCTTTGTGTTACAGAGAGGCCATGATAACCCGCAGCCTGCGACGACTTAAAGAGCAGATCGTTCGGGCTAGGCTGTTGGCTCAGGAGGCCGGCTTCATTGCTGAGGAGCTCAACAAAAGGACAGAGTATCTGGTCACTCTGCAGATCCCGGCCGCCAACCTGGACGCCAACAGAAAGGTACAGCAGGGTGACGTCTGCTTTAAAACAAACGTGGTACCTGTTAAAGATAAAGGCTTCACAGTTCAGTCGCAGCAACATTTGATGAGGAAAAGTGTTGAAATGATGTTTCAGTCCTCATGGATTGAACTCGTAAAGCCGTAGCCGACTGTGAGGATGGAAATGCTGACAGGGGCATGTTTGTTAAAGCCATTTTTGGTTTTCCTGTCGCCGCAGCGCGATGCAGTGCTGAGCGAGCCGGCCATCCAGGTGCGGCGTAAAGGTAAAGGGAAGCAGATCTGGGCTCTGGAGAAGATGGAGAACAGGCTGGTGGACATGAGGGAGCTCTACCAGGAGTGGAAGGAGCTGGACGAAGACAATCCAGTGAGTGGAGACACGAACTAGAACGCCCACAAATAGGACGCAGCATGCATCAAACTGATGAAAGCCACGCAGCAGGAACGCTCATTAGTCAGAGCGTTTGTGGGAAAGCTGGGAACAAAAAAACATAACATGTGAGACTGAGAAATATAAATGTTTGTTTTGTTTTTTGAATTTGCTGGCAACAGCAGACTACATGAAAGTTGTGATTGAGGTTAAAGTTGTAACTGCCACTAAGTGGAACGTCTCGTAAGGTAACAATAAGCTGAGTATTAGAGCCTGCGGCTCGCTCTGCTGTCAGTGTGACAGCGCAGGCCAGTGGTGTCCAACTCCAGCCCTCGAGGGCCGCAGTCCTGCAGGTTTTAGGTGTCCTTGATCCAACAGGCTGATTTAAAGGCTGAATGACCTCCTCAACATGTCCTGAAGTTCTCCAGAGGCCTGGGAATGAACTAATCAGGTGTGATTCAGGTGTGTTGACCCAGGGCGAGATCTAAAACCTGAAGGACACCTCAGGTGTTGGCTAAGCCTGGTGTAGGCAGCTTAAGGGAGCAAATCTTTCACTCAGTTTGTTGGAGTGAAATGAAACAGGAGCTCCCCCAGAAGAAGAACGGGGGTAAGAGCAGGTTGGTGTTTTGATCTGCAGTTCGTCCAGTCGCATGTTGAGTGGTTTTCTCTCTCTGTGATTGGTGCACCTGTGTGCAGATGTTTGGGTGGATGAGGGATTATACGTTCTCACTAACTCTTGCTTCCTTTTTCCCCGATCGAGGTGATGCGCTCCTATTTCAAACGTGCCGACCCCTTTTTCGATGAGCAAGAGAATCACAGCCTGATCGGTGTGGCCAATGTCTTCCTGGCCTGTTTGTTCTACGACGTCAAACTGCAGTACGCGGTGCCCATCATCAACCAGAAGGGAGAGGTACGATTGTTTTGGCTTTACGCCGGCATCTCGCCGCCTCGTTTTCAGCCACAGCGGCCATGTTTTTCCCTCTGATGAACTGGAGAAGTGTGAACTTACCTGCACGGCACCAAACGGACAGTTAGCAGCTAGCTGATGGTGCTGAAATGCCCGTGTGTGTTTCAGGTGGCAGGTCGGCTTCACATCGAAGTGTGGCGTGGTACAGAGAGCTGTGAAGAGGAAGGTGGAGGCGGTCCTGACAAGCAGCTGAGCAGCACAGATGGAGATCCACATGAGCGCAGACTCCGCTGCGTGGTGAGAGGATTTCAGTTTCTTTAACAGGTCCAGCTCTGCAGAAACCCAGCGTGCCCCTCCGAAACGCTGCTAGTCATAATGCAGGACACGAAGTCATAATCCTGCCTGTTGTAGGTCTCCACTTAAAGCGAGCGTTTCTGCCCCGTATGATGGAGCTGGATGCGCTCGTGTGAAGTGCGGCAGGTTTACTTAACTTTAGCTTGTCAAAGGAGCTTGCAAAGAAAAGCGTCTGGACTTAAGTTGCTTGAAGACGTTTCACCTCTCATCCGAGAAGCTTCTTCAGTTCTAAGGTCAAATGGTGGAGAGTCCCAGATATAAACCTAGTGGGAGTAACCCCCCACAGAAGGACAAAAGGCCCCCTGATGATCCTCTAATCACCTGAGCCAAGGTGTGAAACTGGGTGTGGGTCCCAAACAGCCAGAGTTTCGGGTGTGTTCATTGTGAAACCTGGCCCCACCCTGTCATGTGAATTCCTGAGGTCAGATGGCCCAGGATGTGAGTGGGTGTTAAGGCGTCTGGGAAGGATCTCAAAACTGGATTATAGATGGCAGAGAGTTGGTGTCGTAACCCCGCCTCTGTTCAAAGATGGTCGCTCACAGTGGACATAGATGGCTTCTTTCACTCCTCTTTCAAACCATCTGTCCTCTCTGTCCAAAATGTGAACATTGGCATCCTCAAAGAGTGACCTTTTGACCTTTAGATGCAGATGGACTGCTGAGTCTTGTCCTGTGGAGGTGGCTCTTCTGTGTTGTGCCATGCGCTTGTGAAGTGGCTGTTTGGTCTCTCCGATGTAGAGGTCTGAGCATTCCTCGCTGCACTGTACAGCATACACCACATTGTTAAGTCTGTGTTTTGGAGTTTTGTCTTTGTGATGAACCAGCTTGTGTCTGAGCGTGTTGCTGGGTCTGAAATACACCGGGATGCTTGGAGAAAACTCCTGAGTTTTTCTGATACATACATGGGGATGACAATGTTGTCTGTTTGACCTTAGAACTGAAGAAGCTTCTCGGATGAGAGGTGAAATGTCTTCAACTTAAAGAAGTCCAGACGCTTTTCTTTGCAAGCTCCTTTGACTACGATGACCTGGATGACTGAGAACCTTCACAGACTTAACTTTAGCTTAACTGCCTTCTGGTTGTGTTTTGTCGTTGTGGGAAAAAGTCCTTTTCCCTCTGAGGTGCATTTCTGCTCATCCTAGGTGAAAATCCTCCAGGCCACCGGGCTTCCTCGCCACCTGTCCAACTTTGTCTTCTGCCAGTATCGCTTCTGGGCGCAGGAGGAGCCGGTGTTCACCGCTCCAGAGGTGGCCTCTTCCAGCTCGGCGTCCGCCTCCAGAGACCCTCAGTGTACTGTAGTGTTTGACAGCACCAAGGTGGAGCGTTTCTGTGGTTAAGTAAAAGTTGTGATCAGCAGGTGAGTTGTCACTAACAGAAAACGTGCCTCGTGTCATCTTCAGGAATTATCTGTGCCGGTATCGGAAGATTTTGTGGAATTTCTGGCTGAGGGGGCGGTGGCCATCGAAGTGTACGGTCACAAACAGGCTAACCATCGCAGGAATCTGGCACTGTGGGACCTGGGAGTGATCCAAGCCAAGACCAGATCCCTCAGAGAGAGGTGCATCAGTACGAGCGCATCTGCAGCAAATAAACTTCAGTAATCTGAAAAGGGAGATTTGAGAAGCATGAACACAAGAAGACATCAAAATTGGAGCAGATGGTGGCATTTTATTGGAATATGTTTATACTTTATATGTAATATTTATTTTATATGAGCCAAATTAAGTGAGTTCAGATCCACCACCCTGAGCTCCCCCTGAGTAAGGTACCGTCCCTGCGCCGGCACCCACTGCTTCACTGAGTGATTGGCTTCAATGCAGAGAGGAGTCCCACCCACAGGGATTCATAACGTATACGAAGGAGAAAAGTGTTTACAGAGGTCAGAACAGGAAGTCATCATCTCATTGACTGCAGGGAGAGCTTTTGCAACCACAGCTGTCGCCACCTGCTGGCCTTCAGATAGAATGCACCGATCTGGTGCAGCGTCAGCCTTTGAGCACCTTTCTTATGTTCTGTGCTTGTTGCTGTGCACTGATGGTGCGGTCTCTCACAGGTGGAGCGAGGTGACCCGGCAGCTTGAATTGTGGGTGAAGGTGATGGAGCTGAATGAGGCGGGAGAGTTCACAGCTGTAGAAGTTGTTCCTGCTAAAGACGTCCGGACAGGAGGAATCTTCCAGCTCAGACAGGTTGTGTGTCCGTGTGTGTGTGTGCGTGTGTGTGTGCGTGTGTGTGTGATTAGGTATGAAGAAAGGAGTCCAGCCGTCTGTAACGGTTCTTTCCTGAACAGGGACAGTCTCGGCGAGTGCAGGTGGAAGTTTGTCCAGTGCCGGACTCGGGCACCATGCCACTCGTTGCAGCCTCCATCCTGTCTGTGTCTATTGGAGATGTAAAGGTCCGACAGGTGCGTCTCCCCAAAAACGATCCAAAACAGGTGAGGACGCCGTTCTTCAGACTGAGCACGGTTTCAGTTTTCAGCCTTTTAACTGTTAATGTGCATGAATTTACATTTTAGGTTACAGATGAAGAAATGGACAGCTATCAGGTAAGAGACGCCGTGCAGTCTGTGTGTGATGGCGAGGACACGGTCTCAGTCTGTCTCACGTGCGCGTGTGCGCGTGCGTGCGTGCGTGCGTGCGTGCGTGTAGGAGGTGGACCTGGAGAGGATGAGGGAACAGTGGCTGGTCACGCTGACGCAGAGACAGGAGTATTTGGACCAACAGCTGCAGAAGATCGTCTGTAAAGCAGGTACAGCTGGAAACACAAGGGCAGAAAGGGGACTCGCTGGCCACTTTATTAGGTATACCTTGCTCGTACCGGGTTAGACGGCGTTTCGCCTTCAAACATGTTGTATATTCAACAAAAGCTGGAAACGTTCCTCACAGACCTGAGTCCATGCTGACGTGATGACATCACACCGTTGCTCTTTGTGTCTGCTGCACATCCAACTCGAGCAAAGAGATCTGGTTACCATGGAGGTCACTGAGTATGGTGAACTCCGCTGTCGTGTTCCAGACGCCAGTTTCAGATTATCTGACGTTCGTGGCGTGAACCATTAACCCGTCGGAAGAATCTATCAGCAGATGGGCGCTGTGTGATGGTTACAGGGACGGGCGCAGCAGTAATGCTCGCCGTAGGATGTGGTGCGTGCCAACAGTCTGACACGCCTCTGAGCCGACCGTGTGGCTGTGTAGCACATCCAGGTTACATGTGATGTGCGTTCAGAGATGCTGCAGTTTTTACCCCTCAGCCATAAAAGGCTGATGGGGTACTGCCGTCACCCAGCTGGGCGGGTGGCACGGACACCTTTGTGAGCGTGTCGAGAATGAGGAGAGGGTTAGGGTGAGGCGCATCTACTGAAAAAACTGGACGAATTTAAAGGTCAGAGTATGATTTCTGAAAGTCGTGTGAGAGCAGTAACTGAGGGATGGCACAGGTGGTCGCTGTCCATCACCCAGAGAGCTGCCACTGAACTCCAGGGATGGCTGTGTGAGGAAACACCCAGCACATCAGGAAAGTCTCGATTCCTCAGACCATGAGCCAATAAGCACGGCACATTCATTTGCAGGTCTCCTTCACCATGTTTGCATTTCTAAATATGTTCAGTTGGTGCAGTGTGTCAGCCCATTAGTTTGTTTGGGGTTTTTGCAATAATATGAAGGGTGTACCTAATATAACGACCAGTGAGGGAATCTATAAATAATGATAAAAATCTGTCTGAGCGGTGTTTCTACCACTAAGCGTTTGTGACGTTTTTCCTGCGAACGCGCACAGACAAGTCGGAGGATGATGTTGAAAGGGAATCGCAGCTGTTGGAGTGCCGGCTGACCCTCACCGAAGAACGGAACGCCGTCATGGTCCCGTCCGCTGGCAGCGGCATTCCTGGAGCGCCAGTAGAGAGGTGGGCGGGTTTTATTGGGGTTCTTTACTTTTCTAAACAACAGAAGAAAATGAGCAAGAAAAGATTTCTGGTAAATGTGGAGCTGCTCCAAAAAGCTTTCCTGTATTTAGAAAGTGAATTTATCTTTAATGTGATGGAACATGCAGAAGCTCAGGCCACAGTGTCGTTTTATTTTACTACCTAACATTTCAAAGCTTCTAAATTAATGTTGAATTCATTCATTCTGTCTTTATTTTCTGTGCCCTTTGATCTTGAAGATGTCCGACTGTTTATTCTCTGTTTTAGTCTGAATTTCAGTTACTGAGTTAATGACAACAACCAATAGTTACTTGTAGCATGTTTGTAAGTGATCGAGCGTACTGTTAAAAACTGCACTGCTTTCACAAGAAGCCGTCGAATGATCCACGGTCCTCGCGGTGTCAAACACAGAGCGGTCGCCACCTTCACTCAGGAACAAACCTTAGCAGCTGGTCACTTTCTCCACAGGGTCCCTGTACCTGGGATGGAAACACACACTCCTGCCCTGTTTCTGGATCTCAGTGGTATGTTGTTGTTCTCCTGGTAAAAACCACGTGTGCTTGTAGCAGCGCTGAAGCTCCTCTCCGTGTGCGTTTTCCCTCCAGCCGACGATTTCCAGTCCAGTCTGTCGGCCCCGCTGGCCGGAGGACAGGACGCGCTGCTCAGTGGGGAAGATGAAGACGACTTCTTTGACCTCCATATTGTTAAACACTATGATCCAGAGGTGAGCAGGCTGTAAAATGACTTTTCCCTCAGGTTTCTTCTTCCTGCTTTAGAGAGAATTAAAACTACCAGATGCAGATGGAGGGAAATCTTGAGCCGGTCATTTCCTTGTGAATGCGTTCCAGGTGAAGGCCGAGGCGTCCTGGGACTCCACGGTCCACGAGTGCCCCCAGCTGAGTCGCGTGGCGCCCGCTGACCAGAGGGTGTACCTGACGGTGCGCACGGTGGTGCAGCTGAGCCATCCGGCCCACATGCAGCTGGTCCTCAGGAAACGCATCTGTGTCAGTGTTACTGGGAGACAGGTGTGTGTAGCTTAGATGGTGTGATGGGTGTGCTTCACAGCCCGCACCTGAGGAGATCAGCTGATGTGTTGTTGCGCTGCAGGGTTTTGCCCAGAGTCTGCTGAAGAGGATGTCTCAGCGGAGCTCCGTCAGCGGCTGTGGGATCACCTTTGAAGTGGTTTCTAACATCCCAGGAGTAAGTACCAGGATTCATGTTGGCGTCTGCATTAGTGTTCAGGAAGGAAGGAAAGGGGAATAGAATAATACTTTAATTGTCCCACAAGGGGAAATTTGGTTGTATCAGCAGCAAAACACACATATAAAGAACAGAAAACACAATTTTTACATATTTACATCATGGACAACAGTTACCAGAGCACAGTTGTTGGGATTAGTGTACAGATGTGCAGACAGCAGGAGACTGAAAGATGTTTAAATAGTGAAGAATATTTAGAATCATTAGAAACGTGCAGATTGTGTGATTGTGCATTAAAATGTAGACATGTAACTTCCAATAAGTTAGTGTATAAGATAAGATAACTCTTTATTGTCATTGCACAGTCATACATAGTACAGTAGTACAATGAAATTGGAAAAACTGTCCTACGTCGGCACTACATATAACACAACACGACACGATATGACACATCACAACGTAACAAACAACACAACACAGTATATTAACTTAGTATAAAAAGAAGAATACGTGTATGTGTATTGCACACTGTTATTATTGCACATTAATTATTATTGCACCTTGTTATAAATATAAATATTATTGTTATCGTTTTAAACATTGTTACCTCCCCCTAAAAAGTCCAGGGAGGTATCCAGTCAGGTCAGCTATTTGCATTGATCAGGGCTATTGCCCTGTTGTAAAAGCTGTCCTTGAGTCTATTTGTTCGGGACCTCAGCAGCCTGAACCTCCTGCCAGACGGCAGCAGCTTAAACACCCGGTGTCCTGGGTGTGTGCAGTCCCGTAGGATGCTGCGTGCCCTCTTGAGACAGCGAGTGCTGTACAGGTCCTTCAGGGAGGGAAGAGGATGTCCAATGATTTTTTGGGCCATGTTGATGACCCTCTGGAGTGCCTTTCTGTGTGCTGTGGTGCAGCTGGAGAACCACACACCGATGCAATATGTCAGCACACTTTCAATGGAGCAGCGGTAGAAGACGGTCAGCAGCTCCTTCTTCAGGTCCATTTTTCTGAGGATTCTCAGAAAGTGGAGACGCTGTTGGGCCTTCTTTAAGACCGCAGAGGTGTTAGAGCTCCATTGGAGGTCTGTGTCTATGTGCACACCCAGAAACTTGAAACTGGAGACCCTTTCCACGCACTCCCCGTTGATGCTGACAGGCTGCAGCTCGGACTTCCTCCTTCTGAAGTCAACTACCAGTTCTTTTGTTTTGGTGGTATTGAGGTCCAGGTTGTTGTCTGCACACCAATCTGACAGCCTCTGAACTTCAGCTCTGTATGCAGTCTCATCTCCCCCTGAGATGAGCCCCACCACAGTGGTATCATCTGCAAACTTGATGACTGTGTTGTCTGGGTGGGAACTAACACAGTCATGTGTGTACAGAGTGTACAGTACATATAAGCTGAGTAAGTAATGTGCAGTTATAACAGTAGAAGCTGCTACAGCGCAGATGTGAACATCTATGATTGTTGGGAGCAGTTGTGATTGTGCAGTCTGACAGCTGCAGGGAGGAAGGCCCTGCAGAAACGCTCCTTCATGCATCGACGATGCAGCAGTCTGTCACTGCAGCAGCTCTGCAGCAACATTCACATGCATGGGGTGGGAGACTCTGTCCATCAGAGTCCTTCTGTCTCCCACCACCTGCACTGGGTCCAGGGTGCATCCCAGAACAGAGCTGGCCTTCCTGATCAGCTAAATGGCAGTGAGAACAAAAATGGTGAGCGTGTACATTTCTTGAATCTGGTGGTCATTTTAGAGTAAGAACATTTCGACGCACATATGGAGGAATGAATCCCGGCGTTCCAGAAGTAGACGGCACGTTCTCTGTGGAGAGAAAAGGCTTTCTCATGGACACTTTTCCAAATAAGCCGACACATGTTCACGCTTTTCCTAATTGTGCCATGATGAACTTAAACATTGCAACCTCTGGGTGAAGCTGCTCCTCCTGGGAAGGATCAATGCTCTGTTCATTTTTATCGCAGCAGAGTGATGCGCTTTAACGTTTTTGGGAGTGACCTTTGAACCCTTTCCAGATTGATGAGCAGCCACAGTTGCTTCTCTGAGATCGTCTTTCCTCCTCAGTTAACACACCGGAAAGCTCCAGACCAGCAAAGTGACAAAAGACTAGCTTTTATAGAAGTGCTCACACCTGCTGATGATCAGTTAATCAGATGTATTGATTAGCAGCATCTACCTATGGAAGAGGTGAAGATGTACGTTTTACACACTGATACTAATATAGGATATGATACTAGGTTCAAATCTCTGACCTTGACCTCAGCTTCAGAGGTCATGTTTTCTGAAAGTCTTGTGATTGTGACAAATTCAGAAGAAGGCAACATCGGACGTTACCATGACGATTTTTGTAGACTCGAACAGAGCGTGGTGTTTGTGTAAACATCAACATGGCGTGATGCTACCACAGGAGTGCGACCAGATCAGCGTGTTTTTAATATAAAGGTGTTTGATCTGCTCACACACAGAACACAGTGTTATTTGGCTTTGAATAAATACTGCCTTATTTCCCACTACAGGACATCCACGGTCCAGAGGACAGGGAGATGCTGGCCCGGCTGGCCGCCAGCGCAGAGGACGAGCAGTCGGCCGCCAGCGAGGCAGCCATCGAGAAATACCTCCGCAGTGTCCTGGCTGTGGAGAACATCCTGACGCTGGACAGGCTCAGACAGGTGTGGAAATGTGGTTCACCTGAGATGTGAAGCAGATTTGAATATTAAAACATTAATACTGAGATTTATCACGAGCTCAACTAAAACCCAACATTTCCAGTTGATTCAATGAACACAAAGCAGTTTGTCTCCAGTGGAAACACTCAGAGACGCTGTGTCCACGAAGGAAACAATCAGCAGGTGTGTGTGTGTGTCTCTGTGTGTGTGTGTGTCTCTGTGTGTGTGTGTCTCTGTGTGTGTGTCTCTGTGTGTGTGTGTGTGTGTGTGTGTGTCTCTCTGTGTGTGTGTGTGTGTCTGTGTGTGTGCGTGCGTGTGTGTCTCTGTGTGTGTGTGTGTCTGTGTGTGTGTCTCTGTGTGTGTGTGTGTGTGTCTCTGTGTGTGTGTGTGTGTGTGTCTGTGTGTGTGTGTGTGTGTGTGTGTGTGTGTGTGTGTCTCTGCGTGTGTGTGTGTGTCTCTGTGTGTGTGCGTCTCTCTGTGTGTGTGTGTCTCTGCGTGTGTGTGTCTCTGCGTGTGTGTGCGTGTGTCTCTGCGCGTGTGTGTGTGTGTGTGTCTCTGCGCGTGTGTGTGTGTGTCTCTGCGTGTGTGTGCGTCTCTGTGTGTGTCTCTGCGTGTGTGTGTCTCTGCGTGTGTGTGTCTCTGCGTGTGTGTGTCTCTGCGTGTGTGCGTGTGTCTCTGCGCGTGTGTGTGTGTGTGTCTCTGTGTGTGTGTCTCTGCGAGTGTGTGTGTGTGTGTGTCTCTGTGTGTGTGTGTGCAGGAGGTGGCTGTGAGGGAGCAGCTGGCTGGCAGAGGAAGAGCTGCCAGACGGTGCCTGAGCTCGCCGGACATCGAGCGGGTGAGCAGGCTCACTTTACTTTGTTGCTGTTGTTAAGTCTCTTTATTCTGCTGTTGGCAGCAGCGACTCACCTGGGGTTGGTTTATACTCTGGGTTTTCTTTCTTGATTGCCTTTGTCAACAACCAGTCTCATCATCAATCTGCCTCACTAACCTCTAACCACTTAACCTTTGACCCAGCTGTCAGACAGCAGCCTGGATCTTGGCTCCTCCCCTCTTAAGCTCAAAGACTTCAAGGTGAGACACTGAAGTCAGCTTCTCTTTGGTAACTGCTTGTACTGCTTAGGTAAATACAACCTCATTACACTCCAGTTGTTCCTGCTAATTAACTGCATGTTTGTGATGATACTAATTTGCATGTCTGGATTCATACAGAAGGTGAAACCTGATGGGTCTCCAAGGTGCTTTTACTAATACACTTACCTGAAGAGGATATCTTATTGTGCTTTGAATGACCACGAACCACCGACCTTCTGATTAGTGACTGACCTGCTCTGCCACCTGAGCCACAGCCACCCATAAGCAAGCGAATAACGCAGGAAACAGATTTGATCGTAAATGTGTGCACTGAGAGCGAGCTGTGCAGCAAGTGTGATTTTTATCGTGGTGGAAGCAAAAAAGTCAGAATCAATGCCGATGTTTATCAAACGAGAAGCGTCGTTTGGATCTTCTTTTGCTGCTGGTTCAGTCAGTGTTGGTCAGAGTGACGAAACCTGCAGCTCAGACTCTGAGTCGGCTCTCAGCACCGACAGCGTGTTCGCGTGCTCCGCTTACATCTTTTCCTGTTTACTTGCTGTTTTAGCTGTTTGGCAGTTAATGAAACAGTTTTGTGAGCTTTAATCGGAGATTCTGCCGTTTCTGCCAAAATACATTTATACTTAAATCGATTCAGCACTTAAACCCAGCCCTGTACAAGTAATCTGTGTAACCTCGCTGAATGACGTATGACTTAAACACTGTGGACAAATGGTAACAAAAATAAACTAAAAATGGTTGAAATTCCTAAAACTCGGTGTATCAATAGAAGATGTAGCTTAACGCAGTGAATGAATGGATGGAGCTGTGTTGCAGCTGTGTTTGGCAGCCATTGGATGTTGCTCCCACAAAGACTGAAGTGCTCTTCATCGTGTCTGCAGGCCTGGGACAGTCATCACGACCTCTCTGTGGCGCCGCCTCCTCCTTCCAGACGCACCCTTCCCAGCTCCTTGTCCCAGAATCTGAACGCAGAGACGGGTACAGCTATTTAAAAACACCCTCTGTGTGACCTTTGATGTCATCAGCTGTGCATCTGATGCTTTAGTCTGGGGCAAACTTTTTCTCTTTAAGAGTCTTATTCTCAAAAATGGTTTGGTTTGTTTGGTTTTTCTCTGCCCCCCTTCTCCATCTCCTCTTCCTTCTTCTGCAGAGCATTCAGGCTTCACTGCTTCTTCTCTCCCTTTAGTGAAGGCCGTACCCAGGCTACTGAAGTCGCTGCTTCCTGGTGGGAAAGAGGGCAGAGACCAGACAGCTGTCCATCAGCAGGTAGGCTCATTCGGTCTGTTTATTGTGCTCTGCATTAAAGCTTGTCTTCGACCTGCATCCTTATCAGGGATTTAAAGTTCGTATGCGTCGCTGCTACCTGAATCTGAACACGCCATCTCCTCATCAACAGTCTGAGTTCTTCTGTTGCCATAGAAACAGAGCTAATGTCTGTGGAAACAGAAATATGAGGCAGATGATGTAAGTGCACCTTTTGCCTCGTTGTTTTAAGATTACGAAGAAAAGCATGTTGTGAATAAAAGCTTTGGATGGTTTGCAGAGTGTTTAGTTTTGGCAAAACGGAGTAAATCCCGCCGACGTCCATATTAAAATGGCCAACATTACTACAGCCCGATAGAGACACAGCTGCCATCACCTTTCAGGTAGCTGCTAACATGTCTCCTGTTTAGGGAACGGTTAGGACAGCGACGATTATTATTATCATCCTGTAACCTCACAGGCTCACAAACCTAATTCAAAACACTGGACTTGATGCTTTTCGGAACATTGTGAAAGAAATTATGTGACAAATCTAATTAGTGAAATCCTCGTATTACTTACTATGGTGGCACTAATTACCAGCTGAGCGTGTGGTGTGCATTTCTGGACAGGCTAATCGGCCAGCTGGCACCAGCTGTTAGTGTAGTACTCCACTACCCGAGAGACGGCGGTTCATGAACCAACACGTGGCGCCATGATGGCCGCATCTTTTTTCAGCTGCTAATAAAATGGAGTGTAGTGGTTTACACACTCGTCTGCCATGTGAAGGCAGACGAGTGTGTAAACCACACATCCTTCGGGCGATGTCAGGAAGAGCATCTGTCATAAGAAACGGGCAAATCAAAGCGATGCACTGTAGTGAACAAGGCAGCTGGTAATGAACGTGCTTCCGTTTTCAGCCAATAACTCTAAAGTACTCGAGTCTTGTGTCTGAGTCAGAACAAGACTGAATGGCTGAGCTGTCCCCACCGACTGATGTTCGTGAGCACGTCTGCTTCAGGCGCTTACTGTGCGTAGACCAGGGGTAATTACGAGCTGCTGAACTTTATCCTGACACGTTGCTCCTTCAACCTGCGCAGCATCTGCTCTTCTGCAATCATGCAGCTTTTTTCATAGCAGCCAAACACTCCAGCGTCTCATTTGGCTGATTGGCCCTTGAGCTATGGAGAGTAGCTAATCAGGGGAATGTTGGAAAGGAAACCCAGCAGGCCTCGCTGTGCTTGTTGTTGAGAATATTGCTTTAATTAGCATCTTCCTGCCACAGATGTTTACAACAGTCAACACAAAACAAAAGCTTGGAGTGACGCAAATAATAGCGGGCTGCCAAAGGGTAATTTGGTCGATGATCACGGCCCGTACGAATGTGTTTGGGGCTCTACATGAATTGTAGAGCTGTCATTGGGTTTGAATACTGCTGTACTTTGTACTTTCGATACTTGCACATCTCTGGACCTTAGAAATGACTGATGTTATAAAACCAACAAAACTAATTTATTAAGTCTGCATGAAAGTTTCATTAACTATGACTCACTCTTTTTTCCTAAAGATTTCTTTCATATAAAGAAATGAAGGAGTTTGTCCTGTTAGACAGCAGACATCCGTAGACCAGATCAGCGGTCCCCAAACCCCAGCCCAGTACTGCTCCGTGAGAGTCCAGGCTCGGCCGTGAAAGTTATGGTTTTCAGGGTTTTTATCGTTAACTCGGTTTCCCTGGGTGTTTCCCGTGTGTTATCAACAAATCTCCTTTTTGGTACCGGTACTGTTTTTTATTTTGATGTATTTATCTGCGACACTTTAAAGGCCGGTCTGTGAAAATATTGTCGGACATAAACAGACCGGCCTTTGAAGTGTCGCAGATAAATACAACAAAATAAAAACCAGTACCGGGCCGGGGTTTGGGGACCACTGGTCTAGCTGATAAGTACTATTGGCTAAAATTGTGGTTGTCCGTGAGATTGATCAGCACTTCCAGCACCAACTACTGAAATGTTGAACTGCTGCGAGTAGAACGTTTGAGTCATCGTTTGTTAAATCAGGAAGTTTACGCTCTCCGGATGAAACGATCGTCTCAGAGGGAGCGCGGGAATTATTCGGTCTGTGTTACGGCTGTACGATCACACTCGGACCTGTTGGAGGTTTACTGAAGGTGCTGTAAATACACACGTTGTTGTTGCTGATGCTTAAATGCAGAGGTTTTAATGCTACATTTGGAACATTGATCTACCACACATCACATCAATACCTGAAAGATGACAACAGCAACAACAAAAGAAAAGTAAAATACACAAGTGTCAGTTTGCACTGCTGCACTGTGCAGCCACGTGGCTAAAAACCTGAAACTAAAAGGATTTATGTGCATCTGGCAGCCTGGCTCTAAACGCTCAGGGTGACGACTGGATGAAGAGTTCCAGGACACAACTTTGACTCGCAGCTTTCAGCAGTTAGTCGACGCACATTATGCTGTGTTAAATGAAGCACAATTCCAAGTAAACTGTGTGCTGCAAACCATAGGACATCACATTTCTTTGATTCGGTTAAATACACACCTTCCAGCATTTTCCTGAAACGGATGATATGCAGTGAAGCCAGCCCACCGTCAGCAAAGGTGCCAAAGCTGGTGCGCATTTATTTCCAAAGAGGAGTGTGCGCTCACATGGCTGAACTGTGACTTTAGCCTCCTGGTGATTAGCTCCTCTCACTGATGCTGCACAGCAGCCAGCAACAACAACCTCAACTAAACGTTTACTCCTCAGCACCTCCTGGGCTTGCCGTGCTTCAGATGAACGGCTGTCGAGAACACGGACACGTGGAGATTGCGGTTAACACAGACGGGTGCTTGTTGTGCTTTGATTTCAATAACCAGTAAAGCAGAGGCAGCATTTGTTGTGCACCTGATGTGTTGTGTTGACCTGCAGGTTTATTTTCCCGAGCACGCGAGGGGTAGGATAGACCTGTTTGACCTACTTTCTGACGTCAGACCTGCGGACCATGTAGGTCGTCGTTCTGCTCTCAAAGCTCCTTGTGTCCTAAATCGAGCAGCTTCCTTTCTGCATGAACTCAGTCGTCATGATTAAAATCCTGTCTGCTAAGCACACGCATCTTTTAAAGATCAAGATGGGTTTTTGTTTTCTTCGTGCTTAATCAGTTGACGGATGACGAGTTTTGAATCCTGAGCAGGGATCAATGATGATGGGTGCAATTATAATTAAGGTGCAATTATACTGATTGTTTGACTAGTTTGTCATGATTACGAGTCTAATGAACCAATGTTTTTATTACACTGTCTGCATCTCGTGTCAACATCTCGAAACGCTGTTATCGAAATAAATATCTGATTCCTTTCGTCACGTGAACATACGAATCTGATTGCACATCTTTCATAATTATGAAGAATCATCTGCAGCTGCAGCAGACGGTCAGCTGGCCTAATGTTAGTACCAGAGAGGGCGTAGCAGGTCGGTGTTCAGCCTCATTGTTACCATCACAGGTTCAGTTTTCTCTCTGCTTGTTTCTGTCCTTCTGTCTCTCTGATGCTCCCACAGCAGCTAATCACCACATCATGCAGTGTGGCATGAACAGACTTCTGTTAATCTTCAGGTTTGAAGCAGACAGAGCTGATTGGCCCCTGATTGCATCTTGAAATCAGCTTGAAAAGCCTTCAGTGCTAATTAGCAGCTTTGAGATGTTTTATCTGAAGTCACATTAACTTTGCTTTTTTAATTCCGACCCCGTCGCAGAGTCTGCCGCGCATCGTGGTGCAGTCGGCCAGCGTTGAAGAGGACATGAGCAAACAGCGGCAGGCGGTGAGTCCTCCAGCCCCGCCCGCATGGTGTTAACACATTGTGTAGATCTGTTCTTCCAAACATAGAAACTGATCGGAGTGGAGTGTATTCAGTAATGCCGTCTGTGTCAACCGAAACTCGCCCATCGTTCGTCATCGGCTGTAAATGCCGTGGTACAAAAACGTTGGATGAAGTTATAAAAAGCCTGCACGGCTTCTGGCAGCGCTGTTTGTCTTTTTAGATTCTTCACTTTAATATTTTTAGACGTTTGTGTTACTTTGAAAACACGACAAGTTCACCTGACCATCCTGTGCACGTTAACAGGACTGTGATTATATGGAATACATTCATGTTTAATACCAGCAACATCTGCTGGTCATTGTTATTCAAACATTTCTGCTGCTCCAAGTATCCAACTGAACCTGGCTCCAAGTACAAAGACTGTAGAATGACAATGATGTAGCTTCCATGTTTAAAAACTGAGGGCAGGTTGGCCTTGTGATTGACAGGTAGGTTTTTCAGTCAGATCCTCAGAAATGGTGAAAAACATTCATCTTGAGGCTGGACTAACCAGGAGCTGGCACTAGGGTGGTTATGATCAGAAATTGGAAATGAATTTGTGGCAATTCCATTTTTGGAAACTGGCAAAAAGACGCTCTTTGGCTAAAACCACGTTTCTATGGTTTGCCCCCAGGTCCCCATTGATGAAACAGAAATCCCCAGATCTGTGCCTCTTCCACCTCCAATCATCCCAGAAACTGAAGACTCCACCACCAGTCCAGTGAGCGAGGCTTCCAGTGGATATATGTCAACAAGCATATCTACAGTAACGCTGTCAGAAGTCTACACGCTGAGCTGGGACTTGCCTTCGTCATATGGTAGCAGGGATGGCTTTGAAACTGTGCTCGATGAGCACGAGGAGGAAAATGTTGTGACACAGAAGTTCTCTCCTTTCTCTGACACCACACAATCGGACACTCTTATTTTAGACCAATCAGGGCCTCAGGAATTACTGAGTTTGAGACAGAAAGCAGATGCAGAGAGTATGGAGCAGGAGCCATCTGAACCAGATGTTATGCCGAGTCAACAAGAACCAAATCGGTTCCTATCAGACCAGTTAAAGGAGGCCGAAAAATCTGATCCAGCTGCAGAAGCAGAATTGCCAGACCAGACCGAACAAAAACAGGACCGTGGATCAGAGCAACGAGATCATTCAGAGGTGGCACAAAACAATGGGACCAAGCAGACAGAAGTGCGCCATGTAGACCACAGTGAACCAAAGACTCCTTCAAGAGAAGATCTCGAGGTGGCTGCCACAAACAAAGTAGAATGTGAACTGGCGTTTTCTAATGAGACACAACGATCTGCTCAAGAAGGAGCGAGGCGTTTGGAATCAACCGTCCTGCAACCCCAGCAGCGCACACAAGAGCAGACGGCTTCAGACTTTATTCAAGATCCTTCTCCAAGCCTGATCCAAGCCTCAAGTCCTGATCCAGGACCGCCTGTAGACCTGGCTGCTCAAGCTTCATCCAAGCAACAGTCAACTTCTGATGTTCCAGAAACAAATGGTGCCTCCTTCCTACCCTCATCCTCAGCCACCAGTGAGGTTCAGCAGCCAGCAGCTTCTGTCAAACCTGCCAAAGGCCCCATTTCTTCTCCCAAATCAGGTCCCTCAGTAGCTAACCCCTTCAAGATCCAGAAAGTGAAGTCTTCAGACCTCAAGTCATTTCTGCAGATTCTGAGTGAGGAGGAGCATGATACCCCCACACTGGTGAACCAACCCTCAAGTTGTGGGACAGGACCCAACCTTTCAGTGCCGAAGGAAAGTCTGGAAATCATCTCTGACACAGAGGATGGAGATACAGCTGCTTCTGCTGTTCTTCCCGAGTGGTTGAAAGAGGGCGAGTTTGTGAGTGTGGGGGCTAATAAGAGTGGTACGGTGCGATATTTGGGACCCACAGATTTTGCAGAGGGGACTTGGGTTGGAGTGGAACTTGAAGTACCAGCAGGTAGGTTTAGATTAGACCCAACACCAAATCTGATCGTTCTCATTCTTCATGAACATGTATGCACTGCCAATTAAAGCCTCATTATTGCTTTTTTAAATTTTTACGATTCATGTATTTTCCTCTTTCTTTCAGGAAAGAACGATGGGTCAGTGGCTGGTAAGCACTACTTCCACTGCAACCCTGGTTACGGCGTGTTGGTAAGACCTGACAGGGTAACCCGTGGCGATCCCAAACGCCATCGCCAGCAGCAACAAAAACGCCGTAGTGCCCATCTGTCGGGGTCCAGCCCAAACCTGGCAGCCCTTACAGCTCTGGCCAAAGGCGAAGGTGGAACCGGATCAACCGGTCGCGGCAGGGGGGAGAACCGCAAGTCGTGGAACACTTAAATGGCTCATTGCTGGGCATCCCCAGCACATCACTGCCCATATGGGACAAAAGCTTAAGCCTACTGGCACAGTGGTGTCTGGCGTACTTTAGACCGATTTACTGGAGGTTTGACAGTAAGTTTGGATGAGTCACTCCACGCTCTCGTGTCTAGAGGATGATTTTTGGCTTTTCCTGTTACAGGACTCCATTCCTGTGTGACGTACTTGGCAGACATTGGATGTTTTATCTGAAAATGTGAATGCTTTTAGATAATTACACGCTAACCTTTTATAAATGTATTTATTCAAAAGACATTACATTGTAATCAAAGCACTGCGACCTGTATATGTCGTGTAAGGAAGCGAGGGTACACATGAAGTACGCTACAGACGGATTCACAGGAGGCACAGTCTCCTTTTTACTGTGCATACCAAAAATGCCCCCCCCCCCCAAAAAAAAAGGCTAGCCGATTTCTTTCTCGTGCAGTTCCAAAGATAAACAAATATGAGTGCAGACATCCAGATGTGTGTTTTGTAATGTATGACTATATGGTGTGCTATTAGTCTTGTGCCTTGAAATGCTTTGAATAAAGCCTTTGGAAAAATGCCTTGGACACGTCCCACCGCACTGTGTAGGAATAAAGGGGATTATTCTGATGTGATTCTGCTGGTTAAAATCATTGCACTCGTCAAAAATGCTACTGCTGGAATTTTGCAACAGTTATAAATCTATATTTTCCTCTTCCTGTCAAGCAAATGCAGGAATCTGCATTAGTTTCACGTGAGGGTGTTTGAGAACGTTACTTGTGACTTTCCCTGTATGTGCTGCAGTCTGATGTTTGGTGAGGATTGTGTTGGTTTTAATGTTGTGTTAGTTTTTGTGCAGAAATGTGTTTTATACATTTGCATTTAAAATGATCAAGCTTGAATGTTTGTTTAAAGATCAACTTTTTATAAGTGATAATAAATCAATTTAGTGTGTGTGTGTGTGTGTGTGTTAGTTACAGCTTTATTCTCTGGTACATTATGTACTCATTTTTTGAGATTAGAAAATCTTTTACGACGATGTCCTGGTAAAAGAGATTACATAATCACTGCATCATCTCTATTGGGTTTTATTAGGATTTTTTTTTTTTTTATCATTTTATTTTTTTAAGCTAACTTTAGAGAAGGAAAAATAAAGTTTGAGCATCTTTCAGCACCATCTTTATCTATTTTTCAAGAGAACAAAAAGAGTGCCTCTGCAAAACCTTTGGTCTAGCTTAGCTCCTCCGTTTCATGCTATTCATACTTTTTCTTTCTTTAACCACCGGGTGATTTCTCCCAGACCACTCCACGACCTCATCCACCGGTCCTCTGTCCTCCTTCTGTCCACACAGACTGTAAGTCTGAGGTGAGAAGCGCTGATATTTGGAAAGCAGTGACCAGCTGTTCCTGCACAGATGTTGTAATCACATCTGTTTTCATTTGTGGACATGATGTCTCAGTGAAATTCATGGTTGCTGGTTTCCAAATGTCTTTTCCTTCCTTCCTGAACACTAACATGATGTCCTGGTACTTCCTCCTGGGATGTTAGAAACTACTTCAAAGGCGATCCCACATCCGCTGACGGAGCTCCGCTCAGATGTTCTCTTCAGCAGGTTCTGGGCCAAACCCTGCAGCGCAACAACACATCAGCTCCTAACGCTTGAATGACATTTGGTAACTTCTCTTAAATTCCGACTGAAGCAACGACATGGCAGGATACTGCTGACTGACAAAAAATCTGCTAGTAAACATCAGAGGGTTACCCTGGAAACAGGAGCCTGGGATGTTGTAGTATAGGCCTCTGCAATATGAAGCAGGACTTTTAGCTTCTCGGTAACTTCTAGAAACCTTCAGTTTGACCCTGGGTTTATTTTATACTAATTATATTTTTCTGTGAGCAAATATAAGCATTTATGTTTCTATGTGATTCTTTAATATGACAAGTACACTGGAGACAGAAATTTGCACCTAGACTGAGCCTTTGTTTGAGTGCTTTGAAACATCAGCGCTGTAGCATGAATGCACAGTGAAAAACCTCCAAAAGGACCTGTGCAAGAACTGGGAGAGTGCACAACATGTTCTGGTATCAGTGGAATTACAGAAAATAGTCCCAAAAATGATCACCTCCATCCTAAATAAGCTAACAAAACCACACCAGCCATTCTGATGTCTAAAGAAAAACAAAAACCTACCATTTCCTTTTCTTTTAAATGAATATATATACTTTGATTTCTAAATGAAAATGTGTTGGTTCTTGTATATAATACAATATGCAGTGTTTCTTACAAATAAATACTGTTAAATGAATAAATCCTCACTATCATTTTTTTAGGAAAACAATAATATGGTCATTGTTCTATGAATGTAAAAATGCTCATGAATATATAAACGTCTTCCAAGGTCGTTTTCAACAGTTATTTCTGATTGTTAGCCCCCCCATTAAAAAAATCCCAGAAACGCCCCTGGGCAGAGCTCAGTGGCAGCCTGCATTGTGGGATGTATGGGACCACGCTTGGTATCCGGTTGTTCAGTGATGACGCGACGAATCCTACTTCCGGGTCTAAAGTAGTCTGCGTTTAATCAGAATCAGAATACTTTATTGATCCCTGGGGGAAATTATTTGGCCTTTGTGTTGTTAACATGTTTAATGTTTTGTATTTTCTTCTATTTAATCTCAAAAAGCTCCTAAAACAGTCAGTGATCACTGTTGACCTCCCTCGGCTTTTATTACCGCTAATCATTTATTTAAGCTCAGTTTTTAAAACCTTAGGATGTAACTACAGCCCAGCTCATGCAGCAGTATATGAATGACTAACCTCGTATTGTGGATGGATTATCTCAGTTGTTCTCCTGGCTGAAGTTTGGTCCTTTTACAGCATCCTGCCATGCGATTACATTTGTTCCTGACCACCGAGAACACTCACGTTAACTTTTATCGAGTGGAAAAAAAGTTAGCTTGTTTATATTATGCTAACATAGCTGTGTCGCTAGCGGTCACGTAGCACATCATTATATACCAGCTAGCCCAACTTCAGTAACCCTACAAACGTCACTGCTGTTTAGTTTTCTGTCTTCATTTATGTTGGAAGTGATAGCAGAGCTGTACGTTTTAATTTGTTTCCAAAACCCCGCAGTCAGGACATGCTATATTGTATTTAGATAGAAGCTAGCGAGCTAACTCCCTGCTAACTTCTAACTCCGTTAAATGTCATAAATTCCGTTTTCATGGATGCCTGGATGTTAAACTCAATTGTTACACCTGGTAGAGCAGAACGCTGATCATTTTATTAAAGATGAAAGACTTAAGACAGTTTTTCAACTCTCAGTAATGCCATAGTGATCGTTTGATATATGGACCTGCAGCAGAGTTTAGGCCCAGACACGGCTAGTGACGTCAGACTGAACAACCGGATTTGGGGAAATCGACGGCGCATTTGAAGCACACTTCGAATTGGAACAGCCGTCGTCGCGTGGCGGTGACATAATCGCACTTAAAATGCGTAAGTTTGCAGTCTGTTGTGTTGCGTTCAGGGGACGCCATGTTCAAAAGTAATAGCGTATTTGGCGCGAATGTGGGGAAAGGTTGTGTGAATGTGAGATGGGTTATTTTGGTATGTTGTTCTGCTTTAGCCGCGAGTGTTTTGTTTAAGTTGTATGTAAAGTCATTTTGAATTAGTTTGTATTTATTTTGCTTTTGAGAGAAACTTTTTGTAACTTTATTTTTGTTTGTGAACTCTGTTATTTTATGGAAAGAATGCATTTCTATTGTGTATATGTTGCAGAAATAAATGAGCTCCGGCCTGAGCAAGACGCTAACTAGGGTGTCCTCTCTATTAATCCACAGTTTGCTCATATCTGGCTACGCAGTGCTCTCTAGCCTGTGTGCCGCTTGCTGCCGGTCCAGATTCCCCTAGGTCTGGTGCCGGTAACAGAAGCATATAGAAATACTAATGTTTCTATACTTGTATAAATAAATTACAGTGATTGTAAAATAAAACGCACCCTGAAGTTACCCGGATAAGCTTAAAGTCTATCTTCATAGTGTAGAGGCCAATGAAACAGGATTTATGACTTACCCAGATAACTTCAGGGTTGATCCTGGGTTTTCTGTACCACGAAGGTGGTTTACTTCTTACAAGTGTCACGCTAACTTATGCTGTGAAGCCGAACTCACGCCAGTGCAGATCAAGTTCCACATTAGACATCAATGTATGAAATCGCTGCCTGATGACCAATTTAAGTCTGCCGAAAATATCCTCACCATCCTGGAAGATCCCTTGAAGCTCTGCAAGGAGAAGTTAAGGGTCTAAAAAGTCATTGGCTGCATCCCAATAGTCTTTTTTCCTTAGGAAGGTTCCTAACTGAAAGAAATGGTAAATGGCCTGCATTTGTATAGCGCTTTGCTAGTCCATAGGACCCCAAAGCGCTTTACACTACATTCAGTCATTCACCCATCCACACACACACTGGCGATAGCAAGCTACATTGTAGCCACAGCTGCCCTGTGGCGCACTGACAGAGGCGAGGCTGCTGGACACAGGTGCCACCGGGCCCTCTGACCACCACCAGTAGGCAACACGGGGTTAGTATCTTGCCCAAGGATATTTGGCATGCCTGGGATCGAACCACCGACCTTCTGATTAGTGGCTGACCTGCTTTGCCACCTGAGCTACAGCCACCCCATGACCTGGAAGTGTCTCCATGGCGGTCGTAGTAAGAGCTATTCCAGGTCTGTTATACTAACTGATAAAAGGGTGATTAAGGTTCAGTGTAATCAGTTTGCATTAGTAATGTCCTTTGCTGTGTTGCAGTCATTAAGGTTATGATAAAAAAAACATTTTCCTGAGAACATAGCTGAGAACTACGGCCTCAGACTTGGAGGTTCACCAAACTCTTTTTTTAACTACCTCAGCAACCTTAGCGCCAGTGACGGCCGAGTCATCTCCCTCATCCCAAGACTCTGCTTACTCTATGAAAGGTGTGTCAGTGGGATTGAGGCATTGGTCAAAGTTTGCCTTCTTCTGTCCCAGTTGAGGTCCGCGATACTCCGTCCCTACACTGTAAGGTACAGTCAAAACTTTGCATCAGTCAGTTTGTCAGAGCTGGTTTGAGGCTTACCGAAAGTCATGTTCAATACTTGCACCAACAACTCTGAGCTGATGTTCAGCGAATAAGAACAAATGAGTCAAGACCCATTCCCTGACCCAGACGTGCACAGAGGTGACCGTCTTGTCCATCACAGCGAGCCACAATGCTTTTATTGTTCACCATATGGACTTACATGGAAATACAATTTTAACCTCCTAGGACCTGGCGTCCACATATGGGGACATCACATTTTGGGTTGTCTAGACCACAATACTAAATTTTGCTCTTTCAAATGAGCCATATTGCTTAAAGGGGCTCAGCTGTTGTTTCTCATTTTGTTTTCGTACTCAGGAAAAATGCTGCAGTGTTCAGACACCAAATAAAGAGTTCTGCATATCATTATTCAATTGTGACTTTACAGTGTTCTATCAACAGTATAAAGCCCAAATAGTAAAGAGAAATCAAAATGCATGCCATGAAAGAGTTCAGGTCTTCAGAGGTTAAAATCCATAATTTCAAGTTTATTCACAACATTTGCATTAAATAAGGTTTTATTGTTTGGAATATATACTTAAGCTTGGACTCACCAAACCTTTATGTGACCTGTCATATATGAAAACAATCTAAATTTTCCTCAGGAGTCAGTGTGCCATATGATGCATTAGCAATAAATTTATTAATGCTCTATAATAACAGTTACACACTATATAGAACAACTTTATAAAGTTATATTTGTTCGCAGATGTTGGCAGCTATCAGCGAATACTTATCAGCTATTTTGAAACAAAAAAAGACTTTATCCATAACAGCAAATGAACTGTACAACAGAAAATACAAATGCTATTTATGGTCTCCTCACAACAATGATAAGAAAAATAAACTAAGCCATTATGGCATGTTTGTTAATACAGAGACATACATGCTAATGTGATCTCTGGTCTCCCACTCAGAGACACAGGTCTCCCAGTGTCCAGCATTCAGAGGCTGCCTGAGGACTCATGTGAGAGAAAACCTGCTCACACAGACATGTAGAGCCAAACACTGTCAGTAAGGCCTCTGCAATGTTCTGAAGACAGTTAAACCTGTCAGGTAGTGACGTCCAGCAGGTGAACATGCAGTTCCATGAACACGCACGGCTGTGGATTCCAGCTGTGTTCATAGTTCTGCAAACTTTGACCCCCACAGAGTCGAGCTTTTCAGTTCAGTCAGCTGCATTTCGATTAACTGGCTGAGTTAATACCAGTTAATGCGAGGCAAACCAGCTGCTCATTAAAGCTTTCTGGTTTGATCAGTCTCGAGTCTTCGGATGTATCCGTGTATTTCCGCGGTGCTGATGCTGCGCTGAGCGGACAGCTGCTGAAGCATTTGAAGTGTCTGAATGTGGAAATTTCAACATCGCTCGAAAAAACTGCCAGCTAGCAACGTCCCTCTGTTGTTTTTAGCCAATTACAAGTTGAATCTGGTAGTTGGGGTTGTTAGCTAAGATACCGTCATTACGAAACGGCACAACTAATGTGTGTATGCGAGTTAATTTGCGATGTGCACCGCTGGCCCGGCCATTTATTTTTTAATGCACCTTCTCAGATTAACTCACTGCGTGTCGTGCCCAGGGCTGGACTGGGACAAAGAATCGGCCCCCCATAAAGCCTTTGAATGCAAACGCTGTTGTGACAGTGATGCACGCTGTCTTGTTGGTATATGTATGATTTCTATACATTTTACATCAGATGAAAACTTTGGTTGTAAGACTCAGATAATTATTAAAAGCTTGCTTTGATTCGTGTACTTTGTATCTGTGTATAGATCTGCATACATGCAGCCAGCAAGACCATAAACACACATTCTCATTGATATAGCTTTATTCTCTTGTACATTATATTTATATTTATGTATATATATATATCATACTAAAATAAACACAAGTTAAAAAAATGAACAAAGAAACTGTACAAAAAATGTATATATACTACATCTTAATTACAGAACAGTCTACTGTCCAAAAAAGGCACTAAATTCTGAAATGGGCAATACAGTAATTTTGAACATAACTAGATTTGAGATTGATACAACAGCATTCAGTCCTCTTTTTCTGAGCTATACTGGGATGAAGTGGATGGTGTTGCACTAGGGGACACACAAGGACACGTAGGCATGTTGACCCTGACAACCACAAGAGAGGACGCCCCTTCAAAGCAAGCACTTCCACTGAGTATGCATGACAGCAAGTGGGGAAGTGCCCGTGTCACGCTCGAGGTGGGTTCCAGTTTTCTTCTGGAAAAAAAAAGAAAAATAGCACAATCTACTTTGTGAGCACCTGAGGGTTCTTTCATCCACCCCATGAACTTTTCTGTCAAGCTTCAATGTTCATGCAAAAATACTAGCGGATTAAAACTTGTACTTGCTAACTGGGCCACGGCATCTCTCAAAGTCAAAGGCAGTTCATTTAAAAGTGTCTCATAGTGGGAATAATCTCTGAATGCATGCTAATTTCACCAGTTCTAATACGCAGCATGTTTTGTAGGGGAACATCACGCCAAACTCCCCCCCCCAAACTCTTTAGAAGGAAAAAAAAAAGTGATCATTTCAAGTAGTTTAAAGAGACACGCTCTCAGTTCAATGAATGCTTCAATCTGTCCGAGTCAAAAACGGGTGCACGGTTTACACGTGCGCTGGTTCAAATCAGAAACTGGAGATTTTACCAGGGAGTTTGGTGTGGTGCTATTTACCAAAGAGACTGGCACATACTGGGGCTTTAGTTTAGAATGAAGCAGCTCTACTTGAATTTCTCTTCTTTCCCCATCATATATTGGAAATTGGACTTTTTGTTAAAGGTTACATGTAAAGTTTAGTTAACATCAATACTTAGTTAAATACTAATTTTAGTTAATACTAATTTTCATTAAGGTGCATCATGGTTTATTATTCATAAAGTAGCTTACTATGTCCAATACAAACGGGAAGACTGCTGTTCAGTCAAATAAGGGATGAGCAAAACAGTCAAATAATGAGAATTTAAAAAAAGAGAAAAATAATTAGAAAAAAAAAAGCATGATTCATTTCAAAACATTTGTTTTTGTACAATACCATAAAAATGAGTATAAATACATACTGTTTTTAGCTGAGAGCTCTTTCTTTTTCAAACACAGGTCCCAGTTGAGAGCCACTGTATTGCAGCTTTGAACTTACTGAAGCAGTACAATTAAATCAAGCTTTACTAGACTACAGCTGAGGACTGGAAGTTGGTGTACAAGCAGGAACCAGACATTAACCGCAGTATTAAACCTGTGAGCTTATTTGGTGCATGATCACCAACAGCCAAATCAAACTATCACAAACTTGAGGACCGGCATTAAATTTCTGGCAGACTGTTTAGTTTAATCCCGCTTCGTAGAATATTCTTTTCTTTCTCCAAAACCATCGCTAATGCAGGGACTCTGACTTCGTGGGGAATGTAATTAAAAAATTGTTGTCACGACTGTACGGAGCTAATGCTAGAAGCTAGCTTAACTTAGCTGAGCAGAAAGTCAGGCTTTTTACAAAAGGGAAAAAATGTGCACTTGGTTGACGTTTTTTTTTACTGATTAAAACACATAAATCACGAAAAAACGTAAAAAAAAAAAATAAATAGAAAAATTATTGTGTTTTAAGCTAACAGTCAATGCTAACGCTAGTTTTCAGTTAACCAAGCCGGAGTTAAAGGATCCACAAGTAGCCACAGAGAAAAGCCGCAAGTCACATGTTCAAGAATAAACTTTAGACATTTGGTTTGTTCCCGTTAGACAAAGCTGGCCTTGATGCTTCTGTCCTGTGGCTAAGCTGAGCAAACCTAGCTTCTAGCTCCACTTTGTGCTAGGACATATCTGGCATATAGAAATAACTGCTTCAAACAAAATAATACAGAAAATAAACAGTCGAGTCCCCCAGCACTGAATAAGAACAACCCACCTCACAACATAGTGATATTCAGTAAGAGATGGTTTTGGAGATCCTTCCATCAGGGCAAAAAAAGGAAAAATCACCTCTTTAGTAGTCGGTGACTCTGATTCCCTTTGAAATGGCAAGTTTTTGTCTGAGGCTACAGAGATGAAAGAAGCCTCGAACATGTTTCTGATATTTGTAACCATTTTCACTGTGGACTTGATCTAATTTGACCTCTCTGATATTAGAAAAAGCACATTACTATTATAACGAGGCAGCGTCACAGAAGTAGTAAAAAGCTTCAGGGTATTTTATCATTGTATGCCTGGTTGCTAAAACTTACCTTTACTGACACAGACCTGCTGTAGTGTCATGCCTATACTGAGTCAAGAAATAAACCTGCGTAGGCCAAAGGAGTTGGTATAAATAACTTTGGATGGACTTTAACACTGTTTTCAGATCAGTATTAGCTTAGCGTCTCTCTTTTCCTTTGGCATGGATGATGTTTCAAACAAAGCATAACTCGTCTTATTAGATAGCTTACAAAGTTTGCTCGATTATCACATTGACCGCAGCTTGATCCTCATAGTCTTTAGTACTTAACAATAGTGTCACAGGGAGCAGAAATGACTACGTCCAGTTGCTGTTTGGCCTAGAACCAGAGGAAGAGCAAGTAAGGAACCTCGAATCACTGCTGCTGCTGCTGGATAGAAACCTTGATACCGTTTGCCATCGTCAGTGTGTGCTGAACATGTTTCGTAGTGCAGTGATTCACAGTCCCCATCCCTGTTGTATGAAAACCTGCTTGCAAAAAACAACGTCTGTCTGCGTGAACGTAAGGCTACTACAGAAAGTTCAGATACGTTTCTATCCAACCTAGCAGCTCTACTGCAAGGAAACCGAAAGCCATTTATTCTACTGAGGAATGGACAGAGGAGAAGAGTGTCAGCGCAGCTCTGATATCATTTTTGCTGACTGACTTCCGTTTTTCCCGAGATGTTAGGCCAGAGGTTGCTCTTCTGATGAATTGCACAATGATAAGGTGAATCTGAGGGTCAGGTAAGTAGGTAGATAGGTAGCACACCATGAGGTGAGTGAGACTGAGAACCATAAGAACCATATACATATATATGTATATACATATATATGTATAAAACATGTATATAATATATATACAGTACACATTACTTTTCTGAGGTTGACGTTGAGGTGAGATAGACTGAGGATCGGCTCAGACGACCAGGCTGGAGAGGGAAGTAGAAGGGGAGCAAGGACGAGGTAAGGAAAGAAGAGGTATCCTGTACTGAGGGGAAGAGAGAGTTCACACTCCCGGACAAGAGCCGCCGTTTAGAGGGGTTTGCGGGAGCCGCCTTTTCTTCTGTGGCTCATTTCCACAGAGATCACAGGGCGTACAGTCACCCATTTCTGCCAGCTGTGTCAATATATGGAGTAAGGTGGAGCGGGGTTGGGGGTAATTACTGTTGACAAGGATTACTCTGAGGAGGGAAGAGGAAGGGGGAGGCCAGGAGAGAAGGGAGAGTTGGTAAGGGGCTGGCTGAGGAGCAGATGATGAAGCTTTACTAAGTAGCATTACTTTGGTCTCTTTTCAGTCCCCCAACTCCATCTATTACACTCCCTTCTCTCGTCCCCTTCCTCCATCCCAGGTCCTGTGCAGTTCATTCGTCCTCCAGGGACTCCGTCTTGATGTCGTTGGGCCCCCCTCCGGTTCTGGACAGGGCCAGGATGGTGTGGTTGACGGCAGCCATCTCCACAGCCAGAGAGATGGGGTCCTGGTGCTCGCTGTGCGCTGCGCTGTCGTCCTGGGAGAGGGAGGAGCATTGGGAGGAACATCAAGGACAAAGGTCATGACAGGAAACAGAATGTCTCTACATCAGAGGTAAGGAAAGAACACGTGCTTTTGACATGTTAAAGGAAATCATTTAAAAAGACAAAAAAAAAAAAAGTATGTAAGTAAGTAAAGCATGTAATGGGATACTTCTACCACAAGGTGACAGTAGTGGCTCTCTGAGGAAAGCCTGGTGTTTTTGCTTGAGGTGCCCATCCCCAGTTAGGAGGTAACGTTCATGTCTGCAGCCTGACACTGACTACAGAGAGTCTAGAGTCTCCACACGGTCACGCTAACAGCAACACACTGCACTCACAGCTTTGCCAATTTGAGTTAGTGTGCACAAAACTGAACTATGACAGAAACTGCATGCATTTGACCCCACGTGTCCCCCCCTCAGCACACTACAGCACTGATCCACAGCTCACTAAGCCCCAGCTTTCATTTTAGTGGACAGAAACCCTTCATTTCCTGGTAACTGTGACACTTTAGCTTTGTCAGCCACACCCCCACCCATACCAGGGACCACCCAGGTCCTGTGCTACCCTTTGCACGTCATCATCACGTGCAGCTGCAGCTGTGCACTGTTAGACCACACCTGCTCTGTGGGCTCCTCTTTCGTGTTAGGGCTGTTGTTGCCTCTTCAGCTCGGCCCCTGCTGAGGATCCAAGACGAAGAGTTTGTGCATGAGCAAAGTGAAACAGGGCAACGCTGCAGCTGCTGTCTGTGCTTCTCATGCTGCTGTTTTAACCTTTCCCCTTTGTGGTGAACTCGTCCAAGCCCACTGTTCAACCACTCAGCTACTGATGCACAGCGTCGCCCCTGTCGGGCTAAATGTTTGCTTTTGTTTGGAAGGACTTCATGCAATCATGTCTGTGCTGGGACCCACGATCCTTCACTCTCTGAAGGCAGATGCCCGTGTAAATGGACACGAAGCCAGTGCAGTGAACTACGCTGAGAGCTGGATTCAAATTCACGGTTTGTTTAATGTGGTTGATCACATGCAGGGATCGTCTACAACACCTCATCCTTCTGTCACTCAGCAACGTGCTGATCCAGAGAAGATCCCCACATTAATATCACCGTCAGCTTCATTCAAGGATTCTGCTGTGTGTATTACGTGAAAACAATTCGGCTCAATACAATAATCAATCAATACTAATCGATTGTAGTTTGTGAAATGTAGTTTGTGTTTCTCGGTCAAACCAGTCACTGTGATTTCAGAGGGGTCTGTGATTTAGACCGCTGCTGTTGACCATTAAAGGTTTAACTGTAAAAAATGAATATTTCAAAGCTTCAACAATAAATGTTCATGTTTTCACGTCAGGTTAATGCAGGGCTGATACACGGACGTTTGAAGAGTGTAAAACAGCGCAGCTGCAGTCAGACAATGAACCACGTCTACTGCAAAAGCTTCGTTTGGATGTTAAGAACACGCTGGCGTGACAAGAGCCTGAAAATCAGTGACATCGAGCAAGTCATCAACTTTTCAGTGACATGAAATCTGATTACTATATTCATCAGAAATGTGAGAGAGCACTGTGGACATGGAGGGACCTCTTTAACCTCAGTCTGATGCAAATGTGGCTCTGCTTTGGCCTCATTTACAGCTGTGCTGCACACGCACACACAAAGGTACACAAAAGGGAAACTCGTGACAAAGGCTGATGATTCACTCAATCCAAATCCAATCCACTAATCTATGGTAACAAACATCAGCGTCTCAGCGTGTTGCTGTGTGTGGGATACCTGTGTGGGCGAGGTGGGCTCCAGGCGATAAAGGCCAAAAGGTCGGCTGAGAGGTCTTTTGTCAAAATAGGGGAGGTCACAGGCCTGGAGGTATTCCAACAAAGAGTTACTGCGTTAGCTAGCAGGTCATCTGAAGAGCGAGAAGCACTGTAAAATCTGCACAATGACTTCTTCTCTTTCACTGTTACAGCAAGCGGTGCTTCACAGGTAGGGATGGGTATCGAAACCCGGTTCTTGTTGAGAACCGGTTCCCACTGTTTCAATTCCTTGGGATCGTTTGCCATTTTTGCAAACGATTCCCTTATCGATTCCAGTCACCCCGAATGACGTCACCACGTTGCGGAGCGTCATTTACCTGGCAGGAAACACGGCGGCTCAAACGCTCAAAACTTTGGTTATACTTTACAAGAACGGATGACAACAGGGCAACTTACAATACTTGCAAAGTAGATATTTCATTTAAGGGAGGAAACACTACGAATATGCAAAAGCATTTGCTCACAAACACGCGATGACCTTAAATGAATGTCGTGTTTTTAATTCCGCTCGACTCGTGAATCTCAACCCAGCAGCAGCGGTAACGTTTGCACGTCCTCTCCCGTTAATGCGGCAGGTAAATAATCAACAGTAGTGCATATTATGTTAGCGCGATCTGCCTTATTACAAACCTGCCATTACTGTGCATTTAGTGACCATGATGAGACAGAGTCTGGCTCAGATGCTGGCAGTTCTCGCTGCAGTCTGCCGGCAGCGTCTCCTTTCAGGCAGGATAGACGAACGTCACCGAGCAGTGACTCAGTTTGTGGTCAAAGGCTTGCACCCGTTTGCCACAGTAGATGATTTTCAGTAAGTGAATGTGTTTAATTGTAGGCAGGGACATTACTGTTGTGTAATTGCTACAGAATAATTTATGTTATACTTTGTAAATGTAAAATAATAATAAATATTCTTCTGTAGCAATAACAATGTTTTTCCTGGGGACCCTGTGACACCCCATTGAAGAGCCGCAGGCTGGATCTCTTAAGATCTCACTGTTGGGTTTGTAAGGCCATGTTACTCCTAAATGTCTGTCTTGTTCAAAGAGAAGATATAAAACAAAGTTCTGAGCTAATCGACCTTAGTGTCCTCCTTTGTAAAAAGAATCGATAAAGAATCGAATCGTTAAACAGAATCGAAAATGGAATCGGAATCATGAAAATCTTATCGATACCCATCCCTACTCACAGGAGAAACACATTCACACTACCGGTCAAACGTTTTAGAACTCTGACTTTTCCAGCCTTTTATTGTGAAAATCCTGCAGTTGAATGTCTCATTGCACTCTGACAGAAACGATTGGAGTTAAAGAAATCATGGAATCAGTTTATAGACCAAAGTGTCTCCTTTGGCAGATATAACAGCTGAACAGCCGTCGCATTCTGGCTACAACAGAAATCAAATCTTCTCCCATATCTGTAGCAGAAGTTCCCGTGAATGTGGACCCTGTAGGCTGCGTTGCTTTCGCTCTTCTGTCCAGTTCAAACCAGCTCGGTGGGGTTTCAGTCTGGAGACTGTGCTGCACACTCCATGTTTTCAAGCTCACCATCTTGTTCTGTTTTCCTGAGGTAGTTCTTGGACTGATGTTTGGGTCATTATCCTGCTGTAGGATGAACTCCTGACAGACTGGGTCCACACCAGAGGGTCCTGCACGGTGCTGCAGGATGCTGCGGTAGCTGTTTTGCTCAGGGTGCCTCTCACTCTGTGCGAGTCACCGACCCTGGATCAGCAAACAGCCGGGTGATGGCACTCACTGTGGAACCAAGCCTCTGTCTTATTCTGACGTCCTGCTGATGGCTTTCTTGCTGCAGCCCGTCCTCTCCTCACAGCTGAAACTGAGACTTACTATGACCACGATGACTCTGTGCCTGAAGCTGCTGTGCTGTGAGTAAGTAAAATGTATTTATATAGCGCTTCTCGCAGATAAAAATCACAGTGCTTTACAACAAAGAAGATGAAAAGAATGGAAATACGACAAATAACAATGTGAAACAGTAAAATACAACCAATTAATTAGAAGCTTGCCGATATAAAAATGTCTTCAGCTGCTTTTTAACAGAATCAAAAACATAAATAATAAAACCAGTGGGAGTGCTGCACTGGCTGAAAGGCCGATCACCACGAGTTTTAAATCGAGTGCGTGGGGCCACCAACAGTCTCTGATCTGATGACCTCAGAGCTCAGGAAGCAGAATGGCGTTTCAGCAGGGCAGATATGTACTGGGGAGCCTGACCATGTAGGACCCTAAAGGTTAAAACTAAAACCTAAAACTTACAGTCAACCAGTGAAGGGAGGCCAAAACTGGAGTGATATGAGATCTTCGCTTGGTGCCTGTTAAAAGTCGTGCTGCATATTTCTGCACAGTCTGAAGATGATTTAAAGCTGATTAAAACAAGTAAAAAGACCATTACAGAGTCTAAACGTCAAGAAATAAAAGCATGGATAATCATCTCAAGTTCAGCTTTGGACACCATTAGTCCGAGTTTAGAAACATTCCTTAAATGATAAAAACGGTTCTGCTCAAGGATGCAGTGAGCCGCCCATCACACCGGCTGCTGTCCTCTGACTCAGGCGTGTCTTTGGCTCTGCAGACATCTTCCTGTCACACTTTGTTTCTGAGTGACTTTGATGCTGAAGGAAACTGGACTCGCTCACACTGTGACGTTCCTACTTTTCTGTGGCGGTCTGTGTCTCTTCCACGGTTAATTCCCTTTTTCTCACCATTTCTGTGCCAACACTTTCTGCAGTACAATACTGCTCAGCTGATGCTGTCCAGGGTCTGGTACCACAGTGTGCTCCAACACTACAGGCAGAGGGGCTGAAGTGATCCAGGAAAGTTGGAGCAGCAGCTTTCAAGGCCGTATCAACCTCCTTTACTGCAGCTTCAAACAGTTAACCCATGTTGTTCCCTGAAAAAGGTCTTTTTGTATCGTTCTGAAACGGACATTGTGTTTCAGTTTTGGGATCATTTGTTTTAAACCTGTGGTGTTTCACCACTTACCTTTGTACCAGTTCAAGCTGTTCACTGGACCGAATGACTTCAACTGCAATAAATTACTGGACAAATCGGGCTGTTCTAAAACGCTGGAGCCGCAGCGTATATTTTGAAATGTAACCTTGTTGCTTGAGATTTGCATGTTGAGCAATCATAAGTAAGCTGGTGTGTTCAGGTAAAGCAGACATGTTTCCATTGGTAACAGGACAAAACGAGGGCACGAACATTTGCTCACTGACGCCTTTCAAGTTTCAATCATGCACAGAACTTGAAGTGCTTTGTATATTCAGGGTGCACTGCAAGCTGCGTGTTGGGATTATTAACACTAACGAGACAGAGACCAATTAGACAGAACAGTCAACAAAGCTGAAATGAGCAGCATGTAAAAGAAAAGATCACAGCTCACTAACAAGAGAAGCTCGCAGCTTCGTGCTTGTTGTTGATCAATTATGAAAACAAAGCTGGAAGACAGAAAGCTGCTCCGTCTTTTCTCAGTACGATCACATGTTCATTCTGCACTACCTGCTCCGAGAAGTCGTTCCCGTCGATGTCGTCGCTGTTGGAGTGTCCCCCTGGACTCTGGACGTCTATCCCGTGGCTCTCCAGGATTGTGGCTTCTTGGAGAAAGAGGATGGCTCGTTAGACTTATGATGCATCACTGACAATACTACAAAACATGAGAGCAGTGACTGTAAGCCAGCGACACAACGAGAGGTTGTACAGAAGCCCCGATACATCTGAAAGAAACGATGCTCCAAAGTAAAAGAACCTGTCTGAAAGTAGTCAGTAAAAGGCTGCTGTAAGGATGAAGTAAACAGCTGAAAGCAGTGAAGTAATACTGCAAATATTTGGCTGAGACAACTTAAGACGAAGAGTCTTAAGATCAAGACGAGGACGAACAGACTTTTTACCCACAGGCTGTCAGACATGCCCTACCTCCACCCTGATTGGAGGATAACTGCACTGCCAACACCCATGGACATTACACCTTACTTATAAACTGTATTTCTACGTATACTTTAATGCAACCAACATCCCTACCTCTTTAACCTGTATTTATTATAGTTGCAACAGCAAGCGAAGGCCCAGACACAAAGTTTTAACAGATTACAAGTGGCTGACAAATATGTGACAGATCGAATTCACCGTTACACTGTTGAACAGCTGCCGTCACGCTAAGAAGGAAACACGCCGTCTTCTAATTCCAAGGTTTTACATATAAGGTCATAATGGAAATCAACCACAGAACTGCACACTAAGCCCCAAAGCAGAAGCAGCGTGCGAGTGTAGCCTTACTGCCTCCATCGTAACGAGGACGGTAAGCAGCAGCCAGGTGCTGATCAACAGCAGTGTGAGCACATCTATAAAAGCACAAGTGTTGTTAGTTTGCAAGTCTGGAGCATTCAGGCGACACAATGCCAATCAGGAAAGAAGCAACTGCTGCTGCCCATCATCAGTCCGACAGCCAAAGCTCGACCCACGCTGGGTCACACGGCGACCCCAGGGACGTCAGCGAACCTAGCCAATGACAGAAGAGTGAGGAAATAAAGTCAAGCTGCAGTGACCAAAGTCCAGACCGGATTAGAGCGGAAACCCCAATGAGCAGGAGGCTCATCCAAAGCTTCACTAAAGAAACCATACTACTAAAATCTCGCATCACTGATTAAAATGCTTCTGACAAAATGTGAAAAAGCTCAAACATCTGAAAGAATAAATAAACGCACTGATAAAAAAATGTTTCTACTGCCGGCATATCTAAAGAACCCGAGTTTGGCTGGAGCAGTTTGAAAGTCCTCCGAGCTACAGCCGTCCTCCTCACTGCCAGCCCCCTGCAGAGGTCATGGCAGGGACACAGTAACACACATTTCATTAACAGTTTGTAATTTAAACAGAGCTACATTACCAATGTTGGCACGTCTCTTGATCTCTTTGCGACGATTGGCAAACCAGTTGTAAACTTTCAGAGAAGTGACCCTCTCCAGATCAGACAGCTTCTTCCCTGGAGGAAACATACAAACACAGCATCACCATATTTGAAACCTTTTATTTGGGATGAGGAAGAAGAAGAATACTCCGAGTGTGGCCACGTTTGGATACGACTTGTCTTGATGTTGTCATTTTATGCTTTAAGACATTTGTGTCAAATGTTGTCATAATTATGAATTACGGCTCAAAACGAGCACATTCATAACGTCACGCCGTCCTCAAGTCCAAGTGACTGTTTGTGTCAATCTGAGCACAGATTTCACACGATGCGTTTCACAGCTGCTTCAATATCTGCACCACGCAGACGCAGTTCTGTAGCCAGCAAACAAAGCCATCACTCATTACAGTTAACAACACGTGTGCAGCTTCGTGCACCTGCTGGTTTACCTGGTTTCTGGATAACAGCATTGCAGGCGTTTGCTATCTCCTCCCTTTTGGCCTCATCTGGATACTGGTTGTCGTTGAAGTAGCTATAAATAGCACAAGAGCCACAGTGATTAAATTAATTTCACAAGGACGATGTCAACAAACTGGAGCGGCTGCTGTTTGTCGTGCACGCGGTGCAGCTGAGTGCGTGCGAGGCTTTGCTGGCTGCACCGTTTGACTCCTGGAGGAAATAAGAGCGACGTTATGAAGCGCTCCTACCATCTATCATCTCTGCACACTTCCTCTGGACCTCACCTCTCCATCACAGCCAGGCACTCTTTTCTCCAAGTGAAGCGGCTTCCCCGACGCAGGCGGAAGGTGCCGGGGGCGGTGGTGAGGGGGGGCGGGGTTTGCCTCCACTCCATGTCCTCCAGAGGTAACGGAGCTGGTCGCATGTTCAGAGTGGCACCTGCAGCAGGAGGATTACTCAGAGTCAACAAGTCTGCAGGTGTCGCTGTGGTTTGGAAGCACAAGTGACAGAAGGACAGAACAGCAGCGCAGAGATGTGATGGCGCGAGGACCGTGGTCGCTCTGGCAGCCAGAGCCCCGAGTCCTTCGTGAAAAACCAAGCGACATCGTCTTTTGGTAATCTCACGAGTTATGCTGACACCAAACTCGCGTCAGCTCAGGTAACGATCGCAGCAGAAAAGAAACCGAGCGAGCTCTCTTGTAAACCTCGCCACGTTACACTGAAAGCTCGGACATTTAACAAGGCCGAACCGGATCACCTGGCCGGTGCCGGTTTATCAGAAAGCCGTGAACGAGGAGTCAGTTTTCTCTGCAGCAGCGACGCAGGTGCGTGCGTGGGGGGGTGCTGGGCTCGGTCGGGCTCAGTCTGGCCATAAATAGCTTGGAGCAGTTTCCAGAGCTGATGGTGTTGGCGGGGCTCCACCGAGGAACATGCTGCAGAGAACAGGGCGTGGGACGTCTGCTGCCTGGCTATAGGGCGGTACAGAAAACACACGCCGGATCTGAAGGACGCGCCGGCCTCTCGTTTCGCCTGTTAACCCTTTACAGTGTGGAGTCAGGATGACCGTGCACACAGCAGCAAACCCAAAGTTACTTGATAACAACAAATAGTTTTTTTCTCTTCAGTTTGGGACAGTTAGTCGCCGTTACAACAGGCTTCCAATCCAAGACATCGTGACAGTCAAACACCTGGATAATTTAAGATGACCTCACTGAAGGTCAAGAGCTAAGAGGTAAATCCTAAATCTTTACATAATTTGGAAACATTTTTGGTGTAGTAGTGATTTCTAGATTTCTACCGTTGTCGTTCTGCTGACAGCCACATTTCTCTAAAACAAACGTCATTGGTTCCAACATTTCTTTATCTAACACAATAAAGTCACATCTTTAACTGCCGCTGAGCTCTAAGTGAGTAGATTCCATAATATAGTGATCAAAACACTGTAATATGGAAGAAGTGACAGAGTCATCAGTTAGGACGACACAGGAAACCTTCATGCCTCTCGTACTGCAGTCCTACCTTGAATCTGATGCTACACAGCTACAAGTTACTCGAGTTGGATGCAGATTCTTACTTTCCTAGTTGATCACCGGGTCACTTCCTGTAGTCCCTTCTTGTTGGAGCTCTTCTTCCACTTTTCTTAGAGCACCTCCGAGTTTTCAAACTGTTTTTGTTAACATTTAACATTTCTGCAAATACCAGAAGATGTTCACTACTTTATTATCACAGCAACATTTAACAGTGGAGGCAGCGAGTTTTCTTTGCCTCCATGCTGAGCTCAGAGAGGCAAACTCTGCTGCTATCTTTACGTCTTTGCTGTTGGGACCGACTCATGAAACAAGCTTTGAAGAAAACAATTAACTGGGACATATGCTGGGAGACATTTGTCCACATAAATACACATACCTTTTGTTCCCATTAGCACTGGCAACAACTGTGGGAACCCAGGCTAATTTGTAGCTCTGCTTAAAGCCACGAGGCCAAACACGAAACTGTTTTTTCAACACTTTAAACGAGGTTGTCAAACGTAAACAAGCTGAGGGCCACTCTGCTGTTCTACTGCAAAACAAACAGAAAGCAGTGTTTGTGTTTTTAAACTTCAAATATTGTAAAACAAACAAACGTGAGCGCAGATTTGAACTAAGTGAAGCCTTTCATCGAACGACCAAAGTAACCCACGTAGCAGCACTTCTGCTCCCACCGTGTTCGTATACGCAGACAGAAGTGTACACAGTGAGCAAGTAGGGGTGACGTGGGCCACAAGTGGCCCCCAGGCCGCGAGTTTGAGACCCCTGTTTTCAGTAAAGAGATTTGTTCTTGTTCAATGGTCTTTAAGTTTTAAACAGGAAAGGTGCACCTCGAGACTTCTCACCAAGATTGACACTATGGCTTCATCAGCAACAGAAAACTTTGGCCCCTCCCACCTTGTCCCACCAATCAAAGCCAAATGGAGACCTCAGACTAGAGTGGTGGCGGTGAACCGATCTCCAGTGCAATGACCGAACGGCTTGTAACAATGCAGCGATGTCACGTGGAAGGCGACGACGGGGCATCCACACTGGTGCGGAGCTCACTGCGAGGTTTCTTCTTCCATCTTCATTCTGCTTTGCCGCTCTGCTGCCTTCTGAGTGAAGGATGCTCAGGACAAAACAATTATTTATTCATTTCCTAGTCGGCTGCTCCTCCCCGACTCTCATCAACTTAGGCTGTGTTTGTGCTGACTCTACTCTGCTCTCCTCGTTTCTTACCTCGGTGGAGGTGAAACAGCCTTTCCGTTTGCTTTGATCCTTCATAACTGCTGCAGAAATGACAAATTAACAAGACAGTGTGCTGCTAAGCAACAGCCGCAGTCAAATGTGCTATTCGTGTACGTGTGCATCGCTAAGACGGACGTTTTCGAGATTCGGTTGGCGCAAAAGATTCAAAGCATGTGACTAGCAGATCTTATACGGAGGGGAGATCGTCTCCGATTTGCTTCCACTGAGCGACACACACAAACTGCAGGGTCACGCCTTCCCCCACTATCACGTACTCTCAACTGCCAACTGTCGAATGAGGGCAAAGCGCCAAAACATATTGTGCCAGTTAATCAAGCCAGATGTACCTGGTGTGGTTTTCTCCAGCGTGTACCAGCGGTAGAAAGCCCTCTTCTTCTGCTCGCTCAGGTCGGAGCCGTGCTGCAGCAGCCAATGGGAGATCCTGCTCTGACTGATGCCTGGAAAGCAGCCACATATCAAATTACATCACAGTGGTTTTTGCACAGAGCACAAAGTGTAGACAAGCACTGGAAGAGTTCAACAGACACAGAGCAGAATAGGAAAAGGACCACACGGCGTTTCCTCTCACATAAGTTCAGACTTTCTGTCTTCCTCCATCACTTATCAGTCAAACGCTGCTGGAAGCTGGGTCTGAGTTTGAGCTGTACGACTTTTTAAATGCCACGGTTTCTGGCCTTATTTTGCAGCACCTGTTTGGTTATTGAGTAATGTTAGTTACATTCCTTTGTGTGACTTTAATACCTGCAGAAAAACAAAAACAACAAACCCACAATGTGTGCAACAGCACAGGGGTGTTCTTCTACGGGTCAACTGTAATACAGAGTTCAGAATTATACAGGTGACTTGTTGGTAACAAAGCAGCCTTTCTTTGCACTCCACCTTAAACCTGACCTGAGAACAACTGGCCCAAGCTTCGCCCGTACAGCCTCAGCTCGCCTCATGTCAGAGCACCGACTGGCCTTCAGCTGCCTCTGCTCAATATGAAGCGTCATGCTGTTTTTGGGGACAAACGTGATTTTAAAACCCTTTGTGTGGCGCCTTTTGCACCACGTGTTGTGAAACATGTGGTGCAAAAGTTCTGTTTCCCGTTTGCAAGTTTTACTACTGCTCAGCTTTTAGTTAGTGAACACAGGCACCCGCGTGTCTTCAATGCAAACTGATCTCAAACTAGGCCTGTGACACTGGGCCTTTAGTAATTTGGTCCGTGGGCATGCAAACACTGCCCCGGTCAGTTTACACACTCCTGTGCTGCGCTTCAGTGTCGGCCGAGTGTTTTGGCAAACCCACGATCCAGCTGCGGTTCCGGTCGTGTGGTAGGAACCACGACCGGAACCGCAGAATGAACTTTTTATTTGTAGTGTGAACGTGATGCGACCTCGATCTGAGGTGGAAATTTAAGTTCCTTCCCGTAGTCTTGTATCCTTTGCATTTTGGGATGCCAAAGGGTGGGCGTGCAAAGTTCTGGCTCGCAGCCATGAAATTAATGTAAAATTCTCCATGTTCTCCACCAACCCAGAACACCTTCCTCCTATATTCACTTTGTTTCTCAGGCACATCTGGCCAATAAGAGGACTAAATATTCTCACGTGTTGATGAGTTCACAAACATTTTCCTGTGTAAGGAGAAACCAAACCATGGGTGTGAAAAGGCCCTCGCTCTCCTTCCAGCTGCAGCTAAACAGCTGTGTGCAGGCTCAGGATCCACAAGCTTCTGATGCTGCGCTCAGACTCCAGCTCCACTGCAGGGTCACCACTGAGATCCTGCAGCAGGTGCAAATCTGGTTCATGCACTGAACTCAGGACAACGACTGCTGAACAAGACGTTCAGTTCATGTGGAGGATGAGAGGAAGCGTATCAACTTTCAAAGAAGAAACCGACGAACAGACTCGCTTCATAATGAATTCAAGAACACCCCGCCAATCTGTGAGAAACAGCTCGACGTGCAAAAATGATCTTGTGTTGTTATGTGTGAGATGATGCAGACACACAAAAAAGGTCCACTGACAGATGCGTGAAATCAGGCGCTTTGTCAGTGTTTAGGGGGCAGCCCAAGTCTACGATGTCTTCGGGGTCAGGACACAAGCTTTTCACAATAACACAAAGTTCCTCAAACGCCAATGTCAAAAGTGAGGAGGAGCGAACGTGGCATGGCAACAGGAAACGGCTGATGCGAGTGACGTGGCTGAGCGTGTCAGCTACTAACCGGTAACTTGTGCCACCACTGCCTGAGAGATCCTCCTGTTCCCCAGGAAGGCTTTGATCTCCTCTTTCACCAGACTGCTGTCCCTCCTGCAAACACAGAGCACACAGAGATCTTCATAACCTGCAGCTCGACACAGGTGGCAGAAATGCAAAGAAAACAGCTTCATTATTACACATTTGGGAAGCTGGGGCAACGTCTGGCTGCTAGACAGCTGTAAAAAATATATGAAGTGAATTACAGCTTTCATTGTTGTGCCATTACACAGGCAACCTGCTGCATAATTACCCAGCTTAAAAGGGCAAATGCATACATGTTTAATGCTTTTGTCACCAATTCATTCTCATTTGGAAAAAGCCATTCGTCTGGTTTTCTGCACAATAACACGTTCATGATGATTCGATGCGTTTCTTTATTGCACCTATTCACGGCCAACCTACGAAACCGCAGCTCCTCTTTGCTCTGGCCTGCACGTCGACAGCATGTACCGTGGCTTCCCCCTCTTTTATAGCTCCCACGTAATCAGCATTGCATTTCAGACGAACATGAAGGCAGCGGCTCTGAGAGCCGAGCCGCAATCCAGTAATCTATATTTTCAAAATGCATTTAAAAGGGCATGTGTCCGCTATCTGACTTCACAGCAGCAGGAAAATAAATATATATAAAGCATGCAGAGACTCGCAGGAACGCAGGATGTGCGGTTACAGTGTACCCACCCTGCTTTCTGGCATCAAGCCCATTCCCCTCCCACACACACACACACACACACACACACGCGCGCACGCACGCACACGCGCGCACATGCACGCACGCACGCACGCACATGCACGCACACTCTGTCTCAGCTTCATTCCCGTCTAGCACAGACTGAACACGTGTCTGAATCTGAAAGTGCATTCAGGTTTTTTACACGACAGCGTTTCCAGCAGGCGCCCTCCCTGCCCCCCGCCCCCCACCCCACAATCACAGCAGCCTTTGAACCAGCCGCTATCCCAGGCTCACACAGTCAAAATGGAAATCGCATCAAAGTCCTAAGCACTCTGTTTGGCATATTTGTGAAATGAAAATGCGTCACGACTCTTTGACATCCAGCATCAATATCATCCACGCCAGCCTCTCACGGCGCGGGCTAAAATTAGAGCCTGAAGAAAAAAACGCTGCTTGTATCGACACCAGTGAATCAATGTAGCACGAGCTGCTGTACAAGCTACGAGACTGGGGAGGAGAGGGGGGGATGTTTTGGGTGCCAACTCAAAGGCCAAACTCCTGCAGAGAAGCAAGTGTGCACTTTGAAAGTGAGAAAAAAGGGAAAGGGCACCGTGGACCGCGGACAGGCTGAGACCTCGTGTCACGCCCCCGCAGCCCTGCCGAGCGAGAAGCTGGAGAGCCCTGCAGCAGACGAGGGCTTTTGAACGCTACTTAACTTCTCGGTCGTTCTAAAAAGGACGCGTAATCTAATGCAGAGGCAGCGCGAGTGAGCAGCGGGCCGGTCGCTGACGACGGAGCCTATTCTTACTCGTACAGTTCACACAGGGCAGCTGAAGGCAGCGGGACAGCACAGCAGTAGGAGGAGACAGCGCATGTGTGAAGTGCTTAGAGGAGGAAGAGACGAGGCGCTAACACGCACACTTTAATAGATTATGAACACTTTACCTGTCAATGGGCCTGAAAAACTTCTGAGCCTCTGCTCTCAAAACCTAACCAAGCTGAATGTTACTAAATGCAGTTTCATGTAATGTTTCCAGAGGTGCACAACACAAAGCTTGTTCTCTCTTCACTCTTACAGGAGATCAGCTTGAACTCGAGCGGTTCCCTTTTCTGACGATGTGCATCGTCCCGACAAAAGTGCCTCTGTGCCGGCTCGGGTTGCTCTGAAGCCTCACAGGATGCACGTCTTTGTGGGCGACGCAGGGGACGAGCCAAAACTCTCATCCATCACGTGCTCTGCTCCTAAGGAGAGACCAGAACGCTGCCGTCTCTTTATCCGGTATTAAAACCGGATCTCTTTAGTCCCCATCTTCATAGTAAGAATCTGGCAACAGATCTGCATTTGTGTCGCAGCTGAACTGCAGACGGGCGCGCTGCTACAGCAAAACATTTCCTCAAGTCAGATGTCAAAGTGACGGGAGCTGGAAAGGCAAGTTTCACGACAGCAGAGCAAATGCCCGAGTCAGGGAGGTCATTTAGATGGGACTAAACTGCAAAGTTTCACGGTCTGCGTTAACCCCGGCAGGCTAGGCTGCATGAAGACAAGCGCAGCACTCTCATATTCAAGCTGGGGAAAGATGCAGAGATGGCTTGGCTCAGAAAAAGTAAAAAGTCCAAATATGACTGGCTCCTGTTTCCCAGGGCAGCCTTTGAAATGCTGGGGATTAACGAGGAGGACAACAACTTTGGTGTATGTGATGCAGCTAAAACATTTCCACTTCCTCTGTGCTGGAACGAACAGCACTGCCAGATAATGTAGGGCACATGCAGCAGTCGTGATGACGCTGCTGCTGCTGCTTTCACTGTGTGTGTGAGATGATCACAAAATGGGTCCCCGAACAGATCTGGAGTACGTCGGCAGGTGTGTCTGTCAGTCTGTGAGCGACAGACTTTGTCAACAGGGTGACGTCACGTGAAAAACCCCAGAAATAGAAGGGCCCACGGTGCCTGGGCCCATCCACACGTCACAGCCCCGTCCAACACGCTTCTTAGTACATGTGTAACGGTCTATATGCTGCATCTCTGTGAGACAAGCGTATAACGTCCAGGATTCGTCCAAGGACTACTGGTCTGTAGCTGTGCTGTTACAGTGGTGCATGCTCATACTGAACGTGGTATGAAAACGTAATCTGTGTAAGCAAAACGCTCAGCCTTCAGACTAAACCACCTTTGACTCAGTGAGATCAGATACAACAGCTCCGGTGCACGAGACAGATCGTGCAGCATGAAGAATCATTAGTGTTACGGATGCAAACAGAAACGGTTTTGCATCAAATGCTAGAGAACGAGGAGCTCCTGTCTGTGCCGTCCATTTTTCAGACGATTGTGTCAAACTTTAGCTTCACTTTTGAAATTCCAGGTTCCTGAAATCATATCAGACATTTGGCTCAAAAACATTTCTAGATAATGCTGCTCGCAAATACTTCAGACTTCACCATGAAAACATTTTGTATGAACAAACTGTAAAATAAGAGTAGATGTAGTAGATGAGACACATGAACTGCTGCCTCTGCCCTCTCCACCTCCATTTTTCTAAAATCTCCAAGTGAAGGTAAATTTGTGTAACAAGAGATTTTTTTTTAAGAACATTTTTAATTCTGGTAACGGATATTTGAAATCTTTCAACATGAATCCTTTTCCTAGAAAGCAAGAAGCACATGGAAACCCACGTGTACAAGGCTTTTTGTGTGTGCAGAGTTTCCAGTGCATAGACACATCCAGATAGCTTTAACCCTTCAAGGCCTATCGAAGCGTGCACGCTCCGTTTTGCACAACTATTTTTAAATGCCGGTAGAATTGCAACCACATAAGCTAGCACAATATTTCTTTTGCATTTGAAATATGAGGAGTTATATGCATTCAGCCTGTCCCAGGCCGCAGTTTTTATGGCTATGTTTAAGCTGCGGGAGATTTCACTTGTCATGTTTGCATAGTAAGCTAACGATTGATAAGACGATGTCAGAGGAATTGGTGCACAAATTATCATCACTCACCAATCTGTGCTGTCGCTCTCTATACACAGTTCGCGCGATTGCAAAGTGAAAGCAAAAAACAAGCGCAAATTCAAACGCGATTTCAATATGTCACATATTGACAGTGGCTCACCGATGCCAATGACATAATTACCCAGCTACATTTCCGAAAGAATGCAAAAGCATTGACATATATTTTTCCTTCCTACGATAGCCCGACGGGCAGGGCAGAGATAGATTTTGGTAGCCCGACTGGAAAAATCACTAGCCCCGGGACGTCGGGCTAGCGATTTTGCGAGCCCTGCACTACAGCATGTAAAAATATAAAGATAAGCTCTGGCAGACTTGGGTCTATGGTGGGCTCTAAAGGGTTTGTGTTTGAATATATGTAACCTACAGCCTGGGTTTTTATTTTTAACCTTAAAGGAGAAAAGGCTCTGCACCTCACTGGCCTTCTATCCTTATCAATAAAAAAATCATTTGATTTATTTCCCGGCTAACATCAGCGCAGAATAAAAGTCTGTTTATGTGTCGACCGCGGTGAGGAGCGCACACCGAGGAGGGAACGATGCAAGGACACAGGAAGCACCAGTCCTGGCAGTGAATGCCTCGTCTCCATACTTCTACTTTCCTTCACTGTGAGATCCGCTCAAAGCAACCTGTTTCTCCCTGTCATTTCATCTTTTCAGTGAAGCGAGCAGCGACGTGCAAACAGTCGACACAGTGTAAAAGAGACGCTTTCACACACATACGACCTTAAAAAAAAGAACGCCATCTTCAACCCCTCCAGGTCAGTTATTACTTTAGTAAAGAAGATAAACAGACGATGAACTGACTTGGTCACTGACAAATATAGAGCTCAATACAAAAATAGAGCTGAAGACAAACTAGGAAACACACTAGTGTGCACAATCAGGTGTGGAGATGTGTGAAAATGACTGCCAAGACCACAAACTCAACTCTCAGACTGCTTACTGGCACGAGGCTGCCAAAGAGCTTTAGGAGTCCACGCTTACGGCCGTTTAGCACCTGGCCATCATCCCAGACAAACTCGTGGCTTTAGATGAATGCCGCCTAGGGCGGGGCTATATCATACCGTTCACGGTAATGTAATGTTGGGCAACGATAAGAAAATGAAATATGGGTAAAACGCGCATGCGCAGCGCCTAGGTTTACATACGCACATGGCGGCGACGCAGAACGAGAAGAGCGAAAGCAGATCGTTGAATGAAACAGATGAACCTGAACTGGTTTGTAAAAATGCTGCAGCTTCACTGGTGTGGAACTGGTTTAGCTTTCGTCCGTCAGATACACAACAAAGCACTATTTTTGGTAGCGCATGCTAGCGGGCCGTCGTTATTACCGTGTTGTTTGGAAAATACGGCGCACTTAAAATCATCCTTTGATTTTTCTGAAAGTTGACAGAGCCCCTTATAATCCCGTGCGCCTTATGTATGAACTCTGGTTGTGTTTCGGGAAACGATTTTATGTACACGGCGCTCGAAAATCTGTCAAATGTTTCAGTACGACTTTGCTGAGCTACGAAGCCGCACCGCTTGATGGATTGTCGGAGCATTACGGCTATCGTAGGCGGAGCCTCGCGGAGTGATACGTACTGTGCTTCAACATAATGTTACCGTATTGTGTGTGTATGACCTCTTTTTAAGTTTTGTGGATGTTATACTTGGTTATGCTGAGGATGTGTCGGCCAGTTTCCACTGGAAATGTTTTTTGGTTAAACTGTCAGCGAGGAATTTGCACTGTTACATTTTATATAACTTTAATGCAAAAAACAGCTGCTTGTTTAAGTGAAAATACATTGTTGGGTCTTTTGCACTAATAAAGTTGAGGAGTTGTCAAGTATTTTGCCTCGTGTCAATTATATCGTCAGTTTTATCGTTATCACAAATTTTCGAATGTATATCGTGATAAATATTTTCGGTCATATCGCCCTGCTCTAATGCCGCCTTAAAGTGCCGCTGGCAGAAAGGCCACCACGCAGGAACGGGTGCAGCCGCACAGTCAGATTGAGGACGCTGTGACTGCAAAAGTCTACAACACAAACTGGAGAAAATGACGCGTTTGTCTATATGAATGAAACTCCTTACACACGTCACTGGATGAGCCCATTACTGTGAAACCGTGCCCTTAACCCTGTTTTACCCTCTTATTTGTGCCATTACAGACAACCCTCCCACACCTGTGGGCCAAACGAGGCACAGCTCCCCACTGTGGGAAGTTACCTCCATCTATCAGCAGAAAACATCCTTCTAAGAGAAACCAAGGTTTTTTTAAATTGTGTATAACACGTGTTATAGTGGAGTGTGGACAACTCTGACACCTCAGAGTAACTGTTATGTTTGGGTGTCTCAGGAATCGACAGCACCTTGCTACCACATGTTGCTAAAATAAGCTTTTGAGAGTGAAATTCAACTTTTTGTTAGCTGCATGTTACATCCATACTGTAGAGCCCCTGATTTCCCCTCAAGTGGGCATCATCATCACAATATGATATAAGAGGTAAAGAAAGTTAAAGGGGAAAAGCCCTCAAGCTTTATGGACAGTCGTCTCCACAGTGCTTTTGTTGTCGTCCTGACCATTCAAACAAGCCACACTCGCACAGGGCTCCAATCTATACACTTACACGCTCTCTCCATCTCAAGTCCACACCTACGGCCAATTTTAGAATTACCAATTAACTCTGGGCTGCAGGAGGAAACCAGAGCAGCCACACATGCAGACTCTCCACAGGAAGGACCCAGGCAGCTTTAAACCCACTGCTGAATTGCTGTGTGTTCACTCAAATGAGCTTTGTACAAATAAACAAGCTAAATAGATTCCTAAAGCTTTGGTCAATCAGTAACACTACGAGCTCACTAATGAGCTCATCGGTGCGCACATCCCGACGTCCCACTGGTAAAAGTCAAGTGACAAAGTGGGATAAACCTCAGAATGAAGATCACAAATGACTCCCTGAGAAGATGAACCAACCTTGCACTTGCTGCTGTTTCAGACTTCGAGGTGTATCGATCAGCCAAGCCAGAAAATTCCCTCCACGTGCATCGAGCTGGGCACTTGCATCCAGATACGTTTGCAATACTTTCTTCAGTGTCCAATCTTGTTCCTCTCACACAAATTTGGATCCAAATCACAATCACCTCCAAAGGTTTTTATCTAAATCTTCCCGTAACTTTTTGCTAGTGCCTTCTTGCTGTGAAGCAAGAATCATTTCATCACTGTTCAGTAACATCACCTACAGACAGGCTTCCCAAAGACATTTTATGCAACATGAAGCTAAATGCAACAGCATGGATATTACATTTAGAGCCCCCAGGTCATGAACACAAATGAACATGAGATATCTACAGCTTCATGTATAGTTCTAGCAGCAGCTGCACACAATGAAGCTTCAACTGAAGTTCCTGCTAATTAGCCCTCACCTTACCAGCTTTACTGGTGATAAAAAGCAATCCCCCAACCTAGTGACGGCTGCAACCTTTAAGAACAAAACAACAGGAAAACAGGCATCGAGTTGTAGAAACAGTTTCAGTGTCGTCCGTGTGTTTTCTGTGAAAGTACTGTGACTGTGGACAGCGCCACACTAGACTGAGGCGTGTCGATGATTATTTCAGACTAGCCGCTTGAAGTTTCACCATCCTAGCAGTGACTCACTAGCAGTAAGTGTGGGGTGGCTGTAGCTCAGGTGGCAGAGCGGATCAGCCACTAAGAAGGTCGGTGGTTCGATCCCAGGCTGCTGCATGCCAAATATCCTTGGGCAAGATACTAACCCCATGTTGCTCTCCGATGCGTCCATCGGAGTGTGAATGTGTATGAATGTTAGATACTTAAGCGTGTGATTGGGTGAACAGGTGAATGAATTAGCTGTATAAAGCGCTTTGAGTGCTCGGACGAGCGCTATATAAGAACCATTTACACCCCGCAGTATTATTCCCCGTCACCATCTTTCACAGCTTACTGAGCTCAGCAGCCTGGTACTACTACATACTGCCCTCTGGTGACGTTTTTGTGCAGTGCATTATTCTTCCCAGTTCTACAAACAGACTCGACAAAGTTTCTCTGGTCATTCTCACCTCATCAGCTCCTCCACCTTATCATCGATATCCAGATCTTCCTCTGTAGATTCAAACCCGAACGCTCGCGTCGCTGCAGCGCTGTTCACCGGATAGCGTGGCGGAGACAGTTTTCCGTTGGGGGTGGCAGCTAGACTGTCGCGGCCGTTCTGTGTCAGGGCCACCAGCGAGACTGGGGACGGCAGGATGGCAGAGGGCGGCGGCGGCCCTGGAGGCGGGGACGTGTCGTAGCTGTTGCTGGGAGACAGCGAGAGCCCCCGGCGCTGTTGAACTGCGTCTGCGTGGCTGTGGAGATTTTGGAGGTCGTTGAAGAGGCAGCAGCGGCGGCGTGATCGGCGGCTCCACCCTCACCGCCACTGTTGATGCCGCCGCCATTGCATGACGCTGAAGAGGTGGTGGTTGCCGAGGCAGTGTTGTTATTGTTGAATGACGTGGTAGTAGTAGTATTAGAGGCAGAGTTGTTGGTGCAGCTGTTGGCCCCGCCTACGCCGTAGGAGGACGAGGAGGAGGAGGAGGAAGAGGTGCGGCGGCCAAACTTGTCGCCGTGCTCCCGGTCCAGCCGGTCCAGAGTGTCGAGCGCATGCAGGATCTCCTGCTTGGTCATGCCGGTGCGACGCAGCCGCTGCAGCAGATCTATCTGCTCAATAGTGAAGCGCGGCTCCTCGCTGAACTCAGACATCCTGCTGCTGCTGCTGAGATGAGACACAATACAGACAAGCTGAGAAACACAAGAGGAACACAAGCCGAGGAAAGGAAACAGGAAATGCAGACGGGGCAAGTTGAGGAAAGTAGGAAGGAATCCTTAGAAAAGTAAGTGGAGAAGGAAAGGAAAGGAGGAGCAAGTCAGGCAGTGGAGGGGATGGTGGATGACAGAGGAAATGAGAGGATTAAGTAGCAAAGAGTGAAAAGGAACGCAGTCACAGATGGGGAAAGAGGATAAAGGTAGCGGAGGAGAGTTAGAGGGATAAAGTAGGCATAAAACGGGTGGGAAGGGAGGGGAATAAAAAACTGCAGGAAGAAAATATAAAGAGGCAGCGGAGAAGAAAAGGAAGACAAGAGCGAGAGACATAAGTGTGAAAGAAAAAAAGGCGAGGGGAGGGGCAGGGCATAAAAATCAGCTATTTTTGGGAAGCAGCAGGCAACACGCACAGAGTGCCAGAGTCACCTTGACAGCTGATGCTATCTTAACATTCTGTCTGTCGTTCTTTAAGAGCCACAATACATCCTCGGCTCTGCGCACCACCCACGCTGTATGTTTTTCACGAGCAATTTGCTGTGATCAAAATCAATGCAACTGGAATCAGACTGCGGCAGATTTTCCATCTTCTGTGCCAGCCCGACCTGTGCCGATATGATAAACGGTTTAAAAGGGGTCACTGGCATTTTTCTACATCTGTCTTTCTCCAAACTGTGCGGAGGACAGAGCGGAGGGGGGAGGAAACATAAATGACTTCTGAGTGCATTTGAAGTTATCATAAATAATGGGGGGACACTGGCACATAAACCATTACCAGGCCTTCAGACACGTGCAGTAAAGGGTCATTTTGGGTCTGAGCACATTATTTCTGCAGCGCTGACAGGTGAACATTAACGAGTCCTTGGTGTTTAGAAGGTGAGCTGCTAATGCTGTAAATCATTACCAAGCAGAGTCAAAATCTGTCACACCCCAGAAAGACGGGCTGCACACAACAGAAGACCGCTGGATTTGGATTAGTGAGCTTAAACATGCAAGTGAAAGAAAAATGTGTGCTGCAAACAAACAAGAACATTTGAATTCATGCCCACTGTGATCAAGTGGGTAAGTTACCCATTCACCCAGAAGGCAAGTTCACCCTGCACGTAACTAAAGCAGCTAAAGATGGAGCTGTCTGCATTCCTATCGGGCTTGGATGTCCCCTGATAACAGCGCAGCTAAGTTCACGAACTCGGAGAGTGTTTGTCATGCCAACAGCAAAACTACAACAAAATAAAAACACAGCCACGGTGTCGTTAAACACAAACTCTAGATTGTCTGACAGCGCAGCTTTCTAAACGCTTCCAGTCTTAAAGCGCTTCGCCCCGCAGTTGGCGGCATCTCTTCCCTCTCCATGTGTTTTTGTTTTGCTGGCCCGCAGTGAGAGCACAGATCCGTCGCGCCTTTCACCGCTGCAGGCGAAGCGCTGCTGATGCCAGCTTTCACGCCCTTTGCCCGAAAGCTAACGTTAGCGAGCGCTCCGTGCGGCACACGGACAAACCGCCCTGACTAAACGTCAAAATTACCCAGCACGGCGAGCCCTCCGTAACACTCGAGGATTGCTCTCGTTTTCTTCACTGCCCCCCGAGGCTGAATCCACACTGACAACAGCCCCCTGGCATCGCGGAGGGCGATTAGCCACCTGAGGTGGGCTACGCGGGTCGCCGTGGGCTCGTGCGATGATTAGCATACAACGCTAGCCGTGCCAACGCCGATACTAGCTGACGTTAGCCGCCGTCGCTGGCTAGCGAGCGTTTGATATTAATAACATCACTTTCTGTGTCGAGAGAGCCGAGTAACAGGACTTACCTCGGGTTCAAATCGTCCACTTAACCATTTAACTTTGTAACGGAAGCAAAGCGGCGCGGTGTCGTTTACTGCAGCCGAGCAATGAAGCAGCTGGGAACAGTGCCCTGTCCGACCCTTTTCCAAGGATTTCTAATCAGAGGCGAATTATTTGCCTCTCTGCTTTGTCTGTCTGACAACAGCCATATTGACAACTAACACCTCCGAGCAGCTCTGAGGGAACTGTAGTTTCACTCCCGCAAAGGCCTCCAACACGCGGCGGCGTTCCCTACGCTAAGGACTACAAATCCCTGAAACGAGGGAGAGGGGGAGCTGATGGCTCGCTGATCTACAGTTGTCACAAAAAACAGTGATGCAGTTTTTAATGTGGCCACAGCGGCTGCTCTCCCTAACCCCGCAGCAGCTGCACCAGGCGACCCGTGCCACCTCACCGGCCAACCGGGCAGCCACCAGCCGGCTGCACATCTAACCGCATTACCGCTGCGACACGTTTCTGTACACCTCACACGAATTCAGTTGCAGTGTGACCATACAGGGGCCCCTACTTGTTACTCTATTAAAGAAAAGGTAAAGGCCACTTAGTCTTTAAATGAAGTGGAAAACCCCCTAATTAAGTTGGTGCCAGTAATCAGACCCAAGGAGACGGATTAGAAGAGCAGCCAATTAAACAGCTTTGGTTGGAGCACAGGCTCAATAATCAAGATTATATGAAATGTGGAATACAGAATAGAAAAGAACAGGAACAACGCAGAGCGGCGCAAAACAGGAATCTGCTTCAAGGATGTCAAACTGATTTTACATTGTAGGACACATAACAGCCAGCGTCGATCTGAAGTGAGGTGGACCAGTGAGACTCTTTCTGTGAGTGCGAAGTTGGCCAACCACGCATGTAAACTCTGGGATGTTTGAATATAAGAAAAAGATTAAAGCAGTACACCTCAGTTTGTTTTTTAGATGATAAAGAAATGCTGCTTTGGACTTAAACTGTAAGAAATGCAGATGGGTACACTGTGGTCATAGAGGGATGGTCCGCAGCAATACCAGGTGGCAGTTGATGCTCAACTGGTACTGAGGGGTCCAAAGTGAAAACATCCCCACACCATCCTGAGCCGTTGATACAAAGCTGAATGCTTCCATCCTTTCATGTTGTTTACATCATTTTCTGAAAATACCATCTGAAGGTCGCAGTAGAGTTTCATCAATTGGACAATCTTGTGTTGTCCGATATCGGAGAAGCGGTGTGGACCTCAGTTTCCTGTTCCTGACAGGAGTGGCACTCGGTGGGGTCTTCTGCTGCTGTAGCCCATCAGCTCCAAGGTTCAACATGTGTTGCATGTTCAGAGATGCTCTTCTGCATGTCTTTGCTGTAACAACTGATTATTTCAGTTACTGTTGCTTTTCTACTGGCTCAAGGCAGGCTGTCCATTCTTCTATGACCTTGGACATCAACAAAACATTCTCACCCAGAGAGCTGCAGTCATTCTCTGTAAACCCCACAGCCCATCTAGGATCATCTACTACACCGTGTTTAAAGTCCCTTAAAGTCACCTTTGTTCCTAATTCTGATACTTGGTCTGAACTTCAGCAGGTCGTCTTGATCATGTCTACAGCCCCTAAATGCTTTGAGCTGATGCAATCTGATTGGCTGATTCAATATTTGCATGGATGAGGAGTTGAAAAGATGTGCCTAATAAAGTGGCTGGTGAGTGTAATCTCAAAACTGCATTAAGTATATAGTTTAGAGGTGCTTTTGAATAATTTTCCTCAACAGAATTGATCCAAAATTGATAAATTACAGAATTTATTCAAACTGAATGCTAATGAGCTGTTCATGGTTAAAGATTAGCAATAAAGGGACATTTAAAGCTGCTTAATTCTGGAGGGGGATTGGATCCAGGTGTTTAACCTGACATGTGCATCACTTAGACACTTTGTCTGAAAAATACAACTCATTTAAGTTAACCATTAATATAGTTTGGGGGGGTTTCTTCTTCTCAGCGTGCACCTGCTTTGCCTCAGCAGAGTAGATGCACTTACATTTTTCATTCTCTGAGTTTTAATCAGAGAAATTCATTAGACTGCGTCAAACAAAGATGCAGAAGAGCACCATTTGTATCAGCTAAAGGTCCATATATGATAATCTGCTCACGCACAGTTTGATCCAAGTGGTCACGCTGGGAACGAGACACACGAGTGCTTCTGAGCAAGACAGTCAAACTTGATCTGCCACAGTGGAGGCGTTAAGTATAGTCTGTGCTGTTTGAAGCCTTTGTGCTGCACAATAGAACAGGATGAATACTAATGCAGTTAAAGCGGTTGTCTATGACCTACCGTTCATGAATAATGCATAACAGACTCATGTAAGGTGCTTGGCATATTTACAGCAAGCTATATGGGAGCACTACTGCTTCACTACAGACGGAGAACCGCAGAGATGGCAGTGAAAATGCTGCTTTGCAGAATCTGTGCAATTTCCTGTACAGTCTGGTAGTCACACTGCCCCCATGTGACAACTACTGTCCAAAAATAGCTTGAGGAAGGAGTCAGTTTGTAGTTGTCATTGTGTATTTTATTTTTAAATGTATTAAACGTGTCTTATGATAATGAGTCCACTGATGTGAGCTGTAACAAAAAGTTGAAATACTGCTTTAAGTGAGATCTATGATGCTCCTTTTTTTTTAAAGTTTTGAACTCTAGAGTAGCTTTGCATGATTCAAAAGTTCAAAATAATCCTTATTTATATCATACTGGGGCTTGATGGAGTCCCCCGGCTGTCTGACACAAGCTGTTTAGTTCTCACCGTTTTAAAGGTGTCAGGGAGCGTATTTGAGTATCTTATTTTGAATTCAATTCAATTCAATTTTATTTATATAGCGCCAAATCACAACAAAAGTCGCCTCAAGGCGCTTCATAGATACAGAGAAAAACCCAACAATCATATGACCCCCTATGAGCAAGCACTTTGGCGACAGTGGGAAGGAAAAACTCCCTTTTAACAGGAAGAAACCTCCGGCAGAACCAGGCTCAGGGAGGGGCGGCCATCTGCTGCGACCGGTTGGGGTGAGAGAAGGAAGACAGGATAAAAGACATGCTGTGGAAGAGAGACAGAGGTTAATAACAGATATGATTCAATGCAGAGAGGTCTGTTAACACATAGTGAGCGAGAAAGGTGACTGGAAAGGAAAAACTCAATGCATCATGGGAATCCACCCGGCAGCCTACGTCTATTGCAAATCAAATCAAATCAAATCAAATCACTTTTATTGTCACATCACATGTGCAGGTACATTGGTACAGCACATGTGAGTGAAATTCTTGTGTGCGAGCTTCACAAGCAACAGAGTTGTGCAAAATACAATAATGTAAACAAGCAAAATACAAGAATGGCTACATCTGAAACTAATAAATATATGTACAATATATAATAGTATATGCATTTCTGGATGTGTATACTAAATATTTTTCTACGTGTGTGTGTGTGTGTGTGTGTACACATATTTTACAAATTAAATAGAGTAAACAATAAATAAAATATATAAAATAAAATATACAGAGTGAGACATGTGCAAAACAGTGGCGTTACTGTACAGTATGGAGTACATAATGTTAAAGTTCCAGTAGTGAAGCTGAGGTGTCTATGAAGTGTTCAGCAGTCTGATGGCCTGATGGAAAAAGCTGTCTCTCAGTCTGCTGGTTCGGGACCGGATGCTGCAGAACCTCCTTCCTGATGGAAGCAGTCTGAACAGTTTATGGCTGGGGTGACTGGAGTCCTTGATGATCCTCCCCGCTTTCCTCAGGCAGCGCTTCCTGTAGATGTCTTGGAGGGAGGGAAGCTTACCTCCAATTATCCGTTCAGAGCACCGCACTACTCGCTGGAGAGCTTTGCAGTTGTAGGCGGTGCTGTTGCAGCATAACTAAGGGAGGATTCAGGGTCACCTGGTCCAGCCCTAACTATATGCTTTAGCAAAAAGGAAAGTTTGAAGCCTAATCTTGAAAGTAGAGATAGTGTCTGTCTCCTGAATCCAAACTGGAAGCTGGTTCCACAGAAGAGGGGCCTGAAAACTGAAGGCTCTGCCTCCCATTCTACTTTTAAATACTCTAGGAACAACAAGTAGGCCTGCAGAGCGAGAGCGAAGTGCTCTAATAGGGTGATATGGTACTACAAGGTCATTGAGATAAGATGGGGCCTGATTATTTAAGACCTTGTATGTGAGGAGCAGGATTTTGAATTCTGGATTTAACAGGAAGCCAAAACAGGAGAAATCTGCTCTCTCTTTCTAGTCCCTGTCAGGACTCTTGCTGCAGCATTTTGGATCAGCTGAAGGCTTTTCAGGGAGTTTTTAGGACTTCCTGATAATAATGAATTACAGTAGTCCAGCCTGGAAGTAATAAATGCATGAACTAGTTTTTCAGCATCACTCTGAGACAGGATATTTCTAACTTTAGAGATGTTGCACAAATGGAAGAAAGCAGTCTTACATATTTGTTTAATATGTGCGTTGAAGGACATGTCCTGGTCAAAAATGACTCCAAGGTTCCTCACAGCGTTACTGGAGGCCAAGGTAATGCCATCCAGAGTAAGAATCTGGTTAGAGACCATATTTCTAAGATTTTCAGGGCCGAGTACAATAACCTCAGTTTGATCTGAATTAAGAAGCAGAAAGTTAGCGGCCATCCAGGTCTTTATGTCTTTAAGACATTCCTGCAGTTTAACTCATTGGTGTGTGTTATCTGGCTTCATGGACAGATAGAGCTGGGTGTCATCTGCATAGCAGTGTAAATGTATGCTATGTCTTCTGATGATGCTGCCTAAGGGAAGCATGTATAATGTAAACAGAATTGGTCCTAGCACTGAACCCTGTGGAACTCCATAATTAACCTCAGTGTGTGAAGAGGACTCTCCATTTACATGCACAAACTGGAGTCTATTAGATAGATATGATACAAACCACTGCAGTGCAGTACCTGTAATACCTACAGCATGTTCTAATCGCTCTAATAGGATATTATGGTCAACAGTATCGAACGCTGCACTGAGGTCTAGCAGGACAAGCACAGAGATGAGTCCACTGTCAGAGGCCATAAGATCATTTGTAACCTTCACTAAAGCTGTTTCTGTGCTGTGATGAGCTCTGAAACCTGACTGAAACTCTTCAAATAAACCTCTGCAGATGATCTGTTAGCTGTTTGACAACTACTCTTTCAAGGATTTTTGATATGAAAGGAAGGTTGGAGATTGGCCTATAATTAGCTAAGACTGCTGGGTCTAGAGATGCTTTTTGAGTAAAGGTTTAACTACAGCCAGCTTGAAGGCCTGTGGTACATAGCCGATCATTAGAGATAGGTTGATCATATTTAAGATCGAAGCATTAATTAATGGCAGGACTTCTTTGAGCAGTTTTGTAGGAATGGGGTCTAAAAGACACATTGATGGTTTGGAGGAAGTAATTATTGAAGTTAACTCAGAAAGATCAATTGGAGAAAAAGAGTCTAACTTAACATCAATGGTACTAAGAGTAGCTGTAGATAATATTACATCTGTGGGATGATTACTGGTAATTTTTTCTCTAATGATAAAAATTTTATTTGTGAAGAAGTTCATGAAGTCATTACTAGTTAACGTTAAAGGGATGGTTGGCTCAACAGAGCTCTGACTGTTTGTCAGCCTGGCTACAGAGCTGAAGAGAAACCTGGGGTTGTTCTTATTTTCTTCAATCAGTGATGAATAGTAAGATGTTCTGGCTTTGCAGAGGGCTTTCTTATAAAGCAGCAAACTATTTCTCCAGGCTAAATGATGATCCTCTAAATTTGTGACACGCCATTTCCTCTCCAGATTACGAGTCATCTGCTTTAGGGTACGTGTTTGAGAATTGTACCACGGAGTCAGGTACTTCTGATTAGAGACCTTAGTTTTCACCGGAGCTACAGTATCCAGAGTCGTACGTAGTGAGGAGGTGAAATTATTAACAAGATAATCGACCTCTGTTGGGGTAGCGTTCAGATAGCTGCTCTGCTCTGTGTTGGTACAGGACATTGAAGATGATAACAGTGGGTGGATTATATTCTTAAACTTAGTTACAGCACTTTCAGAAAGACATCTACTGTGATAAAGTCTACTCTCCACCGCTGTGTAATCAATTATTGTAAATGTAAATGTTATCAGGAAATGATCAGACAGGAGAGGGTTTTCAGGAAACACTGTTAAATGTTCAGTTTCTATGCCATATGTTAAAACAAGATCTAGAGTGTGATTAAAGTGGTGGGTGGGTTCTTTTACATTTTGAGAGAAACCAATTGAGTCTAATAACAGATTAAATGCCATGTTGAGGCTGTCACTTTTAGCATCTACATGGATGTTAAAATCACCCACAATAATTATTTTATCTGAGCTCAGAACTAAATTAGATATAAAGTCTGAGAAATCAGACAGAAACTCTGTGTAAGGCCCAGGTGGACAATAGATGATAACAAATAAGACTGGTTTCTGAGTTTTACAGCTGGGGTGGACGAGGCTAAGCATCAGGCTTTCAAATGAATTAAAAGTCTGTCTTGGTCTTTCATTAATTAATAGGCTGGTTTGAAAAATTGCTGCCACACCGCCCCCTCGGTCTGTGCTTCGAGGTTTCTGGTAGTTAGAATGACTCGGGAGTGCTGATTCATTAAAACTAACATAATCATCCTGCAGCAACCAGGTTTCTGTAAGGCAGAGTAAATCAATTTGTTGATCAATTATTAAGTCATGTACTAACAGAGACTTGGAGGAGAGAGACCTAATATTTAATAATCCAGATTTCACTGTTTTACTCTTTGGTTCAGATGTGGATACTGTATTGTTCTTTCTTTGTAATTGTTTATGTTTAAGTCGTTTGTTGCTGGTTTTTAGTTTGTTTTTTGTCTTTTTGGAAGCTGACACAGTCTCTATGGAGATGGGTTTTGAAGTATATTGAAATCCAATTTTAATAGTTACTGGGACATAAAAACTGCATATCTAAAGTCATCATCCATTTTCATTACTGCTTATCCAATTCAGCGTTATGTAGTAGCTGGAGCCCTTACCTGATGTGATTGAACAATAGGCAGAGTACATCCTGGGCAGGTTGGCAGTCTATCGCAGGGCTAAACAGAGCCAGACAACCATTCCCTCCAACAGTCACACATATTGTCACAAATTAGCCTAATATGTGTGGTGTATTCATAATTGTCTCTGGTACATTTGTTGTATGGGCAGTATGTGTTCATTGTTTGGTGTAATTACGTGTTACACACTGGCAATGCATGCCGGGAGATGGTAATACAGGAAGTAAAAGAGATGGTCTTACCGCACACAGTGGTCCCGCGTACTTATTCAGATTCAGAGTAAGAATCACACATATGTATGATTTTTGGACTGTGGGAAGAGGCAGGAGCACACAGAACGGGGACAACATGAAAACGCCACACAGTACAGCCAGCGGGCTTGACCCACCAACAGTCTTGCTGTGACGGTTACAGTGCTAGCCACTGCACCACCATGCCACCCTGAAAGCTCAGGATTCTTGCAGGAATGCAGTCTGTTTCTCTGAGTGAAAAGGCTTATCTATACTACATACAGTATGTACTTATGTAATACAAGTTCTTTAGTGACTGCTGCAGCTGCGTGAGAGTCCCTCTATCTCACTGTGTGGTAAAATATAAAAACCGTCTGTCTTTTATAATGTAAATCAAAACTTCCAGAGTCCAACCTAATGATCTGACCTAACATGACATTGTTATGAGGACGACACTACTCTGAAGCACGGTGCGAACAGGTGTCAGCTGATCAAGCAATTCTAACTGTACTCAAGTCGAAGCATCCAAATTATATTACAAGGTGACCCTGATGTACAGCAGAGGAAAGCTTGTGTTTATTAACGGTACTTTGATTTTCGCCAGTTTCCTCCACCGGTAATGATTCTTGGCTTCCACCTGATTCAGTACAGATGGTAAAACATGTGGGTATGGGCTGAAAGCTTACAAGTGTATCGTTACTGATGTCCTCATTAACTGAGACAGTTCTTTTGGTATTTGTTCCCCAATTTGTTGTTAGTGTCACAGTTTGGCTCTGTGACAGGCAAGATGTAGGACCCAAACGCAGGAAACACAACATGGGAGGTTAACTGAAAATGGCAGCTTTATTGCTGATATGTTTAATATGCTGCTGAGAATATAGCCCAGAAGAAGCGTATAGTATACCTTTTATTTTGGAAAGAGCCATTTCTCTGTAATAAACTCTCTTTTCTAAAGATGAGTGATTTCTCAGTCAGATAGATTTATTATTTTATCCCTTTGTTGTTTCAGCAACATTAAATTTAAAAGCTGTACGTTTGAGTTAAAATATATATTTATAATCTTAACAAACAACAAATTAAAAAAGCATGAACATTTTTTGTATCGAAAAAAATATCGAACCGTGACACCAAAGTATCAAACCGAACCGTGAATTTTGTGTATTGTTGCACCCCTAATCTATCTATCTATCTATCTATCTATCTATCTATCTATCTATCTATCTATCTATCTGTCTATCTATCTATCTATCTATCTATCTATCTATCTATCTATCTATCTATCTATCTATCTATCTGTCTGTCTGTCTGTCTGTCTGTCTGTCTGTCTGTCTGTCTGTCTGTCTGTCTATCTATCTATCTATCTATCTATCTATCTATCTTTACAGTGCAGTAGACTAAGCGTGATATTTGCATTTTGCTGATATCAGGAAACACTTTCCCATTGCTCTTTTCAAGCCTTGAAACTAGGAACCGGATGCAACATGAAGCTCATTTGGTAAATCAGGGTTCCCACTAATTTACCAAAAGACAGAAAGGAACATATGTTTTACTATAGGAACAACAATTTACTAGGCAACAGCATACAGTGTCCAGCAGTGACGAGCTCAGTGCTCTTGGCTTCAAAAAGGTAAGACTTCATCTTTTCTAACCTATAAATGACCTATAACGATGGCATCTTCCAGCCTGCTGATGCTTCTGTAATTTAGCTTTAAATGTTTTGATGCATGCTCAATCATCCAGCTAAGTAAATCTCCAAAAGTTGATTCTGTTCAACGCTAGGTCCAGATGAACAGAATCAACTTTTGGAGATAGCTTTAAATGTGTTGAAAAAACTGCACGTCCTGATGAATATTTATGCCACCAGTTGGTACCATGTGTGCATCTGTTGTTGTCAAAGCATGTGTTTGTACATGTAGAACAAAATCAGCCACCAGGCTTAGCAAAAACTAGAATGTGATGGAATGACGCGTTCTTGCTTTCTGTTACTTTTGTCATTAAACGCTGTCCCTGCTGAGTCAGCATGCTTCTTTGCTTGAGTCCAGAGTGAAGTGAACGCTTCTGTCTGATCGCTTTTATTCGAGACATTTTCAGTTCACTGCTTCTGAACGGTTTTGTTTGAGCTCCCAACAGAAGGACAAACACTGATATCTGAAAAACTACTTTTGCTCAAATAAAATACTTCGAGGAGATAGGAGGCTGAGGTACATAGTCGCCTCCTAGTGCCCTTCGAAGTTTCCTACATTTCCTCCCAGAAACCTCCTGATAGTACAAACAAGAACTCAGTGCGCAGCTGCCCACCCAACATGGTTTGATGCATGGAGATCGGATACATCAGCATCCGCAGGAACTAAAGTAGAAACCCGGGAATACTTCTCCGGTCGGCCGTTAGCACTAGCCCCGTGTCTTGCCTTCACACCGTGCGGGTGCTCGAGTGAGTATGGGGCTGGGAGAGAAACACAGAGCAGCCGCTGTTGTTTAGCCAGCTGTTTTGGTCAGCGAGGTTAGCTGGCTAGCAGCGTCAGTCAGCTAACGCGAACTTAACTCGCCTGCCGAGGGGCAAGCACCCGCGCTGCGCTGTGTTTGTTTCGGGGGAGGCTGTGTGGGGTTCGTAGCTCTCGGGTGACGACAGAGCCGGTCTCCAAGCGAGCTGTTCACGCTTTGGGCTTCATTGTGGTTAACGCTAGCTCGCGGGGTCAGCTGTGATTTGGCCGAGGCCGAGGCTGATAACGTCACATTTGGCTGTTAATGTGCACGCGGACAGGTCCGCCCGCCCCTTTAAATTTGAAACGGGGTGTTAGTTTCAGCTGTTGGGGAAGAAGCAGGAGTGAAACGTGTTCAAGGTGTTTGTGTACCTGGTTGTTATTAGTGTGCTGGTCTGCAAAGCCGAGCTGTACAAGCACAGGTGTATTTTCCATTTCACGGAGGACCGTGGACACGGTCACCGTGTTTGCTGTGTTGTTCCAGGAGCTGTGCTGGCAGACTGAAACTGATGATGCTTTATTTATTTGAACACCTCCTCAACAGAGTAGGAACTGTGCTTTTCCTGCATTTATAGACTGTTTATGCCTACCTGCCACTTCATTAGGTACATCTGTTCAAAAGCACATTAAGGCAAATATGTCATCCAATCACATGAGACCAGGTCATTGCATTTAGGGATGTAGGCATGATCAACACGACCTGCTGAAGTTCAGACTGATTATCAAAGTGTGGAGGAAGAGTGATTTAAGTGGCTTTGTTTGTTTGTGTCACGTGGGCTGCTGGGAACAGTTTGGACCAGTCCAGCATCGTTTTGAAACCACAGCCTGCCCGAGTTTGTCCATCAAGTGAGACCTGACGTTGTTTCCGGAACATCATAATTATTGTTGGTCCAGATTCAACATTGCAAGTGACCAATCACATTATAGTGATGTCATGACCTGGATGACTGAGAACCTTCACAGACATAGTGATGTCATAGTTTTGCTAGGCTAGGTGGAAACACCATCACACCAAAACCTAACCTTAGCCCCTGTGACATAACAACGTGACTGATCACTTGCAACTCTGAACCTGGGCCAGCCCTGACTATGTTGCTCCTGGAGCAATCCCAGCATGGGGATATCGGTCACACCTCCATCCCTTTATGAGCACAATATGCCCATCTTTCAGTAGCTGCCTGCAGCACGATAATGTTTCATGTCACAAACCATCTCACACTTCACTGTACTCCAATTCCACAGTCACCAGATCTCAATCCAATAGAGCACCTTTAGAACTTTGGTGGAAAACGAGATTCTCGTCACATATGTGCAGCTGACAGATCTGCTGCAATCCGTGTGATGCTGTTGTGTCAGTGTGGACCAGAACCTGTGATGCTGACTCTTTGCTGCAATGAATTAAGCTTAAAGGCAGTCCAACTTGGTACTAGCGGTGTGTAATTCATGAAGTGGCCACTAAGTATGCAGTGTATGGCTGGGAAATGAAGTGCATTTTCTGTCATTGCACCTGCTTTAAGCTCCTCTGGTTTAAACATTTGATGAAAGATGGAGACACAGATCCTTTGGGAGGTTACGTCAGTACAGCCATGTGGTGTAAAAAAGTCTTCAAATCAAATACGTGGCGCAGCTCTGCCTGAGCCAGCTGAAAAAAGTAATTTTAGCTCCTTTTGATTGGAGCCAGCTTTATGATGCTGGGCTGCAAACAAAAGGTTTGAACAGCAGCTGCCTTATGCCTGTGTGAGTGACCATAGTAGGGATATCTGCTCCCACTGACATCACACAGAGATAAGAGTAGAAACAACAGTCTGAAAGTGAGCATAAATTTAGCACAAAATCTGAGCGCATCATTTGAAATTTTGAAGATTCTTAATTTGACCAACCACGAGAAACATGAAAGAAAAATATGGAAAAATGTAATAAGTAGAGATGGACCGATCCGATATTACGCATCGGTATCGGGCCGATACTGACCTAAATTACTGGATCGGATATCGGAGAAAAATAAAAAATGTAATCGATCCATTAAATATCAAACAAGCACCTCACAAAACTTGCGACATGGCGTAACTCGCCTCATAACCGTAGCACGTCGCAGCAGTGTGCTCACGTGATAGAGCGGCTGTGGCGTGCGAGACCTGTCGGTGGTCTGGATAGCATTTGGAGCTTCGCTACCAAACCGGCATTTCATCTCCGAGGAAGTTATCCCAGAGAGAAGAAAGCAAGTGTGTAGGTTCATCTCTGAATGTTTGTAAAGCATTCGCATGTTAAGCTTAACAACCGATATATGGAGCGACTGCCTCTCTCCCTCTCCTGCTGCTACTTCAATCATGAAACTGCTTAATGATCAGCTGATCGGCTTTTCTGTCGTGAGTCCGTGTCTCTAGTTTGCTTTTGACCCACTTTGCACCAGAAAGAGGAAACCAGCGGCTGAACAACAGCAGCACGTTTAAGCTTGATAAGCTGTTGTTAGAATTTATTTAATATTACTTTCTACACCAGGATCTTTTTCTACGTAGCTGACGTAACTGTGTAGGGGCGGATCTAGCAAAGTTTAGCCAGGGGGGCCGATAGGGCATGAACAGGGAAAAGGGGGCACAAAGACATACTTTTCTTTCTTATTCTCATTTAAAATGTTGAGCTTTTAATAAATAATTATCTGACACCCAAAGTTTTAATCTGATGTAAAATGAATAGAAGTCCATTACTGTATATAGTAACTATTAAGTCTAATATATATACCCTAGTAAGCTATAGTACTTTTTCTTGTGGGAAGGTACCATCTGTGCAGTCTGCAATTTTGTTGAAGAAAGATGTTGAATCTATTTAATATTTTAATATATTGAAAAATAATTGATTTCTGTGCATTTTTTTTTTTCACACTGCATCAAATTAAGGTTGATTACGTCGATTAAGCATCATGAGGTGGAGCGTGAGGGGTGGTTCCCTATTTTTTATTTATTTCTTTTTGTTGTTGCTGGGAGTTGGAACCCTATTAGTTAGGTTGCTTAATATTTATGCTAAGTACTCTTTAAAATACCAGAATAGGGAGGATGGTGTAGGTTTAAGTTTATTAGATTGATCAGTATTGCTGAACTATGAAATATTTTTTTTTGCATACAGGTATAACAGAATAGCTTTAGTGTAGTTGTTGTTTTAAACTTGAGTATGAACTTATACAAAATGCAGCAAGATATTTAAAAAACAGTTTTGTTGATTAAAAAACACTATATCGGATTCATATCGGTATCGGCAGATATCCAAATTTATGATATCGGTATCGGACATAAAAAAGTGGTATCGTGCCATCTCTAGTAATAAGTAGACTTTTGAGTGAAATCCATGTTACTGTCTACCTCAGCTTGTTATTTTCCTTTATCTGTATAATGCTGCAAATATGAAAAATAGGGAAATATTAATGAGAAAATGTACAACTTAAAGATTAAGTTTGTAAAGTCTCAGAGATTGTGGCTAATTTATCAATTAATCAAATACACTCATTTAAAAGGAAGAAATGTATAAACTCCTTGAACCTGAATGAAAACAGTACATTTTGTGCCACCTTGAAAAGCTCCCCCTCACCTTTCTAAACCAACCTGGCACATAGCTATGGGGCTTTGAAAATGCCTGAATTTTGAGATGAGCCTGTCATGAATGTTAATTTCAAGTAGGAAAGAGCATCTACATAACAATGACAGTGTGTCAGTGTTATGTAGATAAATATGATGTGTACGTTGAGTTTTAATGTGCGGCTTACCCAGTAAGTCCTCGTTCGTCTAGGCTTAGTGGCAGAAAACAGAAATATTTGAGATGATAAGCTATCCCCCCTTTCCCCTTTTTTATTTATGAAAGCAGGTTTTCAATGCCGTGTGTGTAAATGCACTGGTTGGCCAGCTCTCTATCAACAGTTTGCAGTGAAAGTGTTTTTCGTACGAGCATTAGTGAGCTAATCCTTGTTTTATAGCTTCTCAACGTCATATGAACGTGACCAAGAGCTCTTGAGCCAAATACTTTTTACAAACACAAGAGGGAAGTGAGTCAAAGATCTTTTGTGTTCGGTTAGGAACCATTGCTCGATCTAAATAGGCGTACAGAGACAGCAGCTGACAGTGTAACATGGGGGTAGACGGGTCAGAGAGAAGCTCAAAGCCCTGGTTACACAGGAACAATGGCTGAATAGTCACTCCTGTTAAACTCCTGTGAAGTCTGCTTGAATTCCATTGCCCGTGGCACAGTCCACATCCACAGACAGGAACAATCGAAGGAAAAATCAGCAGGTATGCCGACGTCTGCACGGATTGTCTGACGAGGGCACAGAAAGTAAAAGAGTTCATCCATCCTCTTATCCGATTCAGGGTGGCCGGGGTCTGGATGATATCCCAGCTGTCATAGGCTGAGGATGAATCTTTGGACTGTGGCAGGAAGCCAGATCTCCAGGACCTTCTTGCTGTGAGGCAGCCGTGTTAACCACTGTTCCACCCACTGAAAGAGCTCATGTCAGCCAACATTATGACAAATGTCCTCGCTGGTGGATAATTGGATTGGCAGTCATGTGCACAGCTAGTATGAAGGTTATGAGAGCTGTCTTTGAAAATGGACACTAGTGATGTGGACTCTTGTTATCTCAGATCAGACAAGTGGAATATTTCATTTATTTTGTGATGTTTGTGCACCAACACAGCAGTCATATGTGATTCAGTGGGTTTAAGTAATGCATTAAGAGTTTAGCAGTTGCAGCCTTGTATAATGCATGTTTGCCTTGAGAAACGCTTGGCTTGCCTTTGCAGGATGCTTTGGCCCATTTGCTCTTTACAGCCCTGTTCAGTCAGTTTTGCAGCATTTTTGCAGACAGTGGATGAACTAATTGGCTATTACCGAGGCCCAGCTTGTAGATTATTATTAATCTACAATAACTTATTTGAACTGTGAGTCGTGCAAAGTTACTCTACGGGAATGTGGTTTCTTTGAAGTAAAGAGTTGTGGATGCTCTGTACTCTTCTTTTAATCAGGTTGTCATTGTTTCTCTCCGTTAGGTGAGCTCGTCTCTTTGTGATCAGGAAAGCAAAGGAAACACACAGAGTGCTCATCCTGAGAGGTTACAGTAAGTACCTACACATACCACTGAACAGTCTAATATTCAAAGAACACACACACGGGCTCTAATTTTAAGGATTCACACATCACGTGACTAACTTGCCTGTATTTGAATTGTCGTCTTGCACGGTGGAGAAAATGCCACTAGGGGTCACTCTTCAGCTTGTTATTCCTCTGTAAGGTTTGTGTGTGATGTCCTGCTGAGATTGAAGGCTGTAAACAACACTTTCTTTGGTTTTGTGTTTGTTGTGTTTCTGTGACGCTTACAGAAGATATCTGGATTTGAAGTGGGCGGAGCTTATGGATCAGTTCTGTTGGATTTTACAGCTTTCTCTTCTTTTTGCCATTTAAAAAGTCACAGAAGAGTTTTCCAAGTTTTTCCTGCTCCAAAATCTTGCTTCTAGGTGAACACTCTTATCCTTTCTTTCTGAGCGTTTTCCACTTTCCTCCTTCCCTGTCAGCCATCAGCATCTCCGTCTGCTTCTTATATCCCCCCGTCTTTCCTTAATGTCTCTGAATCCCTCCATCCTGGCCTCCCACCCTTAAGAGCAACTGGTCAAGACAGCTGGCTGTAACAGCTGCTCGCTATCTCACTTTTTCCCCGTAGCTTTTCTGTGCCAACCTTTATGTCTTTGTGCTATCTTTGTGTCACCGTATCAGCATATTATTTTTTGTCCATGTTGGAAACATTTGCCTCTGTTGTCTCGTGTGGTCTTGATCTTTATGTGGCAATCAATAGACTACTTCCTCTTTTGTCTTTTGCCAGTATCAGTTAACAGAATAGCCGTGTTCTGCGTCAGCATATGTAATGTTATCAGTGTTCCTTTGTTTTCCTTTTCTCTGTTCACTGCCCTTACCTTCTGCACACAACGCCGGCGTTCATCTTCATTGCCTCAGAATGAATCCCATGTGTCATCTCACAGGCTGGACTGAATTATCTTTTGTCCGTCTGCTGATGATGTGCTGGAATTTTTCCAGGCATTTAGTTAAGGGGAGAAATGGGAAAGAGAGGTAATGCACAAACAGGCGAAAGAATAAATGGTAGAGCTGCATTAATCCATAGATGGGGGGGAAAAAATGTAATCCCAAGTAAGAAGACTGTCTTTACAAAGAGCACTGAAGCCTTTGTGTTCCTTGTAAACTGCTTTATTTCCTTTAGAGCAGGCGTGGGCAATTCATTTCCCCAAGGGCCGCACGAGAAACTAGGACTGATGTAGAGGGACGCTCCGATAAACTGATCTTGGACAAAAACCCCTGAAATGAGACGCATTTTAATCAGCTGCTAAATTACATTTGTGTAAACTGGCTGTCCTGTCAGCCTGTGGCAGCAGGAACAGGCTTCAGCACAACACGACCCCCGAATGTTATAAGCAGAAAAAGGACGGCGTGCACGGACGGCCACCGCTATAGCTAACCCTGTGCATGTCTGTGTAGAGGGAAACATGGATACGAGATGGATAAGGGAAGACAGGTGGTTGGAGGTGGGTTCATCTCTGTATCATGACATTATACAGCTAATGTGGCCGAGGTTAAACCTGCTCGGCCTTGCCTTTTACTTGCCTTGGACTGAAGCTGCAGCTGATTGAGCCGTCAAATGTGCTGATGACAAACGCGTGACCTTTAGCGTCGTTGCTGATGTGCAGTTGTTGGCATTGTAATTTATCTTGCCTTGCTGTGGGCCGTATCCTCTGCTTTTCCTCCTTGGCGTGGCACAGGGGTTAATCGGGCTGGGAGCCGGATGCCACCGAAGGCATGACTGCACACTTGCTGCCAATAATTCAAAAGCAAGGCGCTGGCTTCTTTGATGTTGAGCTGAATGATGGAGACGCTAGTGGATCTCAAGGAACCATGTGGCACCAGCGCGCCTGATCTCTCATCTGGCCTTGTAGAGACTTCAGATTACTGCACAGTGTGGATTTGTGTGTCCTGGTGCTGACAGGCAGGCTGGTTTGATCCACTGAAGATGTCCAACAGACAGAGTGGTTGTTCTGTTTCTCAGGAGGAAAAGCCTTCTGCTATCTTGGCTGTCAAAGACATGGATCTGGATTTATCTCAGATCAGTATTTTGCTTTCACTGAGGATGAAATCCAAGCCAAAGATCAGACGGACGGTTCTGCACGATTCACTAGTGGGCTTTGTTTTGGCTACACAGGGGCAGCATGAACTATATTTGAGGACGTTCCTGGAAAACCAGCAACAAAGCCTTAAATACTTAAACTGTGGACCCATTCTAAACCCCACCCACCCAAAAAATAACCTCCAACACCCCCCACTGCAAAGTTCTGCATTACTGGAAACGGGAACGTTTCTGTCATTTAATTGTTTAACCTCTGATGCACGCTTTCACGTTTCCCAAAGCCATCCAGTGGGCGGCATTGTCTTTGGTCCCTGGGCCTTATGTTTGACACCCTTGATTCTGTGTCATGTTAGTAGGCATTACATCGTTGGTCCAATATTCACGCTGTTTTGGTCTCTAACAACAGTGAAATATCTAAACTGTGTTCAGGAGGTTGGTTTGGTCTGCTTGGTGCTAAGCAGCCACATCTTGCATGTGAACAGGTGTACCTAACAAAATGGCCTGTGAGTGTGTACGATGCACACATTATAGTGCTGTAAAGGTTCAGCTACAAATTCTTCTTAGGTTAAACACTAAAGTCACCTTCGTACACGCTAATGCTGACACGCTGTAATACTTTATTACCTTTGAATTTTTATGTCAACACAATTTTACGAAATCTGAAACCTGCAAACGATTTATCGTTTACATCGATCTTATAATGTCTGCTGCAGTAAAATTGGATTTCACAAGACATGAGATGTCGGCATGAAATTTAAACAGACTGCATCTGTTCTGTTTAAATTCTGTCCTCTGGTTAAACCGAGGACGGACGTGCCCGAGCTTTTAATGGAGATGCCAAAAGCAGTGAATGATGAAAGCTGTTGCGACGTCCGTGTTTTCAAAGGGTTCGTCACCTTGTGTCGTTTGTCTTGAGACGCAGAAGATGGAGAGTGCTGTAGGAAAACGTCTGTGTGGCGTCTGATCGGGTGATTTTGTTTTGTCTCGTACTGTCTGGATAAATGACTTTTTCTTTAAACAGCACCCGTCTGATGGCTGCTGCTGCAATGATCTGCCCGCTTCCTCCATGCTCGCTCACACATTCTTTGTTATTCAGTAATTCAGCGTGCAGGCTGCAGCTGCCTAACCATCCGCTTTCATCTCCTCAGGACATGAATGACTCGGGTTAGGGTTGGAATCTACTTGTACGGGATATTTTAATTTGCACATCATAAAAAAGTGGAAATCCAGAAGGATTGGTGTAGGTCTATTTCTTCCCCCTCTCTGGTTGGCTGGGCTGGATAAGATGGCACATTGCTACAGCTGTAACATAGCGCCGTTTTTCCTGCCTCAGAACGGGCCTTTGTAATTCTATTGGTCCACATGAAGTTAAGGTTAAAGTCTGCGCAGTTTCCTGTTGTTTCTGCTCATTTGATAACGTGTATTTTAATGCTTGAGTGAATGACAGCCCACTTTTAGAAGTTAGTTAATATTCATTTAGCAGCAGTGAATGAAAGTTTTCTTTTTCCTGTTAGGGTTACTCGCGCCTCAGCAGATGCTATCACTGCCTCTCCCACCATCCATCACGTCAGCTCCTGTCTGCGTGTCTTTATGGAGCTCGTAATTGAAAGCAGGCTGCCTGATGGTCCCTTTTCTTTCTCGTTCCCGGGCTTTAGATTAAAGCGATCGATAGCGCCTAGTGCGCCTCGAAAAGCATATGTGAAATATTACAGGCTCTGGCCACTGCACTCAGCTTTAAGCTATTTGACCCGGAGAAAGCCCTGTGTGGAAAGAAGCGCTCTTCAAAAAGAGAAAAGAGTCTTGTCTCAGTCTTGTGCATCAGCCCAGAGCATCGCCGTATCACTGCCAGCAGCACAGCTGTCACTGTTTTTATATTTGACATACTGACGGATGGCGACAGGAACAGGTGCTGCACATTTGCGCCACTACTTTATTTGACCCGTTTAAGTGCAGGAAAAAAAGTCTGACTGCAGTGGACAGAGTGCATCACTGCAGTGGACGGCAGTCTGTCTTCTTCTTTTTAAACTGAGGTTTGCTACAAACAGGAAGGGGCACCGACAAGACGGATGAAGTCATGTGGTTCACGTGGAGTGAGCCCCCTCCCCATACACAGATCACATGGGAATGTCTTTGAGCATCAGCCTTTTCCATCCTGCTCACATTCGTCAGTAAGGTCTGTGTTGAGTTTTCAGGAATATCAACCCCACATGGACATTTGTACAGTATATTGTAGCACTACTCCATAGTCACATGGGCTCACATGGGCAAGTACCTCTAAATAATTCAATAAAGTTTTATTTATACAGCGCCAAATCACAATAAGGTAAGGTAGACCCTACAATATTACATACAGAGAAAAGATTACAACATTTGTTCAAGAACAAAAGTATCTTCTTGAAAATGGGTCACTTTTCCCTGAGCTCTTTCAGCTCTTCGTCATGTCGTTTTAAGCAGTTAGCTGGCAGAGAAGAGAGAGTTCTCTTCCAAGATGTATATCACGTTTAAACTGGTGAAATCTGAGGCCATGTTTGAACATGACTAGCTCAAAGCCCATTAAAGATAAAAGCCTGAGGTTCTCACTGGCCGTTCTTACTATCATCATGGATTAGGATCTGGGATTTGGGACAGATGCATTAAAAATGTCTGATAATTGGCCAGTTAAAATATAGAGGAAAAAAAGCCCCATATTTGAGCACACATTAATAAAAGAAATTTTTTTTTTCAAAAGACAGCTTGTGGTCATTTCTCAATGTTGTGTACTTATATTTAACAATCCTGTGAAATAAAGCATGTTGGATTCTTTGTAACATGAAATTTGTGCTCACAAAAAGTGTGGTGCAAAAACAGAAACATTAGTATTCACTCATCCACATAGAACAAAATTCTAGTGTTTTCAAGTGGTGATAACTCAGAGAGGTTCTCTGACATGG